CCATTTTCCGGTGTCCTCCGCCGTGATATTGCTAGAATATTGCTAAAACCTCACTCACTCCAATATCACAGCGAGTGTGGGGAGACATCATTGGTTTTTTACGGTCTGCAACTGGATAACGTCAGGCGAGGACGCCGCAGCACTACAGCATGCTTGCTTGTGTCAATGTGGACACGTACGTCGTAGCGAAGAAGCAAAGGCGGGAAAAAAGTTTGGCCGAATTCTTTTGGGAAATCTGCAATTCTGAAAACCTATTCTGTGACATGTTTGTTTGAATATGTAAAGAAGCCGACAGAAAACATGTTCAATATCTTGAATGGACTGTGTTAGATGTGACGATTCGTCACATTAAGGTTTGATTGGCATTCAGTACCACAATGGATGCCGTGAAACAGTGTGACCTTGCTAATTGCTGAGTTACCCAAACAGCAAGGATCAGATGTACCGGTAATACCCCCATTCCACAGAGAATTTTGGCTCATCGGTCACTCATCGGAAGCAAAGTTTTTGACTTCCGGTAACCCACCGAAGAGTATCGCATCATACTCCGATGATTCCGACTTGTGTTTGTCGACTATCAGGTCAGTGTCCGACGTGTCTGGCGTGATCCGATGAGGCGAAATCGTCCGATGAAGGAACTAAGCTCAGAGCTTAGTTCGCCATCGGATGCCATTTCCGGTCGCAAAGCGAGTCAGTGTCGGATTAATGTCGAGCCAGTCCGATGTGTGTCAGAATCGGGTTGTGCAACTATCGGGCGTGTCTAGCCGACGTCTGACGGCAATCTGATGAGTGTCCGATAATTAACAGTCACCTGACGCTCATCTGATTGCAATCTGCGGTCTGCCCGACGCCCCTGATAGCCGCCCATCACCAATTCGATTCTCATCGGAGGATAACATGATATTTAGCACCGTCCGATTGCTATCCGTTGTGACATTGGACGGTAATCGCTCATTAACTCAACTGCCATCCGACACATATCGCATAGCAAGCGGTGACATCTGACGGCCAAAGGACTACGAAAGGAGGGTCAGCCGACACTCAATTCGCAGATCTTCATCGGACACTACAGCACCAAGATCCTGAAGATGGCTCCAAGAAAGAACAGGCATTGGTATACCCTTCGTGAGTCTTGGTGCGAGTCTCTGGAGTAGTTCATCAAAACATTCTGGCGTAACTCTCAAGAAATTGAAGAATGCCGTTGTATCCTCCATTCTTAGTTCATTCATGAGTCTGGTGTAGTGCCCATATAACAGCCTTCTATCAGCTTGCAGCCATGGTCGAACCGAATAACGACGTGGTCTTCTTCGCCTTCTTCTCAGCCTCCTTCACAGGACCTCAAGGGTTATTGCATCTTGTTGCATAGTTTGTTGCTGGAGCGTAAAAACACAGCCCAGGGCTGCAGCGTTTCGAAGAAGTTGATCCATATCTAGTACTGTCAGGAGGTGCAGCCCGCTTTTATACTCGACTGCCGATTTTGGCAACAAATCCGACCAGTATTGGGTCAGTGTCCGATTACCCTACGAATAGTAACCGATGTGTCGGATTGGTGTCGGGAGAGTGATGGAAGTTTCAGATTAGTGTCAGGTCTCCCTCGAATTACAATCCGACCGCAATCGGATCAAATGGCGGACAGACATCAGGCCGCTACCAGTCTTTCATCCGATTACCCCGATCATTGTTGGATCTGTATCGGATTTTACGGAAAACCGGGACCAAAAAAAGAGGATGTCGGGTGAATTTTCATCGGAACTCATCGGAACGCTGAAATTGTTGCAAAATTGGGATCAGATGGGCTTCAGATCAGGTTCCTATGGTCAGTGGAATAGGGGTATAAGCCAGGATAAGTTGAGATGTGACCTGACAATTAACCCCGTATGACAATGTATGAGGTCCGCCCACTGGCGCGTACCATTCCATCCAAAGTGGTAGCGGGTGGTCCCCGTTAAGTTTTTGTTTGTTTGTTTGTTGTTTAACGCCGCACTGAGCAATATTACAGCTATATGACGGCGGTCTGTAAATAATCGAGTCTGGACAAGACAATACAGTAATTGACATCATGAGCCCATCCACGCAATTGGAATACGATGACATGCATCAACCATGCAGCAAACCTGAACAACCGATCCGTCAGTCGCCTCTTACAAGTTGATATGTGCGTGGACGAATTCACGATTTACTTGCTTGTGAAACAGTCGCGATTCCTTCTGCTCTGATGCGCTGGAGCGTAGATGCAGACCAGTGAGGTGAGGTGAAATGGGGTTTAACGTCGCATCCAAGATTATTGCACTTATATAGCGACGTGCATGCACGTGTATGTGTGTGTGGCTGCTTGTACTAGTACGGACTGATGCCGATTTATAGTGCTAGCACACTGAGATACCATGCTGCAGTTAAACATGAATACCCCACTCAGACACAGTATACTGATGAGCCGACCAGTCCTTGTTTTAGCCCCTTAATGCCGAGCGCCTGACAGGGGAACAACAAGTACCATCTTTTAACGTCTTTTGGTATGACGCGGCTGGGGATCGAACCCCGGACCTTCCGCTCTCCGGGTGGACGCTCTACCACTAGACCACGGAGGCGATCTTACAGACTAGTGACAATGCTAGCTTTAGTCAGTGCTTTGTACATGTTTTTCTCCATGTAATTTATGACATTATATGCCAATTCTCGAGCCTGATAAAGTATTATTAGGCCATTCTCACTCAGCATTGACATGTTTATTTGTTTGTAATTAACGTCTATCAAACGACAGTATTGACAGTAGCGGGTGACCTCGCCTAGGTGAACACTACCAAGCTGACGGTCGTTCATATAGGAGATAATCTACTGTGTTTTGAAATTTGATGTAGCACTCAGTTCAAAAATAAATAAATAGGTATCTACTCTACAGTGGGACGACATCAAATTGCAAAACACAATAGGTTTATCTTCATTCTGCCATGATGGCATCAACGGTTTGAAAATGGTGCTCGCTTGCAACGTGTAACAACACAGGTACACAGGTACACAGGTCTGAATCTTAGAACATTCCGAAATGTGGTCACAGGTAGTTATATATGTAACAATTATTACTAAAGTTCAAAATTAATAACACCATGGTCTTGAGTAGTTCAAAATTAGTGTTCAAAACACATAGTTTTTCAAAAAGACGTTGACAAAAAACACTCCAAACTTAGTCCAAAGACAGATGTTTTAATTTCTACCAACTTGTTGTACACTGTTGTACACTGTGGACCGATTGTCAATTCTTGGAATTCTGCGAGAGAGGTCATTTCTTGGTAATCGAACATGCCATCATTTCTATTGTAGGGGTGACAGGTTGTAGAAAGGTTTTAAAATGCTAAACGAAAATATTTCTACAACAAATTTGTTGAATTTACATTCTATTATACATTTAACATGTGTAAGTGTTGTTAGATAGTTAGCAATTACCAAACAATAACATCTAAATAAATGCCACTACACCCCGTACTTGGATGTGGCAGAACTTGACCTACATCACAGTTACTCACACCTGCAGCTGTCAATGGCTGACAATCTTGTGTTTACATTCTCCGTTGCTAGTTAAATGAAGTAAGATGACAACCCAGATCTATGATGTGGTTTAACATTAACCTGTAGATTTACTGGGAATGATAGAGCCTGCTGGTACAATATGATTACCGATGGAACTGAGTATGACTGAACAGCCTTTTTTTAATATAAAATGTAATTACGGAACAGTGAGAGTGACATCGATTTAGGCTTTGAATGATGCAGGCATTGAAGTCAGACAGATCATGTATATGTCGGGTTACCGAGATGAAGCGTCCATTCGAGGCTATAACAGAGAATGCTCGATTTACCAAAAGAAATCGCCGAGCTCCACACTATCATGCCTCGGGAAGTCCAATTGTGCCGCCTCAAGCGGTGATCCCCGTCATCAGCAGCCGTAGTATGACTCAAACACACATAAAAAGTTCACAGAACGTTAATATGTATCCATTTTAAGCATGAGCTGGGTCTAGATTTCTTTCTAACGCTAACATTTCTGTGTGCAACTTTTATTTCAAGCGAATGACATTGTGGTAGCCGCCATATTTTGCCGTTTGTAAAACCAAGGGATGTCACTCCAAATGGAATGTTTGGGACGTCATGACTCTCCGCGTTGATATAGTTTGCTTTCAATAATTTAAGTTTGATGTTTAATGGATTTTTTTGTTATGATTTATGTATCTTACAATGTAAGGATTGAAGTTGTATTTGTTGACGGTCATCAGCTGATGAAGACAGTGCCTCAAGTGAGCAAATTTTCCATGAAGCGCTTCGTGCATGCGAGGCACTGTTTTCATCAGCTGTTGAACGTCAACAAAAACAACTTCATATCCTTAAGTTGACCGTGTCCATGGGAGTGTTGTCAACTTCATGGTCATGTCCCGCACTTGCAAAACATGGTACACCCTCTTCACCTCTAAGAAACCAAATATGTTTGCCAAAATTCTGGGCAGGCCTTTTTGTCTCAAACGTGTTTTGGTGATTTGGTTCAACTTATCCTAGATTTCAAGTAGTATGTCCAAAGTGTGACATTTAACAGCTGAGTTTGCCTGCATGGTTGGTTTGTTGTTTAACGCCACACTCAGCAATATTCCAGCTATATGATGGTGGTCTGTCAATAATCAAGTCTGGACCAGACAATCCAGTGATTGACATCATGAGCATCGATCAACGCAATTGGGAACGATGACATGCATCAACCACGTCAGCGAGTCTGACCACCCATTCCCGTTAGTCGCCTCTTACGAGAAGAATGGGTTTACCCGTATGGGTACAAAGTGTCCAGCCTATGACTGGTGCTAACCCTAGCTGTGACAGTGGAATATAACCAAAAGCGACAGTGGAATATAACCAAAAGCGACAGTGGATTATAACTCAAAGCGGCACAAAACCCAAGTTGCTGGTAGAATTAACTTGTCCGTGGTATTGCCTCTGGCTGTATCAACAAAACACCAATATATACAACAGTAGGATTTATTCTCTTTGATAAGACAGTGATCACCCCACACCAAAAGGTGCAACATTGTTCCACATTATGGAATTCAAACATCAAAGATTCAACAGTAAGTACTCTTAATAGCTAGCTCAGGGATATACAATCAGTCTAGATATAGTCTTGGAATGAAGAGTAGCGTGTCCGACCTAGAGCATATAAACACAAATATTCTAGTTCACCTGAACAAAAAAAACCTCCAACTTATGAATTTGAAAATGGCTTGTCGGTCTTATTAGATAGATTTATTAGCTACACGAAATGTCCACCATTTGAAAAAAAAGTTAACGTTTGGAATACTTATTTAGCAGTAACAATTGTGAACTTGTGCGATAATGCCCGACAAACAACAAATAAACTTCATCTGGTACAACAAATTCCCACCTATGCTAGCGGTAAGACACCACATGGTGCTGACACAACAACTGATTCAACACTTTGGTCACTTGGTGATGCCGATCACACCACAGGCCTGTCGACCACCAGCATTCCCTGTCTTCAGGCTTTCTTCATTGCCTCCCTTGCCCAGGTCATCCACTCCAGCATGGACCTGTAGAGTCGAAGAGGTGGTTTGAACATACAATGTCGCTGGGATGACACATGCATTACAATGCTGGATTCATCATGGGATATGTACTCTGTTCCAAAAATATATGTGCTGATGTTTGTTTTATGTAAAAAATAATTTTGCTCCATTTTTGTGAAAATGGAGTTGAACAAAGATCATAAGTACAGTGGAGCTCTTTAAAAACAATTATGAGCTGCCATTCTTGTTTTTGTTTAATGTTTAATGCCGCACTATTTTAGCTATGTGACGAAAGTTTGTAAATAATCAAGTCTGGACCAGACAATCCAGATTGCCACGAGTCAGATCACCCGAAACCCACAATGTATTGAGGCCCACAATGTGTTGAATTCCACAAAGTGTTGAATCCCACAAAGTGTTGAATCCCACAATGTGTTGAATCCCACAATTAAACAAAGACCAGATTTCATTACATCTCATATACAACAAATGTCAAGGATAGACATTTCAACATGACTGCTCTGGTGGCCAACAAATTCAGGTGGCATGGGGGAGAACAATCGCGTTACATTTCCGCTTCATTGGTCCAGTTATTGCTGGGCGTGCAGATTAAAGGGCAAGTTCACACGGAAATGAACCGATTTTTCGTGTACTTTTTGCACATTAAAAGTGTTAACCTAGTAGTGTCATAGACAAAAATATAAAAATATCACAATTAATTAACATACTTTTTGCATTAAAACGATTTATATTTTTCACATTTACCAAGTGTTCTATTTCCAGACCAAAAACACCATGGCTTATGCCCCTTGCAATATGACGTCATTGGTGCCAATTGATAAACATTATGACGTCATCATGCTTTGTTAGAGCCGCTTCACGTGGTGTAAGTACAGGTGTGTGATTCTAGCGTCTCAGATGCCAGCCCGTCTAGTGTTATGCTGAGTCACCACTGCGCAGGAGTGTGTCATAGGCCATGTTGTTTTACCGCAAACTGGTACTTGATATCTTTTGCGTTGAGAATAGACAGGGACCCAGTTGAATTGGCACCAATTACGTCATAATCTAAGGGGGATAACTCTGGCCTGTTTAGCTCGAAAAACGAAGGCCTCATAACGGCATAGCATTTTCACACTATTTTGAGCTTCCTACTTTCACTGTGAAAAAAATCAGTTTATATTTTCAAACACAGATACTAACTAATTCTAAAATTGCGTTTTGTTTAGAAAAAGAAAGAAAGTGATTTTTGCGTGTACACTTCCCCTTTAAGGCTGGGACGAGTCCAAATTTACTACCCCAGTACTTGACCCCCTTTTACCCGACCCTACCCGGGTATCCACTCAAGTTAGGTACAAAATGTTCAAACAGGAAGTTTTTTACTTGAGCCCTGGCATAAAGTATTTAGATATTGTATAAAATGATCTGATCGTGCATACACTGAAGTTGACTGAAGCTTTGTCTTTAATCAAACATATAAAAATCAGAAGGAATGTGTGCACAGTCAGAAAGAAATGTGAACATTAGCAACTTATACTTATAAAGTGTAACCATGAAATTTTAATTTTAATGTCATAAAAAAATATATCATGTGACTAACCACAGGTCTGGGTAGTCCTGTGGGTACCCAGGTCCTACTCATTACCCACCCAATGGTAACAGATTAATAGGCTATAAATAATGGTGGCCATGTTGAAAAACGAATTCAAACAATTGAACTATGGGAAGGTGTCATTTTTTGAAGATACAGCTTCAATGTGCCAGTTGCTCGAATGGATGTTTACGAAAGACGGCAGACAAACAGGCCATGATATAAGCTCACATGACATTCAGTCAGGTAAATAAAAAAAAGAAGAGACATTGACATGCTCACGACTCATTCTTGCTAATGGGCTTTGGTCTCTAATGTACTGGCTTCAACCAATCTACCACTTATCAGTACTGGAATACAACTAAGTGTCCATGGAAACAGTGACAGATGTGACCAATAGAGGCCACACTGACAAAGGTCCAAGATGTTGATGTAGAACTCTTGGAAAGATCAAATAAGTGCAAATAAGTGCAAATAAGTGCAGATACAAAGAAAGTCTACATTAAATACAGCAGGACATGATGTAAACATTGAAATATGTCTGTGCCCACACAGAACTTGGCTCTAAGGATTAGCTGGCCCAGGGATAGAAGTCAGCAAGCCTGACCACCCGACCCTGTTAGTTGCCTCTTACGACAAGCATAGTCACATTTTATGGCAAGCACAATCAATAATGAATGCAATTACTAATTCTACTCGATCTATATGTTTTGACTGTTTCTTAATATTTTAAAGTATTTATGGTACATTAAAGACATTTTGAAAGTTTTCTTATTTCATAAGGACCAGTAACCCCATTAGCCGTCAGGGGTTGTTTGGGTCTTGAGTTTCATCCCTGTCACTAGGCAGAACAAAATGAAGCTCATCTCATGACTAATGATTCAAGAAACAGAGGAAGAGAAATCCTGGACAACGTCTGTAGGGAATTGACAAAGGGAAATCTGGAATTCATCCCCGGAACCAAAGGGAGCTAAGGGAGACAACTGCGTAGGTTAAGCTTTGACACGTCTATGTACTTACAACAATAGTTCTGCCAATGATTGATTTGTCCCCAGTCAAACTTATGATCTTGTCCGCGATGTCGATTTTTGCCTCTCCTGATGGGTCAGCAGTAATGTTGCCAAGGTCACCAGCATGTCTGTGTCAACACAAGTAAAATATGAGACAAGCTCTACAGCTTATCTAGAAACAGGATTAGATTAAAACAAAATCACTGGCACTGGAATGCCAGATAATCATATGGTTTATTTTGTTTGTTTGATGTTTAACGCCGCACTCAGCAATATTTCAGCTATATGACGGCGGTCTGTAAATACAAAACAATCCAGTGATTGATATCATGAGCATCGAACAAGGCATTTGGTATACGATGACATGCACCAACCAAATCAGCATGTCTGACAGTCTGATCCCGTGGTCAGCGAATCGCGGCGCCTTAGACGACTGGGCCACCCGTGCCCCCCTACCCAACAGCCCAATACAAGTGTCTAAAGTAGTCTGATTATAGACAACTGTATCAAGTATTTCCAAATCCATCACTCAACCTCGCTTTCAAAGATCAAATCCAAATACTGTTGGAAGTCCTGAACTCGTCCTGTGGCTACTGGCCAAGAGACCAGCTGTCAAGTCGATCCATAGTGATTCATTTGAAAATGCTCAAACTTACATAACAAAACAGTGAGAACTGTTTACATATCAATAACCATCTCCTGGCATACAACCAAGGGATATTTCATACAAACTCAGTATTTGATCAAATGGCTCGTCCCGAGCAAACCCCAAACCAGGTGTTGTGATTCTGATTCCTAGTTCACTGTAAAGTAGACAAGTAGGTCAACTTTCTTCATTGCTTCACTCATTTTACTTTGTTTTTCAAAACCATTATTTTTCCTGAAAACTTCTGGGGCCCTGTTCTACAAAGCGATCTTAGCCCATTGTTGAAGCGATAATTGTCTTAGCACTAAGATTGCTTCCTTTGAGGTGAGGTGAGGTGAGGTGAGGTGAGGTGAGGTGAGGTGAAATGGGGTTTAACGTTGCGTCCAAGATTATTGCACTTACATAGTGACGTGCATGCACATGTGTGTAAGGCTGCTTGTACTAGTCCGGACTGATGCCGATTTATAGTGCTAGCCCACTGAGATACCATGCCGCAGTTTAACATGGATACCCCACTCAGACACAGTATACTGACGCCGAGCCGACCAGTCATTGTTTAAGTCCCTTAAAAAACGCCAAACGGTAAAAACAAGTACCATAATTGAACGTCTTTTGGCCTAAATATTCTTCGAGTGCTGCAGAAGTCATGATGTAAGCGCCAGTCCCTGGTTACCTGATTTCGTCTTCTGGCGCTCCATGGGTCTTGCCGAAAGGGTTGAAGTGGGACCCGGCACTGGTACAGCCTGTCATTAAGTCACAATATCAGTTCACCAAATACCACAAAACATTTTCCACATACTGTTTTCATGTAAATAAGTGCCATGGTCACTTAGAAAATACACAAAAGAGGGCACTTACTAAAACTATGCAAAGCGAGTTAAATCTGTTTTCAGAGACAGTGAATGTATATACTTAGTCGATGAAATTAATACATTTTCAATGATAATTATATACCCCTTCTGCGCTGCTATTTTCTGTACAACAATCTGTTATACCAGCATGCATAAGAAAGTAAGGACCGTCTAGAGTTGTCAAAAAAAACCCTGTAAATATTTCTTTGGAGGTGGATCATAAATTTAAGGGTACTCATAAATTTTGTCTCACAACAGCATGTGACATACAAATTGTACCGATACATCTATATCAAGATCATTAATGACATCCAAAACAATTACCATTTGTGTTGTCCCCGAACTGATGAACGTGGAAGCCATGTTTGCCCTCTGTCAGGCCCGTGATGGAGCCCGTCACTTTCACTGGACTGTCTGCATCCTGAAAATACCATCACTTGTCACAGAAAGGTCAAGGTCATTTATCTTTCATATAGTTTTGTTTTGTTGTTTGTTTGTTGTTTAACGCCGCACTCAACGATATTCCAGCTATATGACAGCGGTCTGTAAATAATAGAGTCTGGACCTGACAATCCAGTGATTAACATCATGAACAACGATCCACGCAATTGGGATATGATGACATGCATCAACCAAGCCAGCGAGCCCGACCACCCGATCCTGTATGTCGCCTTTTACGACAAGTAGTCTCTTTTTACGACAAGCATGGGTTGCTGAAGACCTATTCTACCCCGGATTTCATATAATTTAGGACCCGTGAAGATCCGGGGTGGAATAGATCTACAGCAACCCATGCTTGCCGATTCAAATACTACACTAACCGCCAAAAAAAACACGAACCATAGAAACATATAGAGAAGTCTGTATGTTAAGAAGTGGTGTTTCCAATGTGTACCACTTGATGACTAAACTAACAATCAGTCAAGTGTAACCACAGAGTGTCTTTATCCTTATAACAATATGTGGCATGTGATTTCCGAACTCTACACGCTAATCCTGCACGAGACAAACGGTTATCTTCAGTCATGGATCTATGACATCACATCTGATGTGTTCATGGGCATCGGTTCACGCAAAATACCAGTATGTTCGTTTGTGCATCAAACCAATCTGTTATCTCTTGAATATGAGTAAGTCTTCATATATTAACCAACATGTAAGGTATTCACGTTTCTTTCGGCGGTGAGTATATAAGAGCAAACATCAAGGACCCACCCATTATTTCAAACAGTGAAGCATCGCTAATTCACACTTGACGACACAATATATGACATGTCTATGCATGAATTGTTTTAATTATGTCTTGGTTTTCAAAATGTAATGATTACTCTTCAGACAAAACATGGCTAAGAAAAGGTCTTCATCAACCCATGCTTGCCATAAGAGGCGACTATGCTCGTCATAAAATGATCGGGTGGTCAGGCTCGCTGACTTGGTTGATGCATGTCATCATATCCCAATTGCATGGATTGATGCTCATGATGTCAATTACTGGATTGTCTGGTCCAGACTTGATTATTTACATATCTCTGCATATGGCTCTAATATTGCTGAATGCGGCGTTAAACAACACACAAAGAAAGAAAGACATAACTTGGCCTAATGATAACTTTTTGGGATACTAAGCATTTACTTTCTGTATCTGACTGCATAGTATTATGAGAACAAACTCACATGAACCAGTCATGCAAGTTCAGCATTTACTGGCTGATTGCAGCATCTCACTCGTCATGCCACATGGAACATGGAGAATTTCATGCAAAAAACCCCATAAATTGGGAGTCCTCATACAAATGGTTTTGTGATTTCAGTTTTGTGTTTTGTATTGATTACGAGGAAGGAATATCGTGTGATCCCTAATGATACTGATTGCATCGCTCCAGAACTTTTAAAAGACTAATGCTAAGGTCTCATAAATGAAAGTTTTTGTCAGCTATATTCCCCAATGTTTTAACCCGTGAAGATTCCATGTAAGAGTATAGGTCCCCGAGAACCAACACTTGTCGAAAGAAGCGATTAAGTGGACCTGGGTGGTCAGACTCAGCCACTTTGTTGATTGCATGTCATCGTATCCCAATCGCGTGGATCAGTGCTCATGACATCAATCACTGGATTGTCTGGTCCAGATTATTCACAGACCGCCGTCATATAGTTGGAATATTGCTGAGTGCCGCGTTAAACAACAAACAATGTTGTATCAGTGCCAACCTACCTACTTCAGTTAACTATTAACATGGTGGTGTGGCCCACAATAATATGCGTAATGACAGTCTGAATGACAGTTTGTACAGGCAATGACTCAGCATTAATCATGTTAATCTGCACTGTAATGTATCTGCTGTTCAATGCCACATTCGGCAATATTCCAGAAACATGACGACAGCCTGTTAGTGACAATAATCAAGTCTGGAACAGACAATCCAGTGATTGATATTGTTATTGATTTTGGAATCCCCATGAGGCTGGAGATTTTGTAACAACCTGCATGTGGCTGCACCTGGTGAACTACATTCTTGACAAAACACCATAGTGGCCTCAGCTCGACTGAACTAAACTAAATGTAGATTTGTGTGTCCTTGCCAGACATGTCTCACATGACAAACAATCAATGTAACTGCTGATCACTGAAATTACTGTAAACAGATGGCGTTGAAACATTGTTGAGGAGCATATTTTTACAACACTATCAGCAACATTCCAGCAATATACCTGCAATAACCCAGCAATATTAACAGTAATATTCCTGCAATGACCCAGCAAAATTAACAGCAATATTCCTGCAATAACCCAGCAATATTGACAGCAATGACCCAGCAATATTAACATCAATAACCCAGCAATATTCCTGCAATGACCCAGCAATATTAACAGCAATATTCCTGCAATAACCCAGCAATATTAACAGCAATATTCCTGCAATAACCCAGCAATATTAACAGCAATATTCCTGCAATGACCCAGCAATATTAACAGCAATATTCCTACAATGACCCAGCAATATCAACAGCAATATTCCTGCAATGACCCTGCAATATTAACAGCAATATTCCTGCAATAACCCAGCAATATTCCTGCAATGACCCAGCAATATCAACAGCAATATTCCTGCAATAACCCAGCAATATAACAGCAATATTCCTGCAATAACCCAGCAATATTCCTGCAATGACCCAGCAATATTAACAGCAATATTCCTGCAATGACCCAGCAATATTAACAGCAATATTCCTTTAATAACCCAGCAATATTAACAGCAATATTCCTGCAGTGACCCAGCAATATTAACAGCAATATTGCTGCAATGACCCAGCAATATTAACAGCAATATTCCTGCAATGACCCAGCAATATTAACAGCAATGACCCAGCAATATTCCTGCAATGACCCAGCAATATTAACAGCAATATTCCTGCAATGACCCAGCAATATTAACAGCAACATTCCTGCAATGACCCAGCAATATTAACAGCAATAACCCAGCAATATTCCTGCAATGACCCAGCAATATTCCTGCAATGACCCAGCAATATCCCTGCAAAAACCCATCAATATCACGATGATGGAAGACTAGATGTGTGTGACAATCCCAGTCCTTCAATCTAACTCTGATTTGAACAGTATTTCTGTTATGTCATCGTTTGTCAGCTTGAAGTGGGAGGAAAGCCCTAAGTGATGCAGGTCTTAGACGTTTACCACTTTGGTTGGAGTGGGGGTGGGGGTGGGGGTGGGGGTGGGGGTGGGGGTGGAGTCATTAAACTAGTAAGAAATTTATTGAAGCAAGTGTATCGTCTTGTATCAATACAAAGTATCTGGTATCATATCGTCTCATGAAAACTCACGATGCATCAGGGAGGTATTGTTTCACTCCTAACAGGTTTCTAGCATGTTTAATGGCGACAACTCTCTACAGTGAATTCTGGGGCCTTAGACAACTTGGTAACCCGTGCCTTCTCCCCAAACCAGATGACATGGTGCATGCATGGCACTTTCTCCGATGGTTGTTGGGAATGCAAGGGATTTTTTTTAAGTATTTAGATACGCAGCACATATTGGCTTACGAATATCATAGCTGTTTACATCCTACAATTCTATCCACACCTGCTACTCCTCTGCCACTTAGTGGTTGGATCAGCTTGCATTTTGTCACAACAAAATATGTCCCTTCCATGCAGTGAGTCACCATGTATACAGTCAGCATAGTTTCTTCGGTGAGGTTGTTGAAACAGGTTGACTCCTCTTACTCTTAAAGATGTAAACATTACATTTTGTATAAATGCAATCTGGCATAATCTTATAAAATGCCTACTCCAGTCCTGTAATGCAGATGTTGGCTAGTGTAACAATATAGGATAATGTCAAATATGTTTCGTTATAAAGCATGAGATTGATCACCAGCAGCGAGGTCAATGTTTGTGATTGTAGTCAAGGATGTTTATGAAATAGCATATCCAGGCATATATCTAGACCAGCTAGATCAATCCATTGTTTTCTGTATCGATACAAGACCATACACTTGCTGAAATAAATTACTTACTACTTGTTAAATGACCCCTGGCAATTTTTTCAGTCGGATATAACAAAATATGTTTCAAGTTCACTACTAAAAATAGCCGCTACAAACATGTGTCTACAGCTAGCTTTTCCTTTTGAACCTGCTCTGAAATATTTATTGTCAAGTTTCCATGCGATTTAACGTAAATATGCGTATCGTGATACGTATCAAATCGTGACCTACGTACATGTATCGTGATCTTGCTGTATCGTTTCACCCCTAAAGTAAAAAGGAATTGATATTCCTGAGTGAGTGAGTGAGTAGTAAATTTGGACATGCCCCAGCCCTCTTGTCTAGCCCCAGCCCTTTACATTCAGGGTGCATTATGGGACTGGGCAGCCTACATTCACACTTGCTTTGCAGTTTCTCTTGGGAACAAGTTGTATTATCATTGTTGGATTTATTCATATTTATCACAGGTTAGTTTATGTGTGAACTGTGGCCATTTCTCGAGATATGGTTGGAATATTTCTAAAATCAGTGTAAAATTGATTTGAAATACTGAAATTAAGTAGGGTATAATTATTAACAATTATTAAACACCATTTTGTTTTATTTATCATGTTTATAACATGTTTATACTATTTATCACAGGTTAGTTTATGTGTGAACTGTGGTCATTTCTCGAGATATGGTTGGAATATTTCTAAAATCAGTGTAAAATTGATTTGAAATACTGAAATTAAGTAGGGTATAATTATTAACAATTATTAAACGCCATTTTGTTTTATTTATCATGTAGAGGCAGCATCAAAGGTCCACTGACCATGCAGATATATATCACATCAGGGTTTTACTGGACACAACATTTTGCATCCGATACGCATATAAACTGTGAATGGACAGAAAAACGTTTCACTGTTTGAATCATTAAAACCAAAAAAGATAGTAGACTGCATGTTACAGACAACAGACATTTTTATTTAGCATACACCCAAAGGTAAGAGGGTCACTGGTTAAGTTTCTTCAGTCTAATATTGAACACATCACCACCTAAAATACACTTGGGGTTTCAGAACATGTGCCATGATAACAGTATTTTGGAAGGAAATGTAGAGAAGCGTGTCACGTCGCCATGTTCACGCCTTACACCCTTGAAATCATAACTGACTACAACCGACACACCCAGCTTGGTAAATAACAAACATATCAATAAAAGACGGATCTCATAATATGTAATGATGTTCCTTTAGAGTAAGATATGTTCAAATATTCAAAAATAATTAAAAACCTGACTGGATTGTGCTGGTAAAACACCAGGACTAAATGCATTTTGGAAGGTTGGAGCAAAATTAGCATTTCTCTGTACAAAATTTTTAATTAATACCCAAAATTGATACCCACACACAAGACAAATTACGCTATCTACAATTTGATCTAGACTCATGTCCTGTTCTGATTGCTCACGAACGAACACTTTATACGTAAATGCCTAGCCTAGTAGATAGCGTAATTTGTCTATGTTGCTTAATAGATTTAGACAAACCCAAATATCACACTCGATCATGTTTGAGGCAGACAAACTTACCAAAATCATTGTTAATGGTGACATGTCCCATAAAGTATTAATTTGGTTGATCAAAAATGAATCAAGGTTGATTTAACGTTGCGAATGCGGCCTTGTTCGGCCCAGTTTCTCGGTCAAGATTATAGGCCTAAGTTCACATGGCTCGCCAGTGCACGCTGACATTTGCTTAGATTCTAGACAAATACAATACTAAGCAAGAAATACAAATTGTCATACTCCCTGTGAGAAGTATACTGTTCCCTTGACTTCCGAATCACCTCTCAGCACACAAACTGCTTTGATAGACATGTTTCAACAGCTGAATATTTCACCGGAAAGTGCTTGTTGTAGCAGAGATCGCCGAGAATTGCACTGTAATGGTTGCCGAGGTGTCGTGTGCAAATCAAACACGCATGGGATGAACCCTATCCAGTAATTTTGATCCGCTATAACGCGTAGCTTCTAGATCAACATAACAGCTTCTGTGAGAATCATATATCATTGAAAAATATTTATTCATTTCTCAATCACACCAATAAAACGCTAAATCATAGTTATGTCCCCTTACTGCGAGGCATATTGCCTCCCTTTGCCTATGAACATTAAAATAGATCTATATTTACCAAACTGACATTGCTAAGAATAATCGGTCGTGAGAAACCATCAATTACAAAAAAATAATGAAACCGAAAATTAAAAGAAAATGCATTAGTTTATTGTCACATCCTCCTCGATTATTCAAATAAATATTGCTCCATTCTTTTGTATACATGCATACACTGGACCACATAAATACGCACCTGATCATATAGCCTATTAAATTAAAAAACATATATCATACGAGTCGGTCTCGTTTATTCATGGATGAAAACATATATTATTTTTTTCATGTTCAGTAAGTATTCCTGTGGATGGATCTATTCGCCACTGTAGTTTCGTATTGTACCGGGTTTGAATCGCACGACGCTAAAGTAGCCGTCTGATATCTAAAATTACTGTCACGAACGAGAAAATTGAGTTAGCCGGTGACGTCACTTGCGAAACGAAGCGAATGGGTCTATTTCATAATCGAGGAAGCTGTCACCTTGGCCGATAAATTTATGCAACACAATTCACATTTTCCTGGGAGTGCGCCAGCTCTTGTAATTTAAAAATGCCATGTCATACCTGATGATAGATATAGTATGATAGATGGGAAACTGTCATATTAAGAAAATAAGCTTCCTGTTGATTTTTTACAGCTGAATAGATTGAGTTGGCATATTTTTGTCATTTCTGGAGGGTGTGGTGGGTAGTCTAGTGGTTAAAGCGTTCGCCCGTCACGCCGAAGGCCCGGGTTCGATTCCCCACATGGATACACGGTGTGAAGGCAATTTCTGGTGTCCTCCGCCTTAATATTCTGCTGGAATATTCCTCAAAGCGGCGTAAAACCATACTCAGTCAATCAATCATTTTTGGAGATTAGAACTTGCCCTCGAAACTTACCCATCACCGATGGGCCCCGTCTCTTCATAAATTTATCCCAATATATAACTTGCGTGACTTGTCGACGTGCAGACAGATCCGGGAACCAGCGTGTTCCTAGTGAAAACAATCAGATGACGTCATAGTGTAGCATTGTTGTCATTTGACACGCGTGACGTAATGCATAGTGATCCTGACGTCACAAATGTGTATTTCCTGTTTGTTAACAGTTGTATGTTGAGCTAATGATGAGTAAGACTCATCGCGGAATGAAATGAGTGTAGTTTTTCCGTGCAGGAAGAGAGAATTCTTGGCTCCTTCAAAAACCCTTCAAGATCTGAAAGTAAAACTCGGTCCTGTTTATTTTGATGCTAAATTGATTGAATGTCCCCAAAATGCAGTTGAACTCGTAAAGCTCCTACAGAAGTTGGAAGAGCTTGATAAACAGAAATTCAAGAAGTTGTCGGAAAAGTCCAGGGAACAAAGAGTTTTACAGAATTCTTTATCGTCAAGGTTTGTGAGGCTACCATGTTGAAACAGTTGATACAAACGATTTACACTGGTTTGATACTTGCGTACCCCAGTACCTTATGTGTACCTGACCCGTGAAGACCCGGTTAGAATAGGTCTTCACCAACCCTTGCTTGCCGTAGAAAAACGACTGTGCTGTCATAAGAGGCGACATACGGGATCGGGTGGTCAGACTCGCTGACTTGGTCGATGCATGTCATCGTATCTGAATTGCGTGAATCGATGTTCATGATGTCAAAAACACACACACATACACACATACACACACACGCACGCACGCACGCACAACAAATTATGTGTACCTTAGTTTGTTACAGGGAGACGTACCGGTTACTGTCATGTCGGCCACTGTCCTTGATAACCATCCTTCATGTCATTCATGCCCCCTTTGACCCCCTCACATCCCCTATAAGTCTTGTAACGCAAATACACGATCATTTGAAGACGAATATACCGGTCCAATATACCGACCCTGGCCTGTTCCCCTGACACACAACGTTGGGACCCTTCGTGTCCAAAATTATAGAAGTAAAATATTCTTAGACCATCTTCTCAATGCTTATCTATCTTGTGAAACTTAAACACGATCAATTGCAAACGTAATTGACGCGTAGTGTATTTGATTTCAACAACCCAATCACTATTTATGCAATGCAGAATGCAGAAGTTATCAATACAGACCCCCGTATGATGTGTTCCCCTCTTTTTAACCCTTACTTTGAAGTCGAAAAAATCAAAATACACCAGACACACAAATATACTTCTTAGTTTTGAATTCTGCGGGAAATTATCTGTTCTGTGATATCATCCGCTGTCATTTAAGGCACCCCATGCTTATCGTAAGAGTCGACTAACGGGATCGGGTGGAACGCTGACTTACATCCCATCGTATCAACCTTTTTCTTGTTGATACTGATGAGCAACGATCTCCGCCGTCGGGGTCCGATGACACGCAATCTGCCAAGTCACTAAGTCTGACCACCTAATCCATTCAGTCGACAAGCTTCAAAAGGACCAGTCCTCACCCGGAATCCCAAGGTTCATGGATACATCATATATAATAGTGATTTGAGAATCACTATTCATAATAATTACATATTTTGGTTGGATTTAAGATGAACGTGTAGGGTTAGTAAATATGAATGTGGAATTCTCTCATGCAACCCTATGTCCTTGTGAGAGAAGATACACAATTCGCATTGAAGTAATAGTTATGCTCGATGCTAGCACATCAACCCGCTTGACTTAATTTGTTTCTTCACGTACGGCGGAGTGAGACATCGGCATATAATTATGTACAACCTGTGATTCTCTTTACGTTATGTGGGGAATCAGTTGTTTGTGTTCTATAGAAGATATTAGTGTCATGTATCAGTGGGCATGTGTAAAATAAAACCATAAATTCATAAAACACAAGAAACATACCAGTTCACATACAAATCCAATCACTCCAGCAGCTTCAAAAGAAGTAACTGGACTTTAGATGTCATGTCAGTTGCCGTGTTCATGTGATTCCCTCCATCACCATTAAATGTGCTTTCGTTCATTCATTGAACGTCAAAAACACCTCACTGTGAGAATATATTAATTTCATCATTAATCCGAATACTGAACTTTCCTCTATGCTTATAAAGCTCCCTCAGAATGCATTTCCAATTGTGTTCATATTCTACAAGGGCGGTCGGGTAGCTTAGTGGTTAAAGCGTTCGCTCTTCACGCCGAAGACCCGGGTTCGATTCCCGACATGGGTACAATGTGTGAAGCCCATTTCTGGTGTCCCCCGCCGTGATATTGCTTGGATATTGCTAAAACCATACTCATCCATCATCATCATATTCTACAAGGTCTTGTTAGGCAGCACTATTCCGGCCACACGTATGTCAGTGAGGACTGCAAATAATCATGTCTGGACCAGGCAAACACAATCACGTATCAAGCCTATCAAATATAATACTAACAGAGCATTGCAATTATATACTGTGATTACATTATTATCATGTCAGGAGAACTCGCCTGTGATATTCAAATAAATATTACACTTTGTTTTAACATTTCATTACTTCAATATTTGTGACACAAGACGTGTCTCAGTTTTGTCTGACCCTCAATTTCAAAACATAAAACATCTTTGACAATGTAGTGTATATCTTTTCCCATCAGGTATGTCAACATTAAGGACCCGTCATGTTCCTCCTTATTATCCACCTCCTCATCCGTCAAGAGTTTCTCCGAGGTCATCGACCAGAAGAAGCTGCCACCTGGCTTCCGGTTCCATGCAAATGGCGATCCGAAGTCGGGGGTCATGGCGCCCGACAGGGACGTCGTAGACTCCAGGACATCCGTGACGTCGCGGCTCTCAGCTACAGACAGGAGGGACGGCAGGTGGAGAGATGATGACGGCGGCAACGTCGATGATGACAAACTGGAAGATGAAATAACTGAAGAGAACACTCCCCGTGACCCGGGGTATGAAGAGGTAGGGTTGTCTCCCCGTGTTATTGCATGACTAAACCGAACACCTGGTGTCATATCACTGATCTTCAGTGATCCATTCATATAAATTTCACCGCTACTTTGCGGTTTACACCCATTGAAATATTTTGGGCGGATAATCGAGACTGGTTATTCTCTGGCGTTGACGTTTTGTATTGGCCTGGAATAGCAGGTAGCCCTCTGATAGTCGATGTTGCGTGAGGTTTGTTAAGAGATGCATTTTGCATTTCCTCATGAATATCTAAGAAATTGTATATCCATGCGACTGCATGGTGTGTGTCAGAGTACCGACCGGTTATGTTAAGATTGTGCTCATTGTTATTGAGGATAACAGAAATATGTCGTTTAGTTATAATATCAACCACAATATAGCTCTGAAAAAGGACAGAAAGAAAAGCATTTGGACACTGTCAGTGTTAGGAAAAAGAATGAACCTTTCTTCAAAATATATGTCGACGTAGTAAAATGGTTTGTTTCAACCACAACATAGCGGTACCAGTGCAGCCACTCTCTTTTAACACGACAGGACCTAACGAAGAGGATTTACGGATGTCAACTTCTTTATATGAGGAACACAACGTTTCGGAGGTTATACTCACTCCTTCATCAGCGGAATGACCTTAATTCACCCGATGAAGGCGTAAGTATATACTTCGATACGTTGTGTTCCTCACGATAAAGAGGGGCGGTCGGGTAGCCTAGTGGTTAAAGCGTTCGCTCGTCACGCCGAAGACCCGGGTTCGATTCCCGACATGGGTACATTGTGTGAAGCCCATTTCTGGTGTCCCCCGCCGTGATATTGCTGGAATATTGCTAAAAGCGGCGTAAAACCATACTCACTCACTCACTCACGATAAAGAAGTTGACATCCATATATTCTCTTCCTTACGTGTATCACTTCTAAATGCCTTTCAGGATTTAACACCTTACCTTGTAAAACCAACACTGTGTACTGTGCTACAGACGGAATTCAGGTCCATGTGAGTATGGTTTCACGTCGCCTCGAACACTATTTCAGTGTACACCGAAGTGTCAGCTTTACGTGAGAGTGAGTGAGTTGGATTTAACGCCGCTTTTAACTGTATATCACGGCGTGTCTGTTTCGAAGTGATGCAGGTCTCAGACGTTTACCACTTTGGTTAAACCCACGAGCACGGGTATGGTGCTGACAAACCTAGAAACATATTCGGGGCGAACCGGGATTCAAACCCACAATCATAGTTTCTGGCGTGCCCAAGGGACGCAACTCTGCACAGCGAATCGCGGCTCCTTGGACGACTGGGCCACCCGTGCCCCCTTTATGTGAGAAGAAGTCCAAACTGATGCTGGTCCTTGGTGTTTATGCCACTTTGGTGAACCCAAAGAGCACAGATGTGGCGCTGTCTATCCAATGATGACAATAATGGCGAGGTTGTTTATTGTACTTCCAGATTGATTACAGCCATGAAATAGAAGAGCTGGAAAGGGTAATAATGCAGCTTGAGGCCCAGCTCATCTCTCAGTCGGACAAGTCCACAATCTCTGACGACGAAACTGTTTCGTCTAAACACAATTTCCTCCGGGCCCACTCACACTCCGGCGAAATCTTCGAGTCGTGTCTGAACCGGACGTCGGCAAACTACGCTTACGACCCAGAACAGCAGTACAGACTGGAAAAACTGCCTGGCAGTCAGTTCCTTGGCTCCCGATTCAAACCGACAGTGTCGAAAAATTCAAAATGCCTTGCGTGTCAGTTTAAGCTGAGGCATGTCGGAAACGAGTTCCTCAAATCCAATGGCAAGGGCATCACGAAGGAAAGATGGCATATCGCACCTTCAGGCTGCTTTGTCGCGAGCCCCACCATCTCCGCCAAGTCCAGCCTCAGACTCATAGAACAGACCCAGCAAAGTAGAGAGTCAATGGTCAGAGATTGGTCTGGCGGGTTGCCAGGAGATTCCAGCAGAGGGTCCGCCAAAACACTTCCCAGGCGACATGGGAGCTCCATCGTGTTCAAGAACAGCAGCAGCTTGACGTCCAACACGTCACCAAGGAGGCGCCGAGACGGAACCCAGTCTCACACAAGCAGCATGACGTCCAACGTATCAGGGAGGCACTTAGACGGAACCCAGTCCCACGCAAGCGGCATGACGCCCAGGGTGTTATCGGGGAGGCGTTTAGACGGAACCCAGTCTCACACAACCGGCAGGGCGTCCAGCAAGTTACAGGAGAGTCGTCAGGACGGAACCCAGTCCAATACTAGCAGAAGGGTTGTCTCATCTACCGTGGGTTCCACGTCAAGTCTACGTAGATTCTTGTCACCACTACAGAAGGACTCGAGAATGCAGATGCTCAGATCTCAAGTGGTTTGTATAAACAGTTTGTATGTAGCAAGTATGCATTGGTACCGACCATTAACTATTCTGGTGTCCGCGCCAATCTTTCGACTTAACTCTGGCCGAAATAGTGCATGTCGTTTGTCGTTATTATGCATATCCATTGTCGATTGTCGTAGGATACCCGTATCTCTTACACACCTGTGGATGAGAACCCGATTTGAGATAACTGGTATCAAACATTGAATGAAATCGAAATCCAGATCCGTGATTGGCTACTCCATGGTGATGACCTAAGGTCAGATTATGACGGACTACTTTCCTCATTGTTCACGCACTCCGGCGCATAGTTGATTTAGCATAACACCACTGCCACAGGCTAATTTGCATATCATGTGACCGGACTTTTGTTTGTAAACAAACGCGCTTTTTCAGAAATCAGAATAGAACGGACTCATGCACGTATTTGGGGGCGCTTTACATATTGTTTTGCATAATTATATAGACATGTAACTACAACTGCATGACAATACATTTTTACACATCAAAGTGACCGTATCGCTAGCTCTACGCAAATGGAAATAGTTTTTCATGATTTAGGATATTTTCTCAATGAAAGTTAACCATTCTATGACATATGTTTATCTAGATATGTGGACGTGTAAAAAATGAAACAGATGAAAATCATATGCAATATCTTGAATGGGCTGTGTAAGTTGTGACGAATCGTCACATGGCGCTCCACATGACTTATGTGTCATTGAGGCAGACTGAAAGTTATTCGTAAAGTGTTATTTGGCTCACAGGAATTTGTAGCTCTGCATAGAAACTAAATTTTCGAAGGCCGAACAACAGCCCCGCACTGCCTTGATTCCATCTAAGTTTTTTATTGATTAACATTTCAGTTTGGTAAATTTGTCCGGGAGATTGCAAATATATTCAATCAGAGTGTGAGGATCTCCAGCCCAATCCTCCTCGTTATAATGAAGCTCCAGTTGTATGCTGTACTCGTGTGTTTCCATTCCTACTCGTTATAATGAAGCTCCAGTTGTATGCTGTACTCGTGTGTTTCCATTCCTCCTCGTTATAATGAAGCTCCAGCTGTATGTTGTACTCGTGTGTTTCCAATCCTCCTCGTTATAATGAAGCTCTAGGTGTATGCTGTACTCGTGTGTTTCCATTCCTCCTCGTTATAATGAAGCTCTAGGTGTATGCTGTACTCGTGTGTTTCCATTCCTCCTCGTTATAATGAAGCTCCAGGTGTATGCTGTTCTCGTGTGTTTCCATTCCTCCTCGTTATAATGAAGCTCCAGATGTATGTTGTACTCATGTGTTTCCATTCCTCCTCGTTATAATGAAGCTCCAGTTGTATGCTGTACTCGTGTGTTTCCATTCCTCCTCGTTATAATGAAGCTCCATCTGTATGCTGTACTCGTGTGTTTCCATTCCTCCTCGTTATAATGAAGCTCCAGATGTATGTTGTACACATGTGTTTCCAATCCTCCTCGTTATAATGAAGCTCCAGGTGTATGCTGTACTCGTGCTTCCATTTAGTCAAATATAGATTTCAGATTTTCACACACCCTAGTATCTTTGTGGAGTAGCACTCTGAAACCGGCATTGGTCTGGATTAGTACAAGCAGCGACGCACACACACGTACAGACGTGCAAAAGTTAAACCTCACCTCACTTCACATCATGTCACCTACAAATGATATAACCTTATCCATGTTAATCAGTTGTAATGATCACAAGACATGACATAAACTATGCTGTGTAAAATGCAGACGGCAATGACGATGCACACAGAATCACAAGCGAGATGTGAGTGAGTGAGTGAGTGAGTATGGTTTTAGGCCACTTTTAGCAATATTCCTGCAATATCACAGCGGGGGACACCAGACATGGGCTTCACACATTGTACCCATGTCGGGAATCGAACCCGGGACTTCGGCGTGACGAGCTAACGCTTTAACCACTAGGCTACCCCACCGCCCCTCATAACGGTATTTCTCCATATACATTTCCAATAATGTAACCGACTGCTATATTACATATGAACTATGTTGAATTTTGTATTTTAAGGTGTTATTTTTAATGTTCAGGAACAGGACACATACGACTGCCAACAAAAAGTGGATGCTTTCATAGATGACCTGAAAACGAAGAAACTCACAGAATCCAAACACCGAGGGGAACACGACTGAAGGATGGCATCTCTCCGTGCCCCATCACCACGCCCTCGGCATTAATATGCTGCTCAGTAACCAGTCGTATTCAGACAGCGATCCGACCTGATATGATGACTGTTAAGGAACAGAAACTGGGACATGTAGTATCGTTTTGTCGGTTATCTACTGGGACAAACTGGCTTTGTGCCTTGTTTACGAGACCCTAGGTCACGCCGTCTTGTCTGTACGGCCTTCCTTGTGTCAGTCGTGTGGTAATATGTATGCATGTCCACGTTCCGTTAGATCTAGACCACGCCATTAGTGTCAGTTTAGAGGAAATATGTATGTCAAACCATATGCATATTGCCTCTGTTCATATTGCATGTAGTAAAATCAGGACCGATGAAAATAAATTATTTTTGTAAACACTTCATTAGTTGCTGTCGCTGCTCGTATCCGAGCTTATTCATGTAGAAACAGAAGTGTACTGTGTGATAGCATAGGACCCTCCATGTTATCACCTGTGGTCATATTTAATAAAGACCAACACGCTGATCATGCTTGTGTGTGGATGTAAGCTGCAGTTATTACGTTGTTCAAGCGTCTGTGACATACTGATGAATGGAGAGTCACGATCTGTTTTTGTCAGAACGTTGTTGTTTTTCATGCACACGATTTTAGTAATAAATACATGTCACAAAAATAGTTGTGGGGGAATATCATCTGTGGATTCACACGATGACACTGTGTTGATGAGCTGTTTTGCTGCTGGCTTGTCGATGATGTCGGCCATGTCGTGATGGTGGAATTGGAGATACGGTTCTGTCATCTCTGGGGCCAGCAAACCGACCTCATTGACCTGATTGAATTTGCTCTCACGTAAGGTTGAAATATGTGAAAAAAGGGTGATCACATTTTTTTTTAACTTGTGGATTTATTTTCTAATTTTAATCACATCTAAAACATACAATGGTCTGCAATTAGCTCCTGACATGCGGCACAAGACAGAATGGAACCTGAGAAACACGTATTGCCATCAGGCTGCATCAGCATTATTTTAGTTCACAATGTAGTAAATGTTAGCATATAATTTATTTCGTTTAACAACTATACAGATATATAACTTCCAGTTTTGTTTCCCGAGATATATTTGTGAATTCAAAACAATGCAATGAGTTTAAATTTTTTTTATCAGTTTTATTTCGGAAAAGCAACTGCTCCTACGAGCGGTCTACATATACATATTACATATACTCCAAGGACGTTAACGCTATTAACACTTACATGTAAGACCCCTTGGCTGGTATGTAACATTGCTTCATATGATGTCTACACAACGAATACATACAAAAGACGCATTACACATTGTTTCACAGCTGGATACACTCGTTCGATCTATTGTGTCGGTCACAGTGTTAACTTGATCCTGTCGGAACGGTACAAGCTCCGCTACCGTGGTCGTCATTCTCGGCGGAGGTTGGTGATTTCTATTTGCTATGTTAACACTATCTACAGTTATTTGTGTAAATAATGTATGCACACTGATCGCTGTGTGTGTGTGTGTGTGTGTGTGTGTGTGTGTGTGCATGCATGCAAGACTCCACAGTAGGACTCCGTTTGACAAAGCGATCGTAGTGCTAAGACGCCCTTAATTTGAACGCTTCAATCCTTTTGTGAAAGGCTCTTAAACTTTGTGACATGTTTCCTGTCTGTGGTGGATCGTATTCTTGCATTTCAACCAACGTTACTCAGTGTGAGTTAGCACCGGTGAAGATCCGGGATAGAACAGGGCCCAGTTCCACAAAGCGATCGTAACTACAATCACTCTTAGAGACTTACGTCGATTCTAAAATTGTCTTAGCTAAAGTTTACAACCGTTCCACAAAGCGATCTTAGGGTGATTGTAACTTTACAAGTTCTTAAGTAGCCGATCTTAACAAAGATCCGAATCTTCAGCCATAAAGATACGAAATTTTCCCTTGGAGTGGCCTCCCTTGGTCATGTTTAGCAGACGACGCATTTCCTTGCACATCATAATAAAAGTCGCCATTTTTGTTGTTATGGTACAATATTTAAGATCGATTTTAGCAATCCTAAGTTGGTCCGGAGCAACTTAACATTTTGATCTTAACTTACAACTCTCTTAGTTAAGATTGCTTTGTGGAACGGGCGGCTGATCGTAACAAAAATTTAAGATCGCATACTTAGTGAGTTACAATCAACTTAGCCCTAAGATCGCTTTGTGGAACGGGGCCCAGGTCTTCAGCAACCCATGGCGGCCGGTAAGACATCGGGACACTGAGGACATGGACACCAGGCTGTGACGTGAGGTGCTCCCCCCTCCTTGCTGGTTTGTGTCTTTACGAGTAAGAATGTCTGCCCGATTGGCAGGGGGATTTGACCATGATGCTTTAGGTTTAGGTATATTGATGATCTGATATCGGTCAAATAGCCAATTCTCTTACACCGAATTACCCATCTGAACTATAAGTATGGAAAGCCAGTGTCACCGCCTCATCTTTCATATTTAGGGGTTCTGTGAATAAAACTTAAGAATGACAAAATACTCCCGACAAGGATTTTCCAAGAGGGATGATTTAAACGTTCCCTTTATGTTGAGCAACATTGCAGCAGCCCCAGCCTTTGGTGTTTTCATTTCACAACTTTGTAGGTACAATGGAGCATGCTCTTTCTAACAAGATTTCGAAGAGCGTCATACGACACTTGGTCAAAGTTTTTTTTATCAGAGTTACAGCAATCAAGATCACCGGTAAAGCTTTCCATAAGTTTATGGTAGACATGTGGCCGATAGTTCCAAATGATACCACGTGTTCGCGACAAGGTGAGCATTTACTGCAACGCCGGTGCCACCCGTCATAAATACATAGAAAGGCAAGTCACTTCTTCCCTTGACAAAGCACGGGAACATATGGTGAAAAGGGAATTACTTCAGACAAAATTTTGATCACTGATGGAAATGTGGAAGTGTGGAAATGTCCTTCGGATGTCTACCTTAAGACCTTTTGAAAGCTTTACTTAGACCGTCATAATTTGATATGATATAAATAATAACACATTTGAGCATACTACTATCCCGGTACTTATCAATAAGAAACAAAATCTCTGTTTTACATGGATTTACCTGAATTAGGAGATAAACATACTGTATTTTCAATGTAGAGCTAGGTTACCTGTAGATTTAACAGCGCTAAATTGAATTTGGAACCGAACGCGCAGAGTGAGGTTTCAAATGTTAAATTTAGCGCGTTCCGTTCCAAATTCCATTTAGCGGGGTTAAATCTACAGGTAACCAGCTCTACATTGAAAACACAGTATGCCTATCTCCTAATTATGTCTTTAGTGCACAATATTTCGTTTTGCGCATCCTCGCTCACCTCTAAAGTGTTACATCACTGAATATATTGAGCACAGGTACCTGTGGTACTGTGATCTCTGGAAAAACAGGCCCTGCACGTGCATGCTTGCATGACTAACACGACCGAACACGAAACAGACCCCAGTTGTTGTTTTTTGTTGTTGAACACAGCACTGGGCCTTATTCCAGCTTTATGACGGCGCCCTGATAAATAATCGATTCGGAACCAGACAATCCAGTGATTGATATTACGAGCCATGGCTCACGCAGTCGGGGTACGATGACATGCATCAACCATGACTCCAACTATAATAATCGTCTTAAATTGGGACTATGTTCCACGGATGAGATACACGTCCAACGTCCAACATCCAACGTCCATGCAGTTACCCCGTGGAGAATCCAGGTTAGAATTAGTCCCCAGCAACCTATGCTGGTCGTAAGAGGTGACCAAATGGTTCAGGTGGTCAGATTCGGTGACTTAGTTGAATGTCCCCACACCCCGGTGCTCGGTGACTTAGTTGAATGTCCCCACACCCCGGTGCTCGGTGACTTAGTTGAATGTCCCCCCACCCGGTGCTCTGTGACTTAGTTGAATGTCCCCACACCCCGGTGCTGGGTGACTTAGTTGAATGTCCCCACACCCCGGTGCTGGGTGACTTAGTTGAATGTCCCCACACCCCGGTGCTGGGTGACTTAGTTGAATGTCCCCACACCCCGGTGCTCGGTGACTTAGTTGAATGTCCCCACGCCCCGGTGCTCGGTGACTTAGTTGAATGTCCCCACACCCCGGTGCTCGGTGACTTAGTTGAATGTCCCCACACCCCGGTGCTCGGTGACTTAGTTGAATGTCCCCACACCCCGGTGCTCGGTGACTTAGTTGAATGTCCCCACACCCCGGTGCTCGGTGACTTAGTTGAATGTCCCCACACCCCGGTGCTCGGTGACTTAGTTGAATGTCCCCCCACCCCGGTGCTCGGTGACTTAGTTGAATGTCCCCACACCCCGGTGCTCGGTGACTTAGTTGAATGTCCCCACACCCCGGTGCTCGGTGACTTAGTTGAATGTCCCCACACCCCGGTGCTCGGTGACTTAGTTGAATGTCCCCACACCCCGGTGCTCGGTGACTTAGTTGAATGTCCCCACACCCCGGTGCTTGGTGACTTAGTTGAATGTCCCCACACCCCGGTGCTTGGTGACTTGTCTGGTTGTAGGACGCTAAACGTTCAGTGACTGATTAGTCTGGTGTAATCATTTACATGCTTCCGTGATATAGCAGGAATATGGATTCCTGCCACAGCAACAGCAAAGAGTGAGTGAGTAGGCTTTTACGCCGCTTTTAGCAATATTCCAGCAGTATCACGGCGGGGGACACCAGAAATGGGCTTCACACATTGTACCCATGTCGGGAATCGAACCCGGGTCTTCGGCGTGACAAGCGAACGCTTTAACCAAAAGGCTACCTGACCGCCCCGCAACAGCAAAGAAATAATTTCTAACGCTCTTAGGTAAAATCTCCATATTCTACCGACCCGTGAAGATTCCGGGATAGAATAGGTCTTCAGCAACCCATGCTTGCCGTAAAAAAGGTGACTATGCTTGTCGTAAATGGCGACTAACGGGATCGGGTGGTCAGGCTCGCTGACTTGGTTGATGCATGTCATCGATCCCAATTGCGTAGATGGATGCTCGTGATATTAATCACTGGATTGTCTGGTCCAGACTCGATTATTTACAGACCGCCGTCATAAAGTTGGAATATTGCTGAGTGCGGCGTTAAACAAACAAACAAACCACCCTATTCTGCCTTCGTCAATAACAATGACTGGCCACTTTCTAAAATAACGCCAGTATGAGCAGGTGAATAGGAGGATCCTATCACATCTCCAATGTCATTGCTGCAAACGAGTAGCATCTATATGCCAGCTACTGATCATATGAACAATGAACATACTGAACACAATAACATGAACTTGACAGACGATATGGAGAAGCAATAACGTACACCATTTAATATTGTGTTTTCCACGAGTGTTTGTTTAATCACTGTTGTTTAATATCGCGGCGAGTATTATTAACAGTGTTTATATATAGCTGTCCATCGGCAGCTGCTGCCGTGCTCTGTATGTTCTCAATGAAAAGATGGGTAGTGATATAACATCACAATAACCAATCAACACATTTACATTGGTTGCAACCAATTTGGGATATAATACATGTTTTCCGTTGCACAGGGAGCTTGACATTATCCAGAGTGTGTCTCATGTTCTTTTAGTCCATCTGTGAGATTGACGGCTCTGCAGCTGATTTCAAGTGGGATCTTTCCTTTGATGTGGGCAAATGAAAGACAGTATTGGACATATGGTATGTAGTTTACTTAGTGTGGGTCCCAGTGATGACTTTCACGGCCACATAAACTAGAGCCGTGTAGTGTTGCTCACCAGTTCGTGGTGGCCTGTGACGTTCTCTGCTGTGATCATCGTTGGACAGGGACGGTGGATATGTGTACGGCAGAGGTTTAGCGGCAACATTCTCGTGAATTTGTATGAATGAACTCAGGGACATTCTCATTGATATGGCCGTCTGATCTCTAACAGGGACTTTTCCGGTATTGTGCGCGTCTGAACAGTGACTTTGACAGTTGAACTCCACAGTGAATTTTCCAGGGATGTGCTATTCTGAACTCAAACACTGACATTCCCTGTGATGTGCTCGTCTGAACTCGAATATTGACATTCCCTGTGATGTGCCCGTCTGAACTCGAATATTGAGTTTCCCTGTGATGTGCGCGTCTGAACTCGAATATTGAGTTTCCCTGTGACGTGCCTGTCTGAACTCGAATATTGACATTCCCTGTGATGTGCCCGTCTGAACTCGAATATTGACATTCCCTGTGCTGTGCCCGTCTGAACTCGAATATTGACATTCCCTGTGATGTGCCTGTCTGAACTTGAATATTGACATTCCCCGTGATGTGCCTGTCTGAACTCGAATATTGACATTCCCTGTGCTGTGCCCGTCTGAACTCGAATATTGACATTCCCTGTGATGTGCCCGTCTGAACTCGAATATTGACATCTCCCTGTGATGTGCCCGTCTGAACTCGAATATTGACTTTATCTGTGATGTGTCCGTCTGAACTCTAACATTGACTTTCCCTGAGAAGTATCATTCTGAAATCCAGCAGTGACGTCCCTTGTGATGTGCCCGTCTGAACTTCAACAATACCATTCCCTCTGATATGTGCCTGTCTGAACTCCATCCAACATTGATGTTCCCTCTGATATGTGCCTGTCTAAATTCCCTCCAACATTGATGTTCCCTCTGATATGTGCCTGTCTGAACTCCCTCCAACATTGATGTTCCCTCTGATATGTGCCTGTCTGAACTCCCTCCAACATTGATGTTCCCTCTGATATGTGCCTGTCTGAACTCCCTCCAACATTGATGTTCCCTCTGATATGTGCCTGTCTGAACTCCCTCCAACATTGATGTTCCCTCTGATATGTGCCTGTCTGAACTCCGACAGGGTTCAGCTGTGGAACTTGCCCAAAAGAACCCTAATTAACCCTTTATGAATATTTGACCATGAAAGCCATGGCGATGACGACTATTATCTGAAGCAGCGGTTTGAGTTCAGTCCAACGACTTTTTGGTTGCGAACTGACGATGTTCCGTGTTTGTGTTTATGCTGTTGACGTCAAGGGTGAGACAGGGAATGCCAACCTCCACATCATCCTCCACGACGACTTTGGCGAAGCATCAGAGAAGATTACTTTACACGACATCCTCAACGGCGACATGACGCCAGGGTGTGGACAGAGGTTTGAGACAGACATTAATGTCAAGAAGAGCCTGTCCAGCGTACTGCGGAGACTGGAATTGTGGCGGGACAAGGACAAGCAACTCACTCAGTGGTTTGTGGAGAAGTTAACAGTGAGTAGCGAACAGACGCAGTCCCTGTTCGTCTTCCCCGTGCTGAGATGGTTGAAGGCGGATACTCACCACCTGTTCAGGAACGCGGATATGTGTTGTCCACCTCAAGATGAACAGCTGCTGGAACAGAGGCAGTTTGAGCTGGAGGAGACGAGGCAAGTCTACATTGTCGGCGCAACGAATACGTCACTTCCGGTCAAGGTGCGTGTTTGGAACCAAAGCAACTATCAAACTAGAGAAGGTTCTCAGGTATGTTGAGGGGGGCACGGGTGGCCCAGTCGTCTAAGACGCCGCGATTCGCTGTGCAAAGTTGCGTCCCTTGGGCACGCCAGAAACCTATGATTGTGGGTTCGAATCCCGGTTCGCCCCGATTATGTTTCTAGGTTTGTCAGCACCATACCCGTGATCGTGGGTTTCACCGAAGTGGTAAACGTCTGAGACCTGCATCACTTTCCTTCCACATTAAGCTGAAACGTTGTGATATAACTGGAATGATGTTAAAAACGGCGTTAAACCCAACTCACTCACTCACTCAGGCAGGTTGGGCGTAGATACTGGACGTGGGTTCTTGCACCTCTCGGTATTATCACTGCTGTCACGTGTCAAATTGGGAGGACCGATGGCACGGTGTTTCCGCTGTATTTGATTTTATTATGTGTTTTAATTCAGGAGTTCTTTTAATGTCTGTTTTACTGTATATGCTTTTCACAGGCTGCAGAGGTGCCGGACGATGAAGTGTTTTCCAATGAATTCAAGGTAATCGAAAAAATAATCTGAACTTTTTCCGTTAAATGTGGTTCGTTACAAACACATATGCGCCTAAAAGTGTAGAAAAGAAATTGTTCATCCATAAATTCTTATCCTTTCTTAATACTCCAACTTCTAAATGCCTATCAAAGAAGTTAAACGATTCCACAGATTATACAACAGTTCAGGATCGAGAAAGTTCACATAGGTTCTCACACTCACTGACCTTCCATCACGTGGTCAAGTAACTTTCGGACATTCCCATACTACATTCCTTCGGTGTAACCCAATGCTTTACATACAAGAAGTTTTACAAAATAAAGTCATTATCTTGGATTTATTCGTATAAATATAGCTTCTACTATACGAGTGAGTGAGTGAGTGAGTGAGTGAGTATGGTTTTACGCCGCTTTCAGTAATATTCCAGCACTATCACGGCGGGGGACACCAGAAATGGGCTTAACACATGTCGGGAATCGAACCTCGGTCCTCGGCGTGACGAGCGAACACCAGGCTACCCGACCGCCCCACTACTACTATAAGGAAACCAAAGTAGTCATGTTCACAGTGGTTGGAATGAGACTGTCGTATGACATGCTGGAAACGACCTTTCGTTCACAGAATTCCCTTGACTTAGAGGGGGCGTTTGAGAAGCTGAACGACAGATTGACGTGTTGGAGTACGGACAGTTGGGGCAGCATCCGGGACATCACATGTCTCCATCAGTCACTGGGCATAGAGGAACCGCAGGTAGGAACAGTCAGTGGGCATAGAGAAACTACAGGTAGGAACAATCAGTGGGCATAGAGGAACCGCAGGTAGGAACAATCAGTGGGCATAGAGAAACTACAGGTAGGAACAATCAGTGGGCATAGAGGAACCACAGGTAGGAACAATCAGTGGGCATAGAGGAACTACAGGTAGGAACAATCAGTGGGCATAGAGGAACTACAGGTAGGAACAATCAGTGGGCATAGAGGAACCGCAGGTAGGAACAATCAGTGGGCATAGAGAAACTACAGGTAGGAACAATCAGTGGGCATAGAGGAACCGCAGGTAGGAACAGTCAGTGGGCATAGAGAAACTACAGGTAGGAACAGTCAGTGGGCATAGAGAAACTACAGGTAGGAACAGTCAGTGGGCATAGAGAAACTACAGGTAGGAACAGTCAGTGGGCATAGAGAAACTACAGGTAGGAACAGTCAGTGGGCATAGAGAAACTACAGGTAGGAACAATCAGTGGGCATAGAGAAACTACAGGTAGGAACAGTCAGTGGGCATAGAGAAACTACAGGTAGGAACAATCAGTGGGCATAGAGAAACTACAGGTAGGAACAATCAGTGGGCATAGAGAAACCGCAGGTAGGAACAATCAGTGGGCATAGAGAAACTACAGGTAGGAACAATCAGTGGGCATAGAGGAACTACAGGTAGGAACAGTCAGTGGGCATAGAGGAACTACAGGTAGGAACAATCAGTGGGCATAGAGGAACTACAGGTAGGAACAATCAGTGGGCATAGAGAAACTACAGGTAGGAACAATCACTGGGCATAGAGAAACCGCAGGTAGGAACAATCACTGGGCATAGAGAAACCGCAGGTAGGAACAATCACTGGGCATAGAGAGACCACAGGTAGGAACAATCACTGGGCATAGAGATGCCGCAGGTAGGACCAATCACTGGGCATAGAGAGACCACAGGTAGGAACAGTCACTGGGCATAGAGAAAGCGCAGGTAGGACCAATCACTTGGCATAGAGAAACCGCAGGTAGGACCAATCACTTGGCATAGAGGAACCGCAGGTAGGAACAGTCAGTGGGCATAGAGAAACCGCAGGTAGGAACAATCAGTGGGATTAGAGAAACCGCAGGTAGGAACAATCAGTGGGCATAGAGAAACCGCAGGTAGGAACAGTCAGTGGGCATAGAGGAACCGCAGGTAGGAACAATCAGTGGGCATAGAGAAACTACAGGTAGGAACAATCAGTGGGCATAGAGAAACTACAGGTAGGAACAATCAGTGGGCATAGAGAAACCGCAGGTAGGAACAATCAGTGGGCATAGAGAAACCGCAGGTAGGAACAGTCAGTGGGCATAGAGGAACCGCAGGTAGGAACAATCAGTGGGCATAGAGAAACTACAGGTAGGAACAGTCAGTGGGCATAGAGAAACTACAGGTAGGAACAATCAGTGGGCATAGAGAAACCGCAGGTAGGAGCAATCAGTGGGCATAGAGAAACCGCAGGTAGGAACAATCAGTGGGCATAGAGAAACTACAGGTAGGAACAATCAGTGGGCATAGAGGAACTACAGGTAGGAACAATCAGTGGGCATAGAGAAACCGCAGGTAGGAACAATCAGTGGGCATAGAGAGACCGCAGGTAGGAACTAGCGTAATGTAGTGTAGACTGTATATGTAATGCTCTATATCAGTGTTGTGCTCTGTGTAAGTGTTGTGCTCTGTCTTAGTGTTGTGCTCTGTGTAAGTGTTGTGCTCTGTGTAAGTGTTGTGCTCTGTCTTAGTGTTGTGCTCTGTGTAAGTGTTGTGCTCTGTGTAAGTGTTGTGCTCTGTCTTAGTGTTGTGCTCTGTGTAAGTGTTGTGCTCTGTGTAAGTGTTGTGCTCTGTCTTAGTGTTGTGCTCTGTGTAAGTGTTGTTCTCTGTGTCAGTGTTGTGCTCTGTGTAAGTGTTGTGCTCTGTGTAAGTGTTGTGCTCTGTGTAAGTGTTGTGCTCTGTGTAAGTGTTATGCTCTATATCAGTGTAATGCTCCGTGTAAGTGTTGTGCTCTGTGTAAGTGTTGTGCTCTGTGTAAGTGTTATGCTCTATATCAGTGTAATGCTCCGTGTAAGTGTTGTGCTCTGTGTAAGTGTTGTGCTCTGTGTAAGTGTTATGCTCTATATCAGTGTAATGCTCCGTGTAAGTGTTGTGCTCTGTGTAAGTGTTGTGCTCTGTGTAAGTGTTATGCTCTATATCAGTGTAATGCTCCGTGTAAGTGTTGTGCTCTGTGTAAGTGTTGTGCTCTGTGTAAGTGTTATGATCTGTGTAAGTGTTGTGCTCTGTGTAAGTGTTATGCTCTATATCAGTGTAATGCTCCGTGTAAGTGTTGTGCTCTGTGTAAGTGTTGTGCTCTGTGTAAGTGTTGTGCTCTGTGTAAGTGTTATGCTCTATATCAGTGTAATGCTCCGTGTAAGTGTTGTGCTCTGTCTTAGTGTTATGATCTGTGTAAGTGTTGTGCTCTGTGTAAGTGTTATGCTCTATATCAGTGTAATGCTCCGTGTAAGTGTTGTGCTCTGTGTAAGTGTTGTGCTCTGTGTAAGTGTTATGATCTGTGTAAGTGTTGTGCTCTGTGTAAGTGTTATGCTCTATATCAGTGTAATGCTCCGTGTAAGTGTTGTGCTCCGTGTAAGTGTTGTGCTCCGTGTAAGTGTTGTGCTCTGTGTAAGTGTTGTGCTCTGTGTAAGTGTTGTGCTCTGTGTAAGTGTTGTGCTCTGTGTAAGTGTTGTGCTCTGTGTAAGTGTTGTGCTCTTTGAAGTGTTGTGTGTAAGTGTTGTGCTCTGTGTAAGTGTTGTGCTCTGTGTAAGTGTTGTGCTCTGTGTAAGTGTTGTGCTCTGTGTAATTGTTTGGCTCTGTGTAAGTGTTGTGCTCTACAGCCGTGCCATGATCCGTGTCGCTGCAGGGAGTCACACACTGGCAGGAAGACTGGTACTTCGGTCAGCAGCGTCTCTCTGGCTGTGACCCCACATACATCCGTCTGTGCACCCAAATTCCGGACAAGTAAGTACTGACCACAAGGTAGTAGCAGTAGTAGTAGTAGTAGTAATATTACTATCATCAGCAGCAGTGATAGTAGTAGTAGCAGCGACAGCAAGTAGAAGTAGAAGTAGTAGTAGTAGTAGTAGTAGTAGTAGTAGTAGTAGTAGTAGTAGTAGTATCCTCTGACCAGTGGCTGTGTTCATTATTGTGGAAGCATCTTCCCGAGGCAAGAGAGTTAACTGACTTTAAAAGTCCAGTTTCCACTGGACTTTTATAGTCAGTTAACTCACTTGCCTCGGGAAGATGTTGTGGAAGGTGTCGGACCATGTTTACTCTGTTATCTCCCCTAGACTGGCTGTAACGGACCATGTTTACTCTGTTATCTCCCCTAGACTGGCTGTGACGGACCATGTTTACCCTGTTATCTCCCCTAGACTGGCTGTGTCGGACCATGTTTACTCTGTTATCTCCCCTAGACTGGCTGTGACGGACCATGTTTACTCTGTCATCTCCCCTAGACTGGCTGTAACGGACCATGTTTACTCTGTTATCTCCCCTAGACTGGCTGTAACGGACCATGTTTACTCTGTTATCTCCCCTAGACTGGCTGTAACGGACCATGTTTACTCTGTTACCTCCTCTAGACTGGCTGTGACGGACCATGTTTACCCTGTTATCTCCCCTAGACTGGCTGTGACGGACCATGTTTACTCTGTTATCTCCCCTAGACTGGCTGTAACGGACCATGTTTACTCTGTTATCTCCCCTAGACTGGCTGTGACGGACCATGTTTACTCTGTTATCTCCCCTAGACTGGCTGTGTCGGACCATGTTTACTCTGTTATCTCCCCTAGACTGTCTGTGATGGACCATGTTTACCCTGTTATCTCCCCTACACTGGCTGTGTCGGACCATGTTTACTCTGTTATCTCCCCTAGACTGGCTGTGTCGGACCATGTTTACTCTGTTATCTCCCCTAGACTGGCTGTGTCGGACCATGTTTACTCTGTTATCTCCCCTAGACTGGCTATGACGGACCATGTTTACTCTGTTATCTCCCCTACACTGGCTGTGACGGACCATGTTTACTCTGTTATCTCCCCTAGACTGGCTGTGTCGGACCATGTTTACTCTGTTATCTCCCCTAGACTGGCTGTGTCGGACCATGTTTACTCTGTTATCCCCCCTAGACTGGCTGTGACGGACCATGTTAACTCTGTTATCTCCCCTACACTGGCTGTGACGGACCATGTTTACCCTGTTATCTCCCCTAGATTGGCTGTGTCGGACCATGTTTACTCTGTTATCTCCCCTAGACTGGCTGTGACGGACCATGTTTACTCTGTTATCTCCCCTAGACTGGCTGTGTCGGACCATGTTTACTCTGTTATCTGCCCTAGACTGGCTGTGTCGGACCATGTTTACTCTGTTATCTCCCCTAGACTGGCTGTGACGGACCATGTTTACTCTGTTATCTCCCCTAGACTGTCTGTGATGGACCATGTTTACCCTGTTATCTCCCCTACACTGGCTGTGTCGGACCATGTTTACTCTGTTATCTCCCCTAGACTGGCTGTGTCGGACCATGTTTACTCTGTTATCTCCCCTAGACTGGCTGTGTCGGACCATGTTTACTCTGTTATCTCCCCTAGACTGGCTATGACGGACCATGTTTACTCTGTTATCTCCCCTACACTGGCTGTAACGGACCATGTTTACTCTGTTATCTCCCCTAGACTGGCTGTGTCGGACCATGTTTACTCTGTTATCTCCCCTAGACTGGCTGTGTCGGACCATGTTTACTCTGTTATCCCCCCTAGACTGGCTGTGACGGACCATGTTAACTCTGTTATCTCCCCTACACTGGCTGTGACGGACCATGTTTACTCTGTTATCTCCCCTAGACTGGCTGTGTCGGACCATGTTTACTCTGTTATCTCCCCTAGACTGGCTGTGACGGACCATGTTTACTCTGTTATCTCCCCTAGACTGGCTGTGTCGGACCATGTTTACTCTGTTATCTGCCCTAGACTGGCTGTGTCGGACCATGTTTACTCTGTTATCTCCCCTAGACTGGCTGTGACGGACCATGTTTACTCTGTTATCTCCCCTAGACTGGCTGTGTCGGACCATGTTTACTCTGTTATCTCCCCTAGACTGGCTGTGACGGACCATGTTTACTCTGTTATCTGCCCTAGACTGGCTGTGACGGACCATGTTTACTCTGTTATCTCCCCTAGACTGGCTGTGACGGACCATGTTTACCCTGTTATCTCCCCTACACTGGCTGTGTCGGACCATGTTTACTCTGTTATCTCCCCTAGACTGGCTGTAACGGACCATGTTTACTCTGTTATCTCCCCTACACTGGCTGTGACGGACCATGTTTACTCTGTTATCTCCCCTAGACTGGCTGTGTCGGACCATGTTTACTCTGTTATCTCCCCTAGACTGGCTGTGACGGACCATGTTTACTCTGTTATCTCCCCTAGACTGGCTGTGTCGGACCATGTTTACTCTGTTATCTGCCCTAGACTGGCTGTGTCGGACCATGTTTACTCTGTTATCTCCCCTAGACTGGCTGTGACGGACCATGTTTACTCTGTTATCTCCCCTAGACTGGCTGTGTCGGACCATGTTTACTCTGTTATCTCCCCTAGACTGGCTGTGACGGACCATGTTTACTCTGTTATCTGCCCTAGACTGGCTGTGACGGACCATGTTTACTCTGTTATCTCCCCTAGACTGGCTGTGACGGACCATGTTTACCCTGTTATCTCCCCTACACTGGCTGTGTCGGACCATGTTTACTCTGTTATCTCCCCTAGACTGGCTGTAACGGACCATGTTTACTCTGTTATCTCCCCTAGACTGGCTGTGTCGGACCATGTTTACTCTGTTATCTCCCCTAGACTGGCTGTGACGGACCATGTTTACTCTGTTATCTCCCCTACACTGGCTGTGACGGACCATGTTTACTCTGTTATCTCCCCTAGACTGGCCTAGTCGGACCATGTTTACTCTGTTATCTCCCCTAGACTGGCTGTGTCGGACCATGTTTACTCTGTTATCTCCCCTAGACTGGCTCTGACGGACCATGTTTACCCTGTTATCTCCCCTAGACTGGCTGTGTCGGACCATGTTTACTCTGTTATCTCCCCTAGACCGGCTGTGACGGACCATGTTTACTCTGTTATCTCCCCTAGACTGGCTGTGACGGACCATGTTTACTCTGTTATCTCCCCTAGACTGGCTGTAACGGACCATGTTTACTCTGTATCTCCCCTAGACTGGCTGTGACGGACCATGTTTACTCTGTTATCTCCCCTAGACTGGCTGTCACGGACCATGTTTACTCTGTTATCTCCTCTAGACTGGCTGTGTCGGACCATGTTTACTCTGTTATCTGCCCTAGACTGGCTGTGTCGGACCATGTTTACTCTGTTATCTCCCCTAGACTGGCTGTGTCGGACCATGTTTACTCTGTTATCTGCCCTAGACTGGCTGTGTCGGACCATGTTTACTCTGTTATCTCCCCTAGACTGGCTGTGCCGGACCATGTTTACTCTGTTATCTCCCCTAGACTGGCTGTGACGGAAAGAATGCTGCTCCCTATGTTGGAGAACCAGGATCTTGACCGTGTCGTCGGCGAGAAGAGGCTCTTCATCATCGACCATTTCATCCTTCACCATCTTCAGCAGTACAATGGACGTGTGGTCAGTGCCATGGCTGAATACCTGATACTGGAATAAATGTCTACTATTTCAGCTGTATCGGATTTATTAAAAACTTATGTTACTTATGTTATTGTGAATAAGAAATTGTGTGAAGAAAACTGTTCAGCAATTTGTTCCATCTTCCCAATTCAAGGGCTTAAACTGACTATAAACGTCCAGTTTCCGGGCTTTTATTTTAAGGGTAACGCTATTTTTCAGGGCATTATCATTTGCAGAAGCCCGAGGTCTTCCATTATCTGAAAAGACCGCGGGCTTCTGCAAATGGCAATGCCCTGAAAAATAGCCTTACCGTTATTATAGCTAAAATGGATTGAATATGTTATCAAATAAAAAGAAAAAACAATATCGGTTTTGAAACATTTACTGCAATCAACACGAATGTCACTGACCCACGTTTACAAATATGGCTGACACGCTGTGATGTAACTGGAATACTGCTCAGAGCGGCGTTAAACTCAACTCACTTACTATTGCATTGCAAATGATTCCTTGTACGGTTTGTGTTCGCAGGTGTGTGCCCCCATTGCCTTGTTCTTCCTCAACTCAGCGAGACAGCTTGTTCCGATCGCCATACAACTGTTCCAAGACCCGGGGCTCAGGAACCCTGTAAGTGGAGTGAGTGAGTGAGTGAGTTTGGTGTAGCGCCGCCACCACTATTGTAGTTGTTTCAGCGCGTCAGCTTTGTGAAGCAAGAACTCGACGCAGACCGTCGACGTATGGAACTTAGGTGATGCCTACAAGCCATTGTGGTGACAGACAGCCAGCAAGGCAGACACACAGTCATACAGACAGCCAGCCAGCCAGCAAGGCAGCCAACCAGCCAAACAGCCAGCCAGCCAGACAGCCAGCCATACAGACAGACAGCCAGACAGCCAGCCATACAGACAGCCAGCCAGCAAGGCAGCCAGACAGCCAGCCAGCCAGACATACAGTCATACAGACAGACAGCCAGCCAGCCAGCCAGACAGTCATACAGCCAGCCAGCCAGACAGCCAGCCATACAGACAGACAGCCAGACAGACAGCCAGCCATACAGACAGCCAGCCAGCAAGGCAGCCAGCCAGCCAGCCAGCCAGACAGACAGTCATACAGACAGACAGCCAGCCAGCCAGCCAGACAGTCATACAGCCAGCCAGCCAGACAGACAGTCATACAGACAGACAGCCAGACAGACAGTCATACAATCAGCCAGACAGACAGTCATACAGACAGACAGCCAGCCAGCCAGCAAGGCAGCCAAACAGCCAGCCAGACAGTCATACAGACAGCCAGCCAGCCATACAGACAGACAGTCATACAGACAGACAGCCAGCCAGCAAGGCAGCCAACCAGCCAAACAGCCAGCCAGCCAGACAGCCAGCCATACAGACAGACAGCCAGCAAGGCAGCCAGACAGCCAGCCAGATAGTCATACAGCCAGCCAGCCAGACAGACAGTCATACAGACAGACAGCCAGCCAGCCAGCAAGGCAGCCAAACAGCCAGCCAGACAGTCATACAGACAGCCAGCCAGCCATACAGACAGACAGTCATACAGACAGCCAGTCATACAGACAGACAGCCACTAAGGCAGCCAGACAGCCAGCCAGACAGTCATACAGACAGCCAGCCATACAGACAGACAACCAGCAAGGCAGCCAAACAGCCAGACAGACAGTCATACAGCCAGACATCCAGACATCCAGACAACCAGCAAGGCAGCCAAACAGCCAGCAAGGCAGCCAAACAGCCAGCCAGCCAGCCATACAGACAGACAGCCGGCAAGGCAGCCAAACAGCCAGACAGACAGACAGAGGATAGACAGACAGACAACCAGCAAGGCAGCTAGACAGCCAAACAGTCATACAGACAGACAGACAACCAGCAAGGCAGCCAAACAGCCAGCCATACAGACAGCCAGACAGATAGCAAGGCAGCCAAACAGCCAGACAACCAGACATACAGACAGACAGAGGATAGACAGACAGACAACCAGCAAGGCAGCCAAACAGACAGACAGACAGACAGACAGACAGCAAGGCAGCCAAACAGCCAGCCATACAGACAGACAAGCAGTATGAGCTGACGTTTCCAATCGCAGAAAGTTAAACCTAGTAACATCGAACTCATGATACATCATTAAGGCTAGCGGACAAGGGTCTCGTCGGCGACTGCCACAAGCTTATCAGCTCTCCGCTGAGCTGATGACCTATGTACGAGGGGTTCCAATAAGTTTCCGGCCTCCATAAATAATTTGCGATTTATATAAAAACTGTTTTACTTATTTTTCAACGTAATATCCCTTGGCCTCAGTGCACTTGTTCCACCGTTTCTCCAGCATATTTAACCCGTCAGAAAACCACTGTTTGTCGCTTGACCCTAAAAACTCCTCTACAGCAGTGATGACTTCCTCATTTGTCCCAAATCTTCGGCCCCTGAGTACAGATTTGAGTTTAGGGAAGAGGAAGAAGTCAGAGGGGGCCAGATCTGGAGAATAGGCAGGGTGAGGCATGATCAGGCAGGATCCTGAAGCCACATTCATGTGCAGTGCTCACTGCTACTTGGGCGGTGTGAACTGGTGCGTTGTCCTGGAGGAGCCAGACACCTCGGCTTAGTTTACCTCTGCGCTTTGCTTTGATTTCATTTCGCAATCTGCGCAATTCATCTGCATAATAAGCACCGTAAATGGTGGAACCCTTCTGTAGATAATCTATCATGAAAGATGTGCTTTTGAACTTTTTGGGTGTTAGTGACGTCACATGCTTCCATTGCATGCTCTGACTTTTTGTCTCTGGGTCAAAATGATGAACCCAGGTTTCATCCTGAGTAACAATATGAGCCATGAAAGCACGTGGATCTCTCCGAAAATCATCCAGAAGCTGTTGACTAATCATGACCCTCTGACGTTTTTGTTCTTCAGTCAACATTCTGGGCACCCAACGGGCAGACACCTTGTTCATGTGTAAATGTTCATGGATTATTCGTTCCACTGATGTTTTACTAATGTCATGTGCAGTAGCTAACTGTCTAACAGTTACTCGTCTGTCCTGAATTATTGTATCAAGAACAGCTGCAACTTCATCTTGGGTAGTCACTTCACAAGGGAGACCAGACCGTGGTTCGTCTTCAGTGCTGCGTCTGCCCCTTGTAAATTCAGCACACCACTGTTTGACCGTACTATACGAAGGAGCATTGTCACCTAATGTTTGTACCATGTCATCATGAATTTGCTTTGGCGTTAACATTTTTAAATGTAGATACTTAATAACGACTCTACATTCGGTCTTCTCCATTTTTTCCAAATGTGAGGGGGTCATGCTGTTTGATAGCAATTTATAGGAACTTGTAGCACGTGGGATTCATGTTTTGCATGTCATCCACGTGCAGAGATACTGTTCCAGCAACAGGTGCAGTTTGGTTGAGTTTGGGCTATCCGTTCATGTTGAGGCCGGAAACTTATAGGACACCCCTCGTAGTCTTATATCTTTACTAGATAAAGATTATATCTTAACTTAACCGTCTCCAGGTTTCACTGTATTTGATAATAAACTGGGCGGCAAAAGAAAGTATAGGTCGAGCTCCATGATCGATAAAAAAATAACAAGAAGAGGTTTTGTTGTGAATTATAATATAATCTAGGGAGGGGTAACAAGTGATTGATCAACCACAGTTTGAATGAAATTGTGCAATCACAGGTAATGTAAGCTCAAGGTAAACAATGGTGGGGTAAGAGATTTCATTTTCAAAAGTTGTCTGAAATGTCAACAAAACATTGCCTGTACCGTTGAATCAGCCTGGCTACTGTCAATGGTGTACAACCAAACCTTCTGGCAATTTGGACCTGTGTTGCCCCCATTTCGGCCATACCGATGGCCCTCTCACTCTGTTCCAGTGACAGTCGTGGCATTTCTTTGTATGCTTTCATCACGTGTGGTTATACCCTGCAGACGAACGCATAACATGCACGTGTAGTTTATGCCATAGGCGGGAAACCTGTTTCACCATTTTTTGTCACCGCACGAGCGCCGTCAAAGGTGGCGCGTTCCTGTGAGGTGTTTTTGGTAACTGTTCTAGGCAGTCATAATCCCAATACCCACTTTCCACTAGTTATCGCTGTTTTTAGGAAAATTACAAATTGCCAACCTATACTTTCTTTTGCCGCTTAGTTTATATCAGTTGGTTGGTCTCCGAAAACTTCACATAATGAATATTGGACTTTTAGGTGTTTTTCCCAACCGACCCCGGTGGTGTGTGGAGTCTGGCCAAGCAGTGGTTTAACAACGCTGAAGCTCAGATCCACCAGGCCTTAACCCACTACAGTAAGTTGGGGTTCACTCCGCTAGGCAATACTTCAGTTGTATTACTGCGTGTTAGTGACGCAGGTAGTTGTCTGATGTCTGATGAAGATGTCTGATGTAGATGTCTGATGTTTGATGTAGATGTTTGATGTCTGTTTGATGTCTGATGAAGATGTCTGATGTCTGATGTAGATGTCTGATGTTTGATGAAGATGTCTGATGTAGATGTCTGATGTTTGATGTATATGTATGATGTATGATGTTGGATGTAGATGTCTGATATAGATGCCTGATGTATTATGTAGATGTCTGATGTTTGATGTAGATGTCTGATGTCTGATGTTTAATGTAGATGTCTGATGTCTGCTGTTTGATGTAGATGTCTGGTGTCTGATGTAGATGCGTGATGTCTGATGTAGATATCTGATGTCCGACGCAGATGGTTACCACCACGAAAGATTGTGAGATTATGATAGACTTGTACGTCGCTAGGATTTGAACTCAGTGGTCACGGCTAACTGACGCGAGTCTGCAGAGCCTTTGACCACTCGGCGACCCCCTAGTGAGTCTCGGCCAGGTGAGCCCGGACCTGCTTGTCGTAAGAGGCTCGCTGACTTGGTTGATGCATGTCATCGCATCGTATCACTATGTCAATCAGTGAAATGTCTGGCCCAGACTCGATTATTTACAGACCGCCGTCATTTAGCTGGAACATTGCTGATTGCGGCGTTAAACAACAAACAAACAAACAAAACTTCCGGGTCTTCCGGAAGTTTCCGTGTTGTGTCCGAGAGACACTTTCTGTCGACTGGAATGTTGTAACAAACAGTGCCACCAGTGGCAGATCCGGGACTACACAATTCCATTCTTCAACATCTTGTTCTCAATGTGAATATTTTTAATCTTTTTAAAAACTGTTCATCAATTAAATTGTGAACCATTGTTGCTGGTATTTTCAGCTGTGTGTCACTCACTGATGGAAGGCATTTGTGTCATGACGCACCGCCACCTGGCGGAGAACCACCCCATCTTCAAACTCCTCACACCGCACTTCCACCAACTCCTCGCCAGCAACAAGTAAGTGGAGAAACCACTGAATCATCTTCAAATATATACCGTAAAGGTCCGATTAAATTTTCAAATACCATACAATGTATATGAAGCATTACACGTAGTGCATGAAGCAATACACAATAATGAGTGAGCGAGTGAGATTGGTGTGCGGTTTTGGGTGAGTTAACAGACTTTTAAAGTCCAGTTTCACCCCTTGCCGAACTAGCCTGGAATTCCTGGGCGCAATCGTTGCGCCACCAGTGTTTATTACGAGTTACGTCCCTTCTAAACCTCCCCTATGGACCAATCAGATTCCACCTCTCGTATCACTTGCATTTGTTTCAAACGAAATGGCGGCGCCCAGTCAAGACGATCTGATCGATAATCAAGATCTATCTTGTGACAAAACGGGTCTTACATCGCAAAGTGCATCAAATCACGTGGGCACCTTGATTAAAACCATGAAAAGATTTGGAAAATACATGTTGACAACGAGTTGGCAGTGCACATGTTTTGCAAATCCTGCAATTGACCGAAATCTGCACGACAGTTTACGAACCGGTTTTCGATTTCGGTGTGCGATTTTGATTGGACAATATGCATAGACTCGTTAGTCCAGCCAAAATGTAACTCCATAATACCAGCCTAGTTCGGCAAGGGTGGAAACTGGACTTTTATAGTCAGTTAACTCTCTTGCCTCCGGAAGATGTGAGTGTGTGATTGATTGATTGATTGATATCATGGGTGTGGATTTCAATGTGGGACTGAAGAAACCAATGAGACTATTACCCTTCTGTGTATTTCTTAACTTCTTACCAAAATACAAATGTCAGCTATATATAACATGCAATCTACTGTTAATAATCAAACAGTCAAACGTTTTTGCGTCCCCCGGGACTCGCAATGTAGAATATGTTTTACGCAGCTGTTAGCAATATTCCAGCAATATCATGGGGGGGGGGGGGCTTCAGACATTGTACGCATGTCGGGAATCGAACTCGGGCCTTCCGCGTGACGAGCGAACGCCCGGGTTCGATTCCCGACATGGGTACAATGTGTGAAGTCCATTTTTGGTGTCCCCCGCCGTGATATTGCTGGAATATTGCTAAAAGCGGCGTAAGGTCCCTGTGCCTTATACTTGTCGCAATACCCGACTGACGAAAATCGGACGTGAAGAATGCATGAATTGACTTTAGTGCTCTTGCTGTCACCCGTTGGTTTGCATGCACCATATTAAATTGTGATGACTTACTGGTTGCATGAAGTACTGGTGACCTACATTGACCAAGGGATACGATATATGTTGACGAATTCCTCTTTATCGTGATGAAAAAAATCTTATGTCGTGTTCTTGTCTGTCATGGCAGGTTGTGTAGAGAGCAGATCCTGCAGCCTGGCGGACCGATGGACGCTGTGCTGAGCTGTGGGGCTGGGGGGATGAACACCATCATTAGGAGGGGGTAAATGTCCCAGACTCACATTAATAGAAAGCGAAACGTGATAAAAACATGTTGATGTGATGACATTGAATAATTATTTAATTACGTGCACAATCAATCAACTAACCGGATTAGCAAGTATCCGGATTAAAGATGTCTGGTATGAGTTAAAGCAACGTTCCAAAAAGTGTGTCTGGATTTACGTGCACGGTAAACACATGCAAGATTTAAACATGTTTAGGAATGTCTGTATATCCTATAAAGAATGCACATTTAGTATGTTCTATTTAAGCACGTTTAGCTTCTAAGCTCATAAAATGAGCTCTAGTCTCCCAGCCTAAACACCACCTAAACACAACATCCCCATTATCTAAACACGTTTAGAATGTTTAAATGAAATGAATATAACATATATTGAATTAGATGAGCAAATCCAATTCACAACCACTTGCATCACATATACTTGCTTATTTACAACGAACTTGGTACAACATTATTAAAACAAATGTACAAATAAACCAAGCTAAGTTGATGGTGAGTAGGAAAATTGACATTTATTACCGCAACAGTCTACGTAGGAATGTTGGAAGCGTGAAGGATTACACATGAAGAGTTTGCGGGGTCGAATCCCGCCGAGGTTTTAAAAGGGTTTTGTTCATATATGAGTTGTTGCAGTATGAATTATAATATTTCTATCATACAGAAAACGGTGGTGAAGGTAAGGTGAGGTGAAATGGGGTTTAACGTCGCGTCCAAGATTATTGTGTGTGTTTGTGTGGCTGCTTGTACTAGTCCGGACTGATGCCGATTTATAGTGCTAGCTCACTGAGATACCATGCCGCAGTTTAACATGAATACCCCACTCGGACACAGTATACTGACTCCGAGCCGACCAGTCCTTGTTTTAGCCCCTTAATGCCGAGCGCCAGACAGGGTAACAAGAAGTACCATCTTTTAACGTCTTTTGGTATGACGTGGCCGGAGATCGGACCCCGGACTTTCCGCTCTCCGGGCGGACGCTCTACCACTAGACCACGGAGGCGAACCCTACAGAAAACGGAAGCTGACAATGAAAGTATATATGATTACTACACTACACCATCAACTACACCGCCACATTTCTATATCCCCAATAATCGCTGAAAAAACATGTAGAAAACGCCCCTCTTTATTATTATTATTATTAGTAGTAGTAGTAGTAGTAGTAGTCGTAGTATATAATGAATTTGAGGGTGAGGGTGAGGGGGAGAGTACATTTAGACCCTACTAAACACAATTCGAAAAATGTTTAGACCCTATGCACAATATAATTATAGGACAAGGAACGTATTTAGGTTTAAGTTTAGGTTCACATTTGTAAACACATTTGTTTACAGTATGTGTCCCTGTATATTCTGGTATATTAACAAATATAAATATAAATATCGATATATTTGATATTTAATGAACGACCCAATGTGATACCATTCGTCTAAGGCGAAGCGTTCCTTAGACGTGCCAGAAACCTTTTTTCGATTTTGAGTTCGAATCCCAGGTTCGCCCAGATTATGTTTCTAGGTTAGTCAGCACCATACCCGTGCTCGTGGGTTTCACCGAAGTGGTAAACGTCTGAGACCTGCATCACTTCAGACTTTCCTCCACGTTAAGCTGATACGCCGTGATATAACTGGAATACTGTTCCAAATAGGAATACCGTCAAAATCAACTCACTCACTCACTTATCAACCTGAAGTTCTCTACTTACTTTCAGACTTCCGCTCTGGAGAATGGATGTCGAGGGCAGTTTACCTGAAGATTTAAAAGCGCGAGGGGTAAGGAGACATTAATTCATATTTACGTACACTGGTAAGGTTAGTAACCAATATTTTGCGGGAACTGAACGTGACTTTTTGATATTTTAGATACATGGCGCTGTTTAAACAGCCGGCGTACATACCGAGCTAAGAAACCTAAGCAATCGCTCTTCACGTCGATGATATATGGATATAAAGCGTGACGCCCATTTTTGATGCACCCTGATGTGATATGGCTAGATTATCGACAAAAACGGCGTAATACCTACCAAGTCACTTTGACGAGAATATACTCATGTTATATATTGTAAGCATAAGTATTGATATACCTGATGATGTTTCAGGTCTTTGACAACAATGTCCTCCCTGGCTACTACTACAGGGACGACGGTCTCCTCGTCTACAACGCCATCGTCGCTTACATCACGAAGTACATCAACCTCTACTATGGTGGGTGTATTGTCGGGCAGCCCTGAGTTGCGTCCCTTAGGCTATTATCGTTGGTTCGAATCCCAGTTCGCACTGATTATGTTTCTATTATTCGATATGGTTTGTCAACAGCTGCCCCTGCTAATGTGGTAAACGTCTAAGACCTGCATCACCTCGGGGTGTCCTCACAGATACTCATAGATATAAACATGTATTATATTATGCAAAGTTTTTAACATACACCTTGGCGGAAAACCAGCCACTTTCGACATTCGATTCCAAGTTAAGCCTGATAATTTGGGGTATTAACTTCAGTAGCTAAAAAGTTTCAAATCCTAAGCCAATCATATGCCTCTTTTTGTTGAAACCTCCTTGCATTATTGCAGCTAACATAGTTTGATATGATAAATCTGCCCTTTTCTTTTTATTATATAATACAACTACTGACTTCATTTGTGGCCAGTACCTATTTAAATGGACCTGAAAGAAACCCAGTATTGACCTCAAACTTCGTCCTCTGTCTATAATGTTTTTTTCGGGTCCATAAAAAAGGCATGTACCTCATATAATTATTTTTTTTTTATATTATTGTCTCTTGGAAAGGGCATCGGGGTAAGCAACTTTCAAATAGACGTATATATTTTCTTTTTCCAGAATATGAAGAAAAGATCGGAGAAGATTTTGAACTTCAGTCTTGGGCATCAGAGCTGACGAAATCCCGGGAAGATGGGGGCTTAGGAATAAACGTGTGTTTATACAAAATTCTTGAATGCATAGTAAACATCCGTCAGTCTGAGATAATACGTTCAGGGAGTGTACTTTATACGTACATATATCATGTATACCAGTTCAGGTATAGTTATGTTAAACAAAGCAACGAATCCAGGCATTCTACATTTGTAGACTCATGTTAGCGTTTCCCGCTTCCTCTGTTACGACCCACGAAAAATAAATCATGTCTTCATGTTCTTCGGACTTCATTAGCTGCAACTGATCTGGCGCTTATCAGAGTCACAGCTCTTAGCTGCAACTGATCTGGCGCTTATCAGAGTCGCAGCTCTTAGCTGCAACTGATCTGGCGCTTATCAGAGTCACAGCTCTTAGCTGCAACTGATCTGGCGCTTATCAGAGTCACAGCTCTTAGCTGCAACTGATCTGGCGCTTATCAGAGTCACAGCTCTTAGCTGCAACTGATCTGGCGCTTATCAGAGTCGCAGCTCTTAGCTGCAACTGATCTGGCGCTTATCAGAGTCACAGCTCTTAGCTGCAACTGATCTGGCCTGAAACCCCTACCCCCGACCCAGACATATTTAGAGGCCGGTTCTTCATTGAGGAAGTAATTATAATCGCAGTATTGTCTCTAATGTCCATGATCTGTCTGTGCAGGGCGTCCCGGGTGAAGGTCGAATTTCAACCTACGAACACCTGGTCAAGGTCACGGCGAGCGTCATCTTCACGTGCACAGCTGGCCACGCAGCCGTGGGGGATCGCACTACACGCGACCAGTACGCCTTCCCCCCTGCATACCCAACCTTTATGAGAGGGGCACCGCCTTCGGAGAAGGTGGGAATAATGACCTGTCGGACATAGATAGTCCCCAGTACAGACCTAGTGTTGTAGGAAGTGATTGCATGTGTACAGGGAGGACAATGTGGCGGTGATGCATACTGAGATGGATGGCCAACTCTCAACGTTGATCCGAATTCTGTTTGATTGTTTGTTGTTTAACGTTACACGCAGCAATATTCCAGCTACATGACGGCAGTCTGATAATCTAGTCTGGACCAAACAATCCACTGATTGACATCATGAGTACGATCTACGCAATTGGGATACGATGACACGCATCAACCAAGTCAGCGAGCCTGACCACCCGATCCCGTTAGTCGCCTTTTACGACAAGCATAGTCGCCTTTTACGGCAAGTATGGGTTACTGAAGACCTATTCTACCCCGGATCTTCACGGGCCTATATCGACATTAGGGCGATGCATGAACAGTATGTAGTATTTGAACACCGTCATCTTCAGGGTGAGGTCGCCTTGAGGATAAAGCGTTCGCTCGTCACGCTGACGGCCCGGGTTCGATTCCCCACTTCGGTACAGTGTGAACTCCATTTCTGGTGTCCCCCGCCGTCATATTGCTGGAATATTGCTGCAAGCGGCTTAAAACCATACTCACTCACACACTTTAATCGAAATGGCTGCTACCCCGATATGACCACGCGACCTGTCCTGCATGTATCTTGTCTAACGGCCTTAGCTTATATCAATACAGTAAACTACGGTTATAACGAACTCAAATGGGCCACTAGTTTTAGTTCGTTATAACCGTAGTTCGTTATAAGCATATACACAATATCGATACGGCAAATGGTCGGGATCAAAAATTAAGTTCGTAATATCCGTTAGTTCGTTATAAGCGTGTTCGTTATAAACGTATTTTACGTATCTCCAGTTGAATACCGAGAGTCGAATGCAGCAAGTTTAATTGTTCGTGTCCTGTGTATGCAAACACTGGTTCTTATTTCAATTACCATTCTGATAATTACATATGTTGCAGAAAAGGCCAAACCGCAGGCATATTATTTTGGCGTTATGTCTTCAGGGGGATCGAGAGGAGGAGGACATGCTACAGACGCTACCAGACCAGCACCTGTCTGCACTAGCCTCCGTTCTGGCCTCGAACCTGTGCGGCGTGCCAACATCGCGACTAGGAGAACCTCGTCTGCAGTATATCTCGGACCCTTCTGCCATAGATATATGTCTCAGGTGAGCTGTGTTTACAAAAAATATATTTTCTGTCAGAAGATTCCCCTGTACCTGATTCATGACATGACGTCAGGGCCGATTGCCTGTCACCGGACCAATCACTGGCTTGCCTGGTCCAAACTCGATAGCCGTGTTTTACAGGGCACCGTTCATATATAGAGAACCCACCTATGGTTTCCGATTCAGAATTGGTTCCCAGTAACTAAAGCTTTCCATACAAATAGAATGGCATTTTTTAATTTATTAGAAGGAAAAAGTAGTTCAAATAAAGTTTATTGTGTTTAAATCCATTCACAGAGGCAGTTATGGTATCTGCTCATCTACGTAATACACCTCATCTACCCCCCCCCCCCCCCCCCCCCCAATATTTGTGTGACAAATTGTTTTAAGATATAACTTTGTATCATGCATATGATGTTTATCAACTTGTTCTTGTCGCTATATGGCTAAAATAATGCCGATGCGACGATAAATTTTAATTCACTTAATCACCAATGTTCACCCACAGGAGGAAACAACATTTCAATGGGTAGTTCGATTATTAGTTCTTGGTTATTAGTTGGTGTTCCATTCCCCACGTTGAGTTGCAGTGCGTTAAGTTATTAGTCACTCAATACACAATTACAAGAACATCGTCTTAGCCGAAAAGTGATGACATATAAAATTTAGCAATATCCCCGAAGGTTTAATATTCTACTAGCCTTTAGAACACTTTTAACATTAACAAAACTGGTCCAGGCAAGCGAGGTAGTGCTAATTTCCAACGCTGCTATTGATGCAGTGTAGAATTGTTATTGATATTGATATAAATTATTGTGATAAGTCTATTCTTGGCTTTTTGTTTTTCCATCAAGGTTTCAAGAAGAACTGGAAGAGGCAAGTTATCTGATCAACTGGCGCAACAAGAAGCGTGTCTGTCCGTACACGTGTTTGAACCCCAAGTCTATTCCAAACACACCGTTCTCGTAACACCTGGTTTAAGTTGCTCCAACTCGCTCCTGCCTCTACACGTGTCTGGATATCAAGACTTACCCAACACATCCTTCTCGGAACGCTGGCCATTAGATACAGCCATGCACTAACTCGCTCCTGCCTCGACAGGGTCACGTGCAACTATGTCCGTATCACGTGAATAAGTAAACATGTCATCTGTAACGTGAATCCTGTTAATCTGGAACCTTGAAAGCAACAGACGGGGTAAACGAGTCTCAGTGAAAGAGAAATATGAATCATAATAGACTCAATAATTTCTCAAGTTTTAGATATGTTCTAATGAGGGGTACCCCTCCAACTCCCAATGTAGAAATGATCAACACCTTGAAGAAAGCGAGGACCGCCAGTCTGTTGCTAAGGTGATGCAATGAAACATGAAAGCGTTGCCATTGTTAGGTTTTAGATAATTGAAATCATCTCATTTTCGTTTTCTTGTTCATTCAGGAACCATAAACTGTCTTCAATAATAACTGCTTCCTAATGTATGGAGCCTGTGTGATACACATGGGGCGCATATGTGATCCATTCATCTAAGGCGCCGCAATTAGCTGTGCAGAGTTGCGTCCCTTAGGCACGCAAGAAACCTATGATTGTGGATTCGAAACTGGGTTCACCGCGATTATGATATAACTTGAATACTGTTATAAGCGGCGTTAAACCCAACTCACTCACTCACTCACTATGATACATATGACTACTCTGTGTATGAGTACATTAAAACTCATGAAACAACTGTTTCGATTTTTTGTCAATATTTTAACAGGATTTGAAGAAAGTTGCAGGAACGCCAAATTTGTGAAAAGCATTATGAAGCAACGCATCATAGATTCTGTATGAGAATCGTGCTGATATGTATTTACCTACCTGTCCTGATGATGACTGGCACTATCACCAAACCGATGATATTCTTATTAGCTTTCTGAAGAACAACAGTTTCTACCGCCGTTTACATTACTCACACGTAACACATGTCGCATTCTTCCTTGACCCTCCTGGGGCGGTCGGGTAGCCTAGTTGCTAAAGCGTTCGTCCGTCACGCCGAAGACCCGGGTGCCATTCCCGACCTGGGTACAATGTGTGGAGCCCATTTCTGGTGTCCCCCGCCGTGATATTGCTGGAATATTGCTAAAACGGTGTAGAACCATACTCACTCACTCACTCCTTGACCCTCTTGCGCAAAACGATCTTATCTCAAAAATCGCAAAAATCGCGATCATTGGTCTCCATTCACAGAGGGACTGTAGCGTAAGACATTGTAACCTCCAATCCACAGTAACAACCCTGGCTCACACAGTTTGCATATCCGCTTTTTGATTCATTCCTCCGCGAACCGAACGAAATACACAATCCTTGATTAAGGAAGATAATTGTGGATGTCAACTTCTTTATTATGATGAATACGTTTCGGAGTATATACTTACTGCTTCATCACTCAATCTTTAATTAAACATCTTTTTTTGTATTTTACATATATTTTTAGATAACATCAAAGAAACCTTGAGATGTCTGAAAGTAGTTTCGGCACGAAATGTTATTGCACGCTATTACACATTCAGTTCTATTTTGTTCATACATAAATTTAGTATTGTCTCAGTAAAACATATTGAAAAGGGTAAATATTTCAAACTGTACGATCATAATACAGATCACTGGATTTTCTGGTCCAGACTCGATATTTTACAGGCTATGATGATATTGGAATACAACTGGAATAGTCCTGATCCTGATTGATGCGTTGAACAACATTCACTCACTCACGCTATATTGTATCATGAACTGACCAGAAGGTAAATGGCCCTGGATCTTCTATGAACCCAACAACAGTAACACCATCTAGAGTAGGATAAACACATAGAAAGGTGAGTTTGAGAGCCATCGTTTTTAGTCGACAGCCGTACGGTCACCTAGAGTTGAAACATAAAACTGACTTTTCGGCCATTGTCGTTTAGGTAAAAAACTTTTGAATTGTCAATCACACCTGCCACTTAGTTACAACGAGTTGGTCAAAAAACTGTCACTGAGTGTTTTATGTTCGCCGTCACCTTTAACACACCTGTATATATGGAGGCGCCGGGGCGTCGCCTTAGAGGTGGCGGAATCATGGACGCCATGACGCATATCGCTGCAGTGTTAATCGTAAGTAAGATTGTGTTTTGTGATTTTACAAAGTAGATGAATGACATGTTCCCAAGTGTTCCGAGGGTTTAATGGTGCCAGGGTTTTGGCACGTTTGACTACACCAATGATGAAATGGCAGCGTGTTGTATTATCACATCAACGTAAAGTACTATAATGCTGACTCACATTGGACACTCACAGCCAGGGCCCCGTTCCACAAAGCAATCGTCGTAAGTGCTTAATCTTACGACAGTCGTACGTCTATGTTAAAGTATGGGAGTTACGATAACCTTAGCGTTACGATCGCATTGTGGAACACACCCCAGGCCTCCAAGCTTGAGAAATGAGTTTCCATCTCCAAACACATCCAATGGGATTCGAACCTTTACGACAACATTGTTGTGTTTGATTATCTCATGCCTGAATACACAAAACAACTTCACTTGATTTTGGGGGCCATTTTTGCTAAATATTACAAAAATTCGAATGAGCGTTTTCAAAGCGTTTCAGTCTATTTTGTTTTGCTATATGATTGTATAACGATGCTGTTTTCTTTCAGTAGATCAGTGATGCTGTCACGTAGCTTAACTGTTTAGGGTGCTTAAATAGTTGCGTTTTACCACGTCCGTGATGATTTTAACAGTCAATGAATACATTGAGAAGTGTTGCAATAATAACACAAACCTGTTTTGTTCAACTTTTCGCATCGAGGAGAAAATAGTAGTTTTGTTTAGTGTTACATCGATAGTAATATGCAACAGTAACTGTTAGCTGACCTCACAACGCTATATGTACCTAAATGGAAGTAGGTAGATGGGAGTAAGTTCACGTTGATTTCCAAGTGAAGTTTTAACTAAGCTTTCCGATAATAAAATATATTACGTTGCCAATCTTACGACCATCAATACAAATAAACAAGTGTCTACTGTAAGATACATTATCTTGACACTGTGGATAGTTCAAAATAACTTAATTCAATTCGGCTTTATTCACAAAGGAGTGTAGGCCAGCGACCGATATCCGAGTGTTACAACAGAGAGACGGTGTTATTTTGTTCTATCACAGCCCTTCTTAGATCTGTAGACTTATATATAGATATTGAAAGATTATTTAAATTTAGGGGCACGGGTGGCCCAGTCGTCTAAGGCGCCGCGATTCGCTGTGCAGACACGCCAGAAACCTATGATTGTGCGTTCGAATCCAGGTTTGCCCCGATTATGTTTCTAGGTTTGTCAGCACCATACCCGTACTCGTAGGTTTCACCGAAGTGGTAAACGTCTGAGACCTGCATCACTTCGGGCTTTCCTTCTACATTAAGCTGACACGCCGTGATATAACTTGAATACTTGACTTTCTAAACTATCTGCCCTATTCTCCATTTACCATAATAGTTGGAGTTGATAATCTTACGCGTAAGAAACGCGTGCATGCGAATAAATGAATCACCTCAATGTCTTTACAACTATCTAACCTTCAAATATCTGAAGCGTACATCAAAATAGGACAATTTTTTGAATATTTCTCATATGGTTAGGGTTGAATTGCTGACATTGTCCTAAATATGCCACACATAACATTTTCTGCTTGCAACGTGGCACCTGAAACAAGGTTATTCCATGACAAAGATTAAGAAAATAATATTCCAAAGTACGAATATAATGTAACACATTCTATTTGTGTGTCATGATAAAACTAATTTACATATCTTGACATAATGCCACCATTCTTAAATGTAAGTACTTTGGTTTTATCTAAATTAACAGACAAATTGTAGTCAGAATAAACACTATCCAAAGTATCAATCTGTTTCGGAAGACCATAAAATGATGGATGAAATAAGTTCTACATCGTCAGCAAACAAAAGCAGAAATAATTGAATGATGTCTGGGTGAAGTTCATCAGCATTAAAACAACATTGAGAACAATAGTGGGCTTAAAACGCACCCTTGTCTTAGGCCCAGTGGCCATTCAAAAGGGTCTGACATTATGTTGTTAGCTCTGACACATGCTTTAATACAACAACAAAAATGAATTTAAGGCATTCAAACTCCTCTACATTTTAGAACATTTGAGAACCTACCATAGTTTATTTCTATTACCTAAATCGAATGCCTTAGTAAAATCCACAAAGGCAACATAGAGCTTGCCGCGTTTTTTGACAAGTACCTCTGTATAATGGAGTGCAAAATAAAAATATTGTCTGTGGTGCTATTACCCTTTCAGAATCCTGCTTGTGATTAAGATATTCTAGCATATGCCTCTGACCAAACTGTTAATGGCTTGCTTAACATAGATGTATATAATTTGCTAAAAACACTCAACAACGTAATTCCTTTGTAGTTATTAGGTGTTTGTGTATGACCTTTCTTATGTAAAGGTATAATTATACCTGTGCTCCAAGATTGTAGAAAATACGCTAAATCAAACAATATATTAAAATGAGTTCAAGGTATGGTAATTACCAGGACACGGCCATCTTTAAAGAGTTCGGCAATCATATCATCCGATCCAGCAGATTTGGATGATTTTAACTCCATAATACATTGGTGTATTTCAGGTGGTGCATTTGGTACATCTAAAATACTGACAGCTGCATCATCAACATGGCCATCAGTGTTTTCATGAATAATTGCATCAACATTACCATTTGATTTATGAAAAATATTGTCAAAATATTGTACCAATCATCAGTAATTATATTTGGGTTGTGTAGATAACTTCCAATCATATATCGTCCCGTTTTCCAAAGCCTCTTTTGCATTATTTATGTTGGCTGTTAGTGTATCACGAATAGAATCATTATACCTTCTTTTCTTCTCCTGTAATACAATAGTGTAATCATGTCTTGCTCTTTTGTAATGTCTGAGAGACCCGCTATCTTTACGCTTTCTAAAAACCAGTACAAGTCCGTGGCATTCACATCTATAGAACTTGCATTCCTTGTCAATTCAATTCAATTCTTTATTGTATGAAAAGGCCACAGGCCCATATACAACGGAGTTACATAACATATTTTATAAAATACAAAGTCAAGGTAACAATTCACTTCGTAACAAAAAAGCATTATGTATGTACAAAGCCAGTTGATGTTGTGTTATAAGATCCTTGCAAGACAGTAATGAAGACAATCTTTTAGCATTAAAATGAGATAGAGACCACTGCGGTAAGTACTTGTCTCTTAGATTTTCGTATATAGGGCAAATAAACATGAATAGAATCATTATACCTTCTTTTCTTCTCATGTAATACAATAGTGTAATCATGTCTTGCTCTTTTGTAATGTCTGAGAGACCCGCTATCTTTACGCTTTCTAAAAACCAGTACAAGTCCGTGGCATTCACATCTATAGAACTTGCATTCCTTGTCAAACCACATTTTAGAGTGATTACCTTGATCTTTACTTTGTCTTCATTGACTCAGCTGCTGCACAAACCCAATCACTCAACAAACATGTTGTTTTATCTATATCACAACATTGCTGTAAAATGTTTGTCCCTGAATAGACCCAGCTGATTGACGTCTCATTAACCTTGTACATCGCAGGAGACGCACGTGCACTTGTCTCGTGTGGTCAGTGGCGTGTGACTGAAATGATCATGTCACAGGCACATGTGATGAATCTGACCTAGATTGGCTATTGAATTTAAAGCACCACATCAACAAGGGAGGCAAAGCAATGACATGGTCAACCTCACTTGTTCCCGAAGAGCATATAAGTGTGAAGTCACCAATACCAGCATCTTTCAAACATCTGCCATTAAATATATTCATATTAAAAGATATACATAGATCTAGAGGTTGATGTCCAGATGTATTTATTTAGTCCAGTTTATGTCACTCCCCTATCTCCTATCTGTCGTAGTCGCCAGTGTGGCAGGCTTGATGTTTGCACGTAGACGGCGTCTACGATCCCGACTATAACTACGATCCCTAGTGTGACGTGGTGTAGTGACGTCCGGTGTGGCAGAAGTCGTTGTGTATTCGTCCGTTACCATGTCGTTACTTCCTTGGTCGGTGTTTCCTGGACGGCGTTGAGGCTTGACCTGGCGATCAGAGATGAGAAGACTTCCGTTCTTATAGTAGCCGTACCATCCTGTTCCTTCAAGTCGTGTAGTGTGCTTGTTTCGTCAGGTCATTCACTATCCCTATAGCATTATCCCTAAGACTGTTCCTGAGGTCCTCCAACCAGTACATCAGAGTGCGTGGTGTCTTGCTGCTACTGGGTCGCACACTACCTGGCCTATGTGCTCCAGGTAATGCCCGGGGTGATTGGCTCCTCGTTTTCTTTAGCGCTATTGCTCAATGTATCGCACACACACACTGTCCAGTTTCATCACACCTTTCAGGCAAGTCATAGATAACACCATTATGCCGTCTACTGTATTGTTCTAGTTGATAAATATCTGTCTAAATCTCTCGTTGATTGTAAACCGACCTGATCTAGACTTTCAATACAGGTTTCCAATTTTTCTGATCGTTCATCCAGATGATCAATATCTGGCTGGAGTATTTCTTCTTGTGATTTGAGATCTTCCAAACTTTGTATTTTACTGACCTTTTATTCAGTGACAGAAATCAGTACTTCGTGTCTTTTTAAAGATGCATCACAATCATTCTTGGTGCAGGGTTTAATTCAGACTCGCCATATAAAGTTAAAAGGGCTGGAACTAGAAGTGGTGAATTGAAGAAAATGGACATTTGCCAATTGATTTTGAAGGCATGCCCATATTGAAGTCACATGCCCATATTGAAGTCACACGCACATTTTGAAGTCACACGCACATATTGAAGTCACATGCACATATTAAAGTCAGCTGCACATATTGAGGTGAGGTGAGGTGAAATTGGGTTTAACGTCGCGTCCAAGATTATTGCACTTATATAGCGACGTGCATGTACGTGTGTTTGTTTGTGTGGCTACTTGTACTCGTCCGGACTAATGCCGATTTATAGTGCTAGCCCACTGAGGTACCATGCCGCAGTTTAACATGAATACCCCACTCAGACACAGTATACAGACTCCGAGCCGACCGGTCCTTGTTTTAGCCCCTTAATGCCGAGCGCCATTCAGAGTAACAACAAGTACCATCTTTTAACGTCTTTTGGTATGACGCGACCGGGGAACGAACCCCGGAACTTCCGCTCTCCGGGCGGACACTCTACCACTAGACCACGGAGGCGGTTGCACATATTGAAGTCAGGTGCACATATTGAAGTCACATGCACATATTGAAGTCACACGCACATATTGAAGTCACATGCTCACATTGAAGTCACACGCACATATTGAAGTCACATGCACATATTGAAGTCACACGCACATATTGAAGTCACACGCACATATTGAAGTCACATGCACATATTGAAGTCAGGTGCACATATTGAAGTCACATGCACATATTGAAGTCACATGCCCATATTGAAGTTACACACAGATATTGAAGTCAAACGCACATATCGAAGTCACATGTTCATATTGAAGTTACACGCACATATTGAAGTCACATGCTCACTGACGCGGTGACGGGACGCTTGTTGCAGGTTGCGACGCTGGAGGCTGTTGACGGTACCAACTCCAGGTACTACTCCGCTGACGTCGATTTCCCCTTCCCCGGCACCTACAACTGCGACGTCTGTACTGTAAGTCCTTCATAACCACTTGTTGAGTGCGTGTGTACTTGAAACCCTGTTAGTCCGGAAACCTGATCTTTCGGACCATTTCTGGTTGAAACATTTACATCATTCAGTACATTCGGTAAACGGGGCTTTGTTGCATAATTCTCATTATGGGGGCATGGTACAAATATCAGTTCACTTTAGTTACATTCCTTGTTTACAATGACCACCACTTCGATGACGTTCAAACCTTCATAACCTTAACGGTATCCCCGAGCAGAATAGGCCATGACTTCCCTATGCTTGTATCTAGAGCTGAATAAGTGGGGCGGTTACAATGTCATGCTCCTGTAACACTGTATCCCGACTGTGTGGAATGTTTCTATAAAGCACCAACCATCGGTCTCTGTCTGGTCAGCTGCAATATATCGAAATAGACAAGTGCTGACTGTGGCATAAAATATCAAATACCCACCCACTCGAGGACATCGGACATTTTAGCTAATGTGTTTCCTTCCTTCCTTCACCCATCCTTCATTCCTTCCTTCCATCCTTCCTTCCTTCATCTAGTTATCATGATATTATTTCATTCATTCATTCATTCATTCATTCATTCCTTCATTCATGTATATATTTAGTTATCATTATTTCTTTCCTTTACACAAAGTATAGGTCTTCAGCAATTACATTCATTTATTCGTTGCATCGTTTGTTCCTTTTTCAATTCACCCATTCGGAAATTCAAATAATATATTTATCAATTTATTGACTTTTCAAACAATCAACCGTTATGATTCTTATTCCTTCCTTGTATGATATTGTCGCCTAGGCTACAGAATGTGCTCCTGGTTTCTTCTGCCGAGCAGTGGGTGCAGCAGGGTTGCCTGTTACACCGGCCTGTGTTCCCGCCGCCTCCATAGGTAGGGTGATACACTGGTTGTCGATATACATAGATTCCACATACTTGATATCACCTGTATGTAGTAACAGACACACGAGCCATTCCTTATATGTAGTATCACACATACGTGCTATCATCTGTATGTAGTATCAGACACACGAGCCATTCCTTATATGTAGTATCACACATACGTGCTATCATCTGTATGTAGTATCAGACACACGAGCCATTCCTTATATGTAGTATCACACATACGTGCTATCATCTGTATGTAGTATCAGACACACGAGCCATTCCTTATATGTAGTACACACATACGTGCTATCATCTGTATGTAGTATCAGACACACGAGCCATTCCTTATATGTAGTATCACACATACGTGCTATCATCTGTATGTAGTATCAGACACACGAGCCATTCCTTATATGTAGTATCACACATACGTGCTATCATCTGTATGTAGTATCAGACACACGAGCCATATCTTATATGTAGTATCACACATACGTGCTATCATCTGTATGTAGTATCAGACACACGAGCTATTCCTTATATGTAGTATCACACATACGTGCTATCATCTGTATGTAGTATCAGACACACGAGCCATTCCTTATATGTAGTATCACACATACGTGCTATCACCTGTATGTAGTAACAGACACACGAGCCATTCCTTATATGTAGTATCACACATACGTGCTATCATCTGTATGTAGTATCAGACACACAAGCCATTCCTTATATGTAGTATCACACATACGTGCTATCATCTGTATGTAGTATCAGACACACGAGCCATATCTTATATGTAGTATCACACATACGTGCTATCATCTGTATGTAGTATCAGACACACGAGCTATTCCTTATATGTAGTATCACACATACGTGCTATCATCTGTATGTAGTATCAGACACACGAGCCATTCCTTATATGTAGTATCACACATACGTGCTATCACCTGTATGTAATAACAGACACACGAGCCATTCCTTATATGTAGTATCACACATACGTGCTATCATCTGTATGTAGTATCAGACACACGAGCCATTCCTTATATGTAGTATCACACATACGTGCTATCATCTGTATGTAGTATCAGACACACGAGCTATTCCTTATATGTAGTAACACACATACGTGCTGTCACCTGTATGTAGTATCAGACACACGTGCCACTTCTTATATGTAGTATCACACATACGTGCTGTCACCTGTATGTAGTATCAGACACACGATCTATTCCTTATATGTAGTATCACACATACGTGCTGTCATCTGTATGTAGTATCAGACATACGAGCCACTCCTTTTATGTAGTATCACACATACGTGCTGTCACCTGTATGTAGTATCAGACACACGTGCACGCGCCACTCCTTATATTAAGTATCACACATACGTGCTATCACCTGTATGTAGTATCAGACACACGAACTATTCCTTATATGTAGTATCATACATACGTGCTATCACCTGTATGTAGTGTCAGACACATGTGCACGCGCCACTCCTTATATTTAGTATCACACATACGTGCTATCACCTGTATGTAGTATCAGACACACGAGCTATTCCTTATATGTAGTATCACACATACTTGATATCACCTGTATGTAGTATCAGACACACGAGCTATTCCTTATATGTAGTATCATACATACGTGCTGTCACCTGTATGTAGTATCAGACACACGCGCCACTCCTTATATGTAGTATCACACATACGTGCTGTCACCTGTATGTAGTATCAGACACACGAGCTGTTCCTTATATGTAGTATCATACATACGTGCTATCATCTGTATGTAGTATCAGACACACGAGCCACTCCTTTTATGTAGTATCACACATACGTGCTGTCACCTGTATGTAGTATCAGACACACGTGCACGCGCCACTCCTTATATTAAGTATCACACATACGTGCTATCACCTGTATGTAGTATCAGACACACGAACTATTCCTTTTATGTAGTATCATACATACGTGCTATCACCTGTATGTAGTGTCAGACACATGTGCACGCGCCACTCCTTATATTTAGTATCACACATACGTGCTATCACCTGTATGTAGTATCAGACAAACGAGCTATTCCTTATATGTAGTATCACACATACTTGATATCACCTGTATGTAGTATCAGACACACGAGCTGTTCCTTATATGTAGTATCACACATACGTGCTATCATCTGTATGTAGTATCAGACACACGAGCTATTCCTTATATGTAGTATCACACATACGTGCTATCACCTGTATGTAGTATCAGACACACGAGCTATTCCTTATATATAGTATCACACATACGTGCTATCATCTGTATGTAGTATCAGACACACGAGCTGTTCCTTATATGTAGTATCACACATACGTGCTATCATCTGTATGTAGTATCAGACACACGCGCCACTCCTTATATGTAGTATCACACATACGTGCTATCATCTGTATGTAGTATCAGACACACGAGCTGTTCCTTATATGTAGTATCACACATACGTGCTATCATCTGTATGTAGTATCAGACACGAGCCATTCCTTATATGTAGTATCACACATACGTGCTGTCACCTGTATGTAGTATCAGACACACGAGCTATTCCTTATATGTAGTATCATACATACGTGCTGTCACCTGTATGTAGTATCAGACACACGCGCCACTCCTTATATGTAGTATCACACATACGTGCTGTCACTTGTATGTAGTATCAGACACACGCGCCACTCCTTATATGTAGTATCACACATACGTGCTGTCACCTGTATGTAGTATCAGACACACGAGCTGTTCCTTATATGTAGTATCACACATACGTGCTGTCACCTGTATGTAGTATCAGACACACAAGCCATTCCTTATATGTAGTATCACACATACGTGCTGTCACCTGTATGTAGTATCAGACACACAAGCCATTCCTTATATGTAGTATCATACATACGTGCTGTCACCTGTATGTAGTATCAGACACACGTGCACGCGCCACTGCTTATATATAGTATCACACATACGTGCTGTCACCTGTATGTAGTATCAGACACACGAGCTATTCCTTATATGTAGTATCATAAAACGTGCTATCACCTGTATGTAGTATCAGACACACGAGCTTTTCCTTATAAGTAGCATTACTATTGCCTGAAAATTGCTAAGAGCGGAGTAAGACTCACTCACTCACTCACTCACGTGACCTGTTCTCCGATTCATATTCGAAGGTGCCGCAATTCGCTGTGCGGAGTTTAGGCCTGTGAGCATCCTATGATCGTTGGTTCAAATCCCGGATATGTTTTGGTTATGACCCTGTCTTGTCAGCACACCATGTAATGACTGAAACGTTGTATCATGCGGCGTTAAATCCAGCCTACTCCTTCAGTATCATTATTATTCATTTAACAAGGGGTCTTGTTCTTCCATTTATATAAATAGCTTCTTTAAAGTATTAGTTTTATTTTTGTATTAAAACAGCACCAACGTTTCCTACGCCTAAGTGTGCTCGTGGTGGAGGCGATACGGCAGTCTTCCAGAACGGGAGCATGATATCCTGCTCCGCCAATCAAAACTGTCCACTTAACTTCGTCTGTTCGTCAGGCGCGTGTTGTCTGGATATATCTCTATGCTGTAAGTATACTACTCAATGATGCTGATGCTGATGCTGCTGATGATGGTGATGGTGATGGTGATGGTATTGGTAAGAACATTTATTATGCCCGAAAGTGAGATTGACCAATCAGAGAGCAGAACTACTGACCCCACATGAGCCCGTATACCGTCAGTAACAGCCATCTTGGATTTTCCAACACCCACCTAACATATTTCACATGGGAATGCTGGTACCGAAATTCGTTATTTGACACCGTTTTGTGTTTTACTATCATTAACTGTGATGTGCAAGGACATTAATCTGTTTTTTAGATCACATTCTTGACTTTGTTGATAAAGATTATAGTTAAAAATTTCAACAAGGTTTGGCCTCTAAGGTTTGAAGAGTGGTCTCCCTTTGAAATCAGCAATGGCTGTTAGACGCTTTGCTAGTATCATCGATGAGGAAATCTCTGATAAAAGGCAAAATTTGCTATATGGATACCAGAAAGTGTAAACTTTTCGGCATAATAAATTCGTTATGGTGTCTTTAGTTGCCGTATTCGGTGTCATATTAGATAAGTAATATAGGTAACCTAATATGACACCCTATACGGCAACTAAAGACACCATAACTAATACTATACCGTCAGTAAAATCCAAGATGGTTTTTACAGACCCAATATGAAACTTCTTTTCTCCATTCAGTCAACATATTGGGCGGTGCCAAACTAAGGCACCGAGAACAATGGCAAGTCGGACAACTTAGTACTTGGGATGCAAGCGTGACATTTCGAAGACGAGGTCCGCATATTTGCCATGTTTTTCCTCAATCTTGTCAATCACATTAGTGTCAAAAGGGACAGAAAATTCAATGATATAAATGATTTCATTGGATTTATCGATTTATCTATTATTATTATTATTATTATTATTATTATTATTATTAAAGCCGGCGTCAAACATGTTTCATTGGTATCGTTGACTTCAGCCAAACAGGGCAACTGCCCCGCCCGTGTGAGCTGGTGCGGGGTGAACAACGACTGTACGTCGGACAGCTCCTGCCCAGGGGACACCAAGTGCTGCTCCTACCCTGAATGTCAAGGTCGACGATGTGTCAGACCTTTATTTACCGGAAGATAGAAAATCGCCATCTTTAATTCGCCTTGCCGAGAAAACCTACCAAGTTATTGTACTTCATTTAAGTGGGTATATTATTGTACAAGTCTATATGTGACATCGCTGACTTGTTGCCCTGACCCATTATGTGAGTCAGACAGATCAATAAAAGAATATTATCAGCATGAGTGGCTATATTGTCATGTGTCAGATTCAGTCGAGGGTTTTGTTTGTATGTCAAAGGTAACACATAAATTCTTTCCGGGCAGAATTGGCACACAGGACCCCATGAACTAACTAGAACGAGGATCGGATTGCTACAGTATATAGTCTGGCTAACAGTGTGTATTCGTACCCCGACGGCGTGGACTGCTCACATTGGAAAGTAAATGTCCCATGAAAGGCTTCATGTCCTCATAAATAACACCTATGTGGAACTTGGGGAGGCCATTTAAGTTGGCGGCTAACTTATATATATATATCATCTCCTCTATACTCCATCCCACACCCTTCCGTATCGCCCCCCCCCCCCCCCCCCCCGTTCATAGGAAAGGCCTCCCACATCATCAGCCGCCTCCTCAAACAGCAAACCAATATTGACACCCACTTCACCAGCTCCAACTCCCTCAACACCCTGCTAAGAGCCAACGGCAGGAACACATCTAAACCCCAAGAGGTTAAAGGTGTCTACAAAGTTGACTGCAACTGCGGGCAATCTTACGTAGGTGAAACCTCCCGCCCAATCAACACCAGACTCAAAGAGCACAAAACCTCAACTATTAAATCTGACAGTAAATCAGCCATCTCGGACCAAATCAGCAACTGCCCCAATCACATCATCAACTTGGAAAACGTCCAAATCCTCTCCAACAACCTCCATGACTTCACTAAAAGAAAACTAACGGAAGCAATCAACATTCGCCTCCTCAAGCCATCAATTAACAGAAATCAAGGCTATTTCATCCCATCCGCCTACCATTAACTGATCAAGCAATAATCACTTGTCCTGTTTAATTGGCTTCATGTCCCTATTGGCTTCCACCTATATGTTTTCTGTCCATCGTGTCCTGACAGTATTATCCTTCTGTTGTCAACACTTACTCATGTTATCCCACTCATGTATGCAATTGTTGTTACTGTTATCCTGATAGTACTGTACTGTTAATCCTCCACCTACTATATATATTCTGTACTATGTCCCTCATTCAGTCTTGCTTGACAATGGTATAGGAATCTATACCGAAACGTTGCTTTTTACAGTATTAAAGAAGTTGTTATCCATAAAATTGTGTCTACCTTGTTTACATAAGAAAGAGCGTATGTTGTAAGATTCCGACTATATCATATGTTATCACATGTTGATGTATTGATAATGCCATCAATATCTGTTCCATGGAAGGCGTGGTCCCATTGACATTACTCTGCACCAGGCCCAAAGGATCAAACAAGGGAAACACTGTAACATATTAATTCATGAAGTTGGTTGGTTACGTATGATGTATGCATCGGTGTATCTACAGCGGTGTCCATTTGGGGCGCTGTGATCATGTCCAAAATACCAAACAAGGTCCCATAGATTTGTCAACAATAGGCGTTCGGTCGACACATTTATTTCTAAACCATGTATGCAAAAAGATATCCTTGTACACTTAACGGTTTCTGAATTTGTCCCCATTGAAATAGGACAGATGGAGCTCCAACTTCATGGTGTTGGATAACTCTGGACACATGGAATCAGCTCATAGTAACTCGCAGTGCCAGACCACCCACTGGCTCTCATACATCAGTGATACGTGACGTAAAGTAAAGTGGTTCTGACATCAAACAAAGTTGCACTAATTCACAAGACATATTTACATGGTTTAGTTTCAAATTGGGCTACCGGATTGAAGCTCAATAACATATTTTGATGATGTGAGCTGATTACACAAATAAGACACACGTGTATTCTGATACATGTATACTCCTGGGGAACATGTGGCCCTGGCGTCTAAGGCTGTGCAGAGTTGCGTCCCTCGATATAATTGATACGTGATATGTATTCACACATGTGATACAAAATGTATGCAAATTTGTCTTATGACTGTATTATAGAGTCAAAATTAACAGAATAAAAGATAGCTGTGCTAAAACTACGAAGGACGAGCATACAAATAGCCTCTTCAGCAATGTTATGTACGTGGATACTACATCGTTATTTACACAATACTGCTACAATCTATGTTCTAGAGCATTCGGTGTAAATAGTGCTACAATCAATACTCACACGCAAAAGAAACGCAAGTGGTTTTAAGCAAATAGGTAACAAACACGGAACCATAAATTGCTACGAGTTTTTAGCATGTAGTGAAGCCTGATTGTGTTATCAATATTTTTGGTTTCATTTTGGAAGCCCCGAGTAAAAACGCAACATAAAAAACGAATCGCCAAAACGCACCATTTCAATGACTATGTGGGTATCATGCACCCATTTCTCGCGAAATCGAAAACGCACGAACTGTCACGAACTGTAGTGGGTATAAAACTGTGGCCGATTCTTGGACCTACCACTCCTTGGTCAACAATGCCACGCCTAACTCAAATTCAGAGAAACCAGGCTATCGGGCGTTTGGAAGCTGGAGAGTCTGTCCAAGATGTTGCCCGTCATTTCAACGTTAACATAACTACAATTTACCGTCTCCTGCATCGATGCAATGCTACACAGACCACAGATTACCTTCCTCGGAGCGGTCGTCCTAGGGTCACCACACCTCGACAAGATCAGCAGATTACCCGACAACACCAGCGACATCCGTTCCTAACTGCCAGAGAAAGTGCTCGACAGACCATAGGAACACATAATCGACACATTAGCCGGGACACTGTGATCCGACGTCTCCGTTCCAGCAACCTCAGATATCGCCGATCAGCACGTCGTCCTGTTCTCCAACCACGGCATCGACAAGCACGACTTCAGTGGGCACAGGGTCATCACAATTGGCATCATCGTGAGTGGTCGCTTTTGTGTCTCCCATGCAGACGGAAGAGTCTTAATTTGGCGGCGTCTAGGTGATCGTTTCGCTGACAGAAACGTTGTGGAAAGGGATCCAAGGGATGGACCTGGTGTCATGATATGGGCAGGGATTGGACTTAATGCGAGACTTGGACCCATTTGCTTTCTGAATGTTGGTCAAGGTCGGGGACACGGCGTCACTGCTCAGCGGTATGTCGACCAAGTGATCAGACCCCACGTTGTTCCATTTTTTGCAAAACATCAACAACACATTTTCCAGCAGGACAACGCTCGTCCCCATGTTGTCAGAGCTAACATGGCCTTTCTGCAACAACACAACATCCGTGTTCTACTGTGGCCAGCCCTAAGCCCTGATCTGAACCCCATCGAACACTTGTGGGATGAGGTTCAAAGGCGTCTGCACAATGAGCGCCCAGTCCCTACAACTGCCGATGAGCTACGCACAGCTGCTCTGGATGTGTGCAGGAGGATCCCTAGGGCCTTCACAAATCGTCTGATCCACTCAATGTACAGGAGATGTGTGGCAGTGATCAATGCTAATGGTGGTCACACCAGGTACTGACTGACATTTTAGGTATTGACCGGAAACTGTGTAAGCACTTAATATTTAAAAAAACCAATTATGTCATCTGCCTTTTAATCCATTAAACTGTCTTCAGTAAAAAAATTGTCAATCTTGCCCTATTAGTATTTCTTGTCTTTACTGTTGAAAATAAATAACATGTATACTGCATACTCGACTTGCGTTTCTTTTGCGTGTGAGTATATGTTCCAGAGCATTCTGTGTAAATAGTGCTACAATCTGTGTTCCAGAGCATTCTGTGTAAATAGTGCTACAATCTGTGTTCCAGAGCATTCTGTGTAAATAGTGCTACAATCTGTGTTCCAGAGCATTCTGTGTGTTCAAAAGCCAGGGAAGAGTTCCCCCTTATGCATTTCCATTTCACCCAGGTACTCGATCTCAGTGTCATCATTGTCGTTGGAGGATTTCTTGTCTTCTTTGAATTTGAATCTCTTGCAGATGTTGAAATGCAAAATATAACATGGAAGAATGCAGTCCTCCTCAAAGATGACAATTTCCCTGCCGTATGGATCAACGTGGCAGTCGTAGCCTGGTTCTTTTGCTGCCCCAAGTTTTAACTTTTTACACGCGAGGGTCTGAAATTCAAGAAGACTATTGTAAAACTTTCCTTTTTACAACCTATAACTTTCGAATTTATGTCAATGTGATTTGAAGGAATATCTTGACACAGTGTTTTGGAATGATTCCAGCGTTTACAAGAAGAGGACGTCTTGTATTCATGTATTGAAGTCAAAATACATCTAAAAAATGATGTCTGCTTTACTTCAATGGATAAATAATGATTTGCCAAACATTGATTTTCAGTGGATTCTGTTTATTAAACGCGGCCCCTTCTTTTGTTGACCTTTCATCATTACAGGTAAAGGGGTTCATACGCGGAGCTTTACAAGTTACATAAAATCTTCGAATGTCCGTGGAAGTCATAATTGTTTACATATAGGTTTCATAGTTTATTGAAGCTACTAACAAATTCAACGAGACCCATAATATCCACCCCAATACATGAAACAAAGGACGTTTGGGATGATTCGTGTACACGTAAAGTGGTCCTGTTACGTACACGTAAAGTGGCGCTATGACGTACACGTAAAGTGGCGCTGTCACGTACACGCAAAGTGGTGCTGTCATGCACAGGTAAAGTGGTGCTGTCACGTTCACGTTAAGTGGTGCTGTCATGCACAGGTAAAGTGGTGTTGTCATGTACAGGTAAAGTGGTGCTGTCACGTACACGTAAAGTGGTGCTGTCATGCACAGGTAAAGTGGTGCTGTCACGTTCACGTTAAGTGGTGCTGTCATGCACAGGTAAAGTGGTGCTGTCACGTACACGTAAAGTGGTGCTGTCATGCACAGGTAAAGTGGTGCTGTCACGTTCACGTTAAGTGGTGCTGTCATGCACAGGTAAAGTGGTGCTGTCACGTACACGCAAAGTGGTGCTGTCATGCACAGGTAAAGTGGTGCTGTCACGTTCACGTTAAGTGGTGCTGTCATGCACAGGTAAAGTGGTGCTGTCACGTACACGTAAAGTGGTGCTGTCATGCACAGGTAAAGTGGTGCTGTCACGTTCACGTTAAGTGGTGCTGTCATGCACAGGTAAAGTGGTGCTGTCACGTACACGCAAAGTGGTGCTGTCATGTACATGTAAAGTGGTGCTGTCACGTTCACGTTAAGTGGTGCTGTCATGCACAGGTAAAGTGGTGCTGTCACGTACACGCAAAGTGGTGCTGTCATGCACAGGTAAAGTGGTGCTGTCATGCACAGGTAAAGTGGTGCTGTCATGTACACGTAAAGGGGTGCTGCCATGCACAGGTAAAGTGGTGCTGTCACGTTCACGTTAAGTGGTGCTGTCATGCACAGGTAAAGTGGTGCTGTCACGTACACGCAAAGTGGTGCTGTCATGCACAGGTAAAGTGTTGTACATGCACAGGTAAAGTGGTGCTGTCACGTACACGCAAAGTGGTGCTGTCATGCACAGGTAAAGTGGTGCTGTCACGTTCACGTTAAGTGGTGCTGTCATGCACAGGTAAAGTGGTGCTGTCACGTACACATAAAGTGGTGCTGTCATGCACAGGTAAAGTGGTGCTGTCACGTTCACGTTAAGTGGTGCTGTCATGCACAGGTAAAGTGGTGCTGTCACGTACACGTAAAGTGGTGCTGTCATGCACAGGTAAAGTGGTGCTGTCACGTTCACGTTAAGTGGTGCTGTCATGCACAGGTAAAGTGGTGCTGTCACGTACACGCAAAGTGGTGCTGTCATGCACAGGTAAAGTGGTGGTGTCACGTACACGTAAATCGGTGCTGTCACGTACACGCAAAGTGGTGCTGTCACGTTCACGTAAATCGGTGCTGTCACGTACACGCAAAGTTGTGCTGTCACGTACATGCAAAGTGGTGCTGTCACGTACACGTGAAGTGGTGCTGTCACGTACACGCAAAGTGGTGGTGTCACGTACACGCAAAGTGGTGGTGTCACGTACACGTAAAGTGGTGCTGTCACGTACACGTGAAGTGGTGCTGTCACGTACACGTGAAGTGGTAGTGTCAAGTAAACGTAAAGTGGTGGTGTCATGTTCAAGTAAAATGTTCCTGTCACGTACACGCAAAGTGGTGCTGTCACGTACACGTAAAGTGCTGTCATGCACACGTAAACTGGTGCTGTCATGCACACGTAAACTGGTGTTGTCATGTACATGTAAAGTGGTGCTGTCATGTACACGTAAAGTGGTGCTGTCATGTACATGTAAAGTGGAGCTGTCATGTACACGTAAAGTGGTGCTGTAATGTACACGTAAAGTGTTGCTGTCATGTACAAGTAAACTGGTGTTGTCATGTACATGTAAAGTGGTGCTGTCATGTACACGTAAAGTGGTGCTGTCATGTACATGTAAAGTGGAGCTGTCATGTACACGTAAAGTGGTGCTGTAATGTACACGTAAAGTGTTGCTGTCATGTACAAGTAAAGTGTTGCTGTCATGTACACGTAAAGTGGTGTTGTCATGTACACGTAAAGTGGTGCTGTCATGTACACGTAAAGTGGAGTTGTCATGTACATGTAAAGTGTTGCTGTCATGTACACGTAAAGTGGTGTTGTCATGTACACGTAAAGTGTTGCTGTCATGTACACGTAAAGTGGTGTTGTCATGTACACGTAAAGTGGTGCTGTCATGTACACGTAAAGTGGTGCTGTCATGTACACGTAAAGTGGTGTTGTCATGTACACGTAAAGTGGTGCTGTCATGTTCACGTAAAGTGCTGAAGTCATGTACACGTAAAGTGGTGCTGTCATGTACACGTAAAGTGGTGTTGTCATGTACACGTAAAGTGGTGAAGTCATGTACACGTAAAGTGGTGCTGTCATGTACATGTAAAGTGGTGTTGTCATGTACACGTAAAGTGGTGCTGTCATGTACACGTAAAGTGGTGCTGTCATGTACACGTAAAGTGGTGTTGTCATGTACACGTAAAGTGGTGCTGTCATGTTCACGTAAAGTGCTGAAGTCATGTACACGTAAAGTGGTGCTGTCATGTACACGTAAAGTGGTGTTGTCATGTACACGTAAAGTGGTGAAGTCATGTACACGTAAAGTGGTGCTGTCATGTACATGTAAAGTGGTGTTGTCATGTACACGTAAAGTGGTGCTGTCATGTACACGTAAAGTGTTGCTGTCATGTACACGTAAAGTGGTGTTGTCATGTACATGTAAAGTGTTGCTGTCATGTACACGTAAAGAGGTGTTGTCATGTACACGTAAAGTGGTGCTGTCATGTACACGTAAAGTGGTGTTGTCATGTACATGTAAAGTGTTGCTGTCATGTACACGTAAAGTGGTGTTGTCATGTACACGTAAAGTGGTGCTGTCATGTTCACGTAAAGTGGTGAAGTCATGTACACGTAAAGTGTTGCTGTCATGTTCACGTAAAGTGGTGCTGTCATGTACACGTAAAGTGTCACGTTGTATGATGTTTGGTATGATGCTTTACCTTCCCCTTCAGGACTTTACACATGAGTAGCTTGCTGGTCTTCTGCATGTAATTCATGGCAAACCGCGGGTATTCACTGAAGTAGATGCCGTTCCCGTACCACCCGACGTCAGTTGTCTCTTCGAAGAAGGGGTGGTCTGGTTGCAAAAGTAGTCCAATATTATACTCGATAATATTTTTTCGATGAATTTGATAGATGGAACCAGCGAATAGCCCAGCATTATAATGCAGTAGCCAATGTTGAGGATCGGCAGGTTTTTTCGCAAATTTTATTAAGAATGAAAACAATCATTTACTTGAACGTAGGTGGATTGCTATGTCATGGAATGTGTTTTAGCTATTCTACAATGATAATGCACATGTGAGTTTATTTATTTTTACAATAATCTCTTTACATGATGGATGTATAGAGAAAGTTAGAAAAGAAAGAGAAATAGTCTGTAAAATACTAGTGTTCTTATACTGCATGTGATAATATGATATAGCAAATCATTTTTTTCAAACGTCTGTTGGACAACATAAAATTCCAAGATTACGTTTCATACAGGTTAAACATATTAATCAGGGGCCCAGTATCAATATCTGACAGTGAGAGGACCACACAGGGGGCTAGTATCAGTATCTGTGACAGTGAGAGGACCACGAAGGGGGCTAGTATCAGTATCTGTGACAGTGAGAGGACCACACAGGGGCCCAGTATCAGTATCTGTGACAGTGAGAGGACCACACAAGGGACCAGTATCAGTATCTGTGACAGTGAGAGGACCACACAGGGGACCAGTATCAGTATCTGTGACAGTGAGAGGACCACACAGGGGACCAGTATCAGTATCTGTGACAGTGAGAGGACCACACAGGGGACCAGTATCAGTGTCTGTGACAGTGAGAGGACCACACAGGGGACCAGTATCAGTATATGTGACAGTGAGAGGACCACACAGGGGACCAGTATCAGTATCTGCGACAGTGAGAGGACCACACAGGGGCCCAGTATCAGTGTCTGTGACAGTGAGAGGACAACACAGGGGACCAGTATTAGTATCTGTGACAGTGAGAGGACCACACAGGGGACCAGTATCAGTATCTGTGACAGTGAGAGGACCACATAGGGGCCCAGTATCAGTATCTGTGACAGTGGGGGGACCACACAGGGGACCAGTATCAGTATATGTGACAGTGAGAGGACCACACAGGGGACCAGTATCAGTATCTGTGACAGTGAAAGGACCACACAGGGGACCAGTATCAGTGTCTGTGACAGTGAGAGGACCACACAGGGGCCCAGTATCAGTATCTGTGACAGTAAGAGGACCACACAGGGGACCAGTATCAGTATCTGTGACAGTGAGAGGACCACACAGGGGACCACTATCAGTATCTGTGACAGTGAGAGGACCACATAGGGGCCCAGTATCAGTATCTGTGACAGTGGGGGGACCACACAAGGGTCTAGTATCAGTATCTGTGACAGTAAGAGGACCACACAGGGGACCAGTATCAGTATCTGTGACAGTGAGAGGACCACACAGGGGCCCAGTATCAGTATCTGTGACAGTGAGAGGACCACACAGGGGACCAGTATCAGTATCTGTGACAGTGAGAGGACCACACAGGGGCCCAGTATCAGTATCTGTGACAGTGAGAGGACCACACAGGGGCCCAGTATCAGTATCTGTGACAGTGAGAGGACCACACAGGGGCCCAGTATCAGTATCTGTGACAGTGAGAGGACCACACAGGGGACCAGTATCAGTATCTGTGACAGTGAGAGGACCACACAGGGGCCCAGTATCAGTATCTGTGACAGTGAGAGGACCACACAGGGGACCAGTATCAGTATCTGTGACAGTGAGAGGACCACACAGGGGACCAGTATCAGTATCTGTGACAGTGAGAGGACCACACAGGGGCCCAGTATCAGTATCTGTGACAGTGAGAGGACCACACAGGGGCCCAGTATCAGTATCTGTGACAGTGAGAGGACCACACAGGGGACCAGTATCAGTATCTGTGACAGTGGGGGGACCACACAAGGGTCTAGTATCAGTATCTGTGACAGTAAGAGGACCACACAGGGGACCAGTATCAGTATCTGTGACAGTGAGAGGACCACACAGGGGCCCAGTATCAGTATCTGTGACAGTGAGAGGACCACACAGGGGACCAGTATCAGTATCTGTGACAGTGAGAGGACCACACAGGGGCCCAGTATCAGTATCTGTGACAGTGAGAGGACCACACAGGGGCCCAGTATCAGTATCTGTGACAGTGAGAGGACCACACACCTGGCTGACGGAATCCTTCCTCACAGATGCTCTTTATGTTTTCCTCTGAAGTTCCATGAAAACCCAGAACAGGAACCCCATATGAAGCATCTTTTTGGAACATTTTCTCCTGGGCCGATCTGAAAATGTACCATTGTACCATGTACGTCACGTGTCTTACTGTGAGATGTTTTTGGTTTATATAAACAATGTGAGACGTGTGTATTGACCAATGTATTATTGTCATTAGTACTGTTGTATAATACTATTACTATTACTAGTAGTTTGTTGTTTAACGCCGCACTCAGCAATATTCCAGCTATATGACAGCGGTCTGTAAATAATCGAGTCTGGACCAGGCAATCCAATGATTGACATCATGAGCATCGATCCAAGCAATTGGGACCGATGACATGCATCAACCAAGTCAGTGAGCCTGACCACCCGATCCCGTTAGTCTTACGACAAGCATAGTCGCCTTTTAGGACAAGCATGGGTTGCTGAAGCCTATTCTACCCCGCGTCTTCGCGGGTTTATTACTAGTAGTAGCTATACCTTGGCAGTAGTAGTAGTAGTAGTAGTAGTAGTAGAAGTAGTAGTAGTAGTAGTAGTAGTATCGTTGTATTTCATTGTTCAAATACGCAATATCACTTACCAAGTGTGCAACAGAATACAATCTACTGCGATGTAACTTGAAATACATGACAAAACATGTGGTGATAATGAACGTTTGCATAAGGCCCAGTCTCATAGAACTGTCCACAACGCCATGATGGTGCTTACCTGAACTGTTTGACTTGTTTGGGATTCACAACGTATTCCACTTTGGTCAGTTGAAATATATGTCTGAAAATAATCGATAAATAAAGCTGAATTTAAGAAGTGGAAAATCAAGTATGAGTTTTCACAAAAGAACAACTTACATCAATGACATCACATGACTGGTTTTCCTGTACTGCATAATGTAGGGGAAGGTATTTTCATCGGAATAACCAAATAATTATACATTGGCTTCGTTAATTAACTGGAGAAGAAAGTAACTGTAAGTGATTCCTTCCAAACTGTTAGTTCTCTAAATGGTAAAATATATATGTGATAGTTTCAGTCTAAAGGATGCGTGGTTTGAGTCCTGTGCGTGCACCAAAGATCTCATTGTCACAAGGTACCTACCGATTCACTGTGTCTTTCGAGAGGTACCTGTAGAACTGACTCTCCACCAGTCTGTAATGGTAGTCTTCTGGTGTCATGCTACAGCGAGGTTCGGGCTTCAGCTCGAAGTATTTCACTTCAGATCCACCAAGCGCCTTCCGTTCTCCGGTGACATAAGATGCCCGACTGAACAGATCCTAGATGAAGGATCAAGAGTGAGTGAAACTTCCCTGTGTACATTGAATGACATTTCAGAATGTAAAGGGCAAAACCCACCATTTAACTTGCTAATCAATTTGTCCGCCTTCATAAGACATGTATTGTGATTGTTTGTTTATTGTTTAACGCCGCCCGCAGCAATATTCCAGCTGTATGACGGCGGTCTGTAAATAATTGAGTCTCGACCAGACAATCAAGTGATTGAATTCCCGAGCATCGATCCGAGCATTTGAGATACGATGACATGCATCGACCAAGTCAGTGAGCCCGATCCCGTTAGTCGCCTCTTACGACAAGCACAGTCACCTTTTACGGCAGACATGGGTTGCTGAAGAACATCGAAAAGGACATATGGTCTGAAATATTCTGTAGTTCAACGTCGTGTTAGAGTGCTAGTGGGCATACTTTTGTTGTTATGAAACTACAGACTCCGGATACTCTACCTTCTGACGGACGACCAGACCCGCCACAACATGGGTACTTCCGGTAACCGCTACCTTGGAGCCATCTGCAGAGCAAGACGTATCAAAACATTTATGAAACAATTAGGCAGTGAATATCAGCATCCTTATATGATATGAATCAACACAAACGTATGCCAATATATTTCCTTATCTTCAATATGTTTTATGAAATCTCAAGTGCACTGTGGGTAAATAGTAGCAGCAACTTCATAGATAATTAATATAAGGAAACGGGATGTTTTGTTTGTTTGTTTGTTTGTTGTTTAACGCCGCACTCAGCAATATTCCAGCTATATGACGACGGTCTGGAAATAATCGTGTCTGGACCAGACAATACTGTGATTGATATAACGATCATCGACCACGCATTTGGGATACGATGACATGCATTGACCAAGTCAGAGAGCCTGACCTCCCGAGCCCTTTAGTCGCTTTTACGACAAGGATAGTCGCCTTATGGGGACATATAGAGTGGAGTCGATTCTCATGTTAGCTATGATAAAACTGTATAATGTTCATACGACAATTATAAACAGTAACATCTCAATGTACCTGCTTGAACAATATACTTTGCCTTGTTTAACAGCTGTTCACTCTCTTCAACTTGTGATTCCACAATCTAAAAAGCAGAAAATGTAAGTGACAAAGGCAGTGGCGCAATCATAAGAAATCTCGGCTAAAAGTCGAGTCGATTTTATCACTCCGGCTATATCATAAACATGTTCGCGAATAGGTGAGCATATACTGCCCCACTAGTCGCTAACATATGTTCTCACCCGAACATGGGGACATATGGTTCAGGTCCAAACGGGAATTGCGTTGGAAACCCTTTTGTCACTGATGCGTCAAATTTGAAATTCCCTCCACATGACTGCCATAAAATCGTTTGAAACATTCACAAATGCCTTGAATGCCGTAACCGTGGTCAAACAACTTTTACGCAAGCCTCGTACATGTAAAACCCTATGTGAAATGTTGGTAGAGAGCCTGTTCCATTGTGCCTCAGACATTGTACCTCAGACATTGTACCTCAGACATTGTGCCTCAGACATTATACCTCAGACATTGTACCTCAGACATTGTGCCTCAGACATTGTACCTCAGACATTGTACCTCAGACATTGTACCTCAGACATTGTAAAATGTAGACACCAAAGGCAGGGACTGCTGGGAGAGTGTTTGGGATACAGATAAAGCTGACGCCGTCCCTCTTGTCATACAGACTTGTGGACAGTGTTTGTCACTCTGAATCTTTATGCATAGATCTAAATACGGGACAGGCGAGGCAGTTTCCTCCGTCTATTTTATTTCTATTTCAGCAGTGTAAATGAATGACATCAGATCCTAAAGTACCTAAAGCTTAAGTTTAACTTCTTGGCCACATTTTCGTGTGTTGATGGTGCCATTTCAAACAGACACAGCAATTGTTATGAGTGAATATCACCGTCAAGTAGTGGTATGTGACTTAAGCATAGAGCTGCAGGATATCCTAGACAGTTGTGGTTAGTAAGTTGTTACTAAAATTTACTGTTGTCGCCAAACCCAGCAGAGATGGTCGCACTCGTCACGTTCTGACGCCATACGTCCAGACCGAATGGAAATAAACGGCTGACGACTCCCAGCTTTGTAGGGCGTTCCTGCGTTAAGCATGCCTATTATTCGCCAACTTTCGTCTTCAGGTAATCCCCTACGAGCCATGTTGAACAAGAATTTAGACTACAGCTGCGAACAATTTTAAATTGTGCTTGGGTTAAGTGTCGATTCATGTTAGTGTCAATTGATAGTGCGCTTCTAGCAAGTCGACTGGCTTCTAACACGTGCAAGATGCAAATGCTTTGCAGCATGTACCGACAGCAGACATTTACATCTTAGATATACATAAATGTTCGTGTCCTGACGTACGATTTTAGTGATTACATTTTCGATCGCTCTGTAGTGGTTAACTTGTTCAGGGTGAGTGAGTGAGTGAGTGGGTTGGGTTTAACGCCGCTTTTTAACAGTATTCCAGTTATATCACGGCCTGTCAGCTTAATGTGGGAGGAAAGCCCGAAGTGATGCATGTCTCAGAAGTTTACCACTTCGGTGAAACCCACGAGCACGGGTATGGTGCTGACAAACCTAGAAACATAATCGGGGTCTTCAGGGTGAGCTTTATATTTATCCAGGTGTTGACAATAATGACATCGGAAATACGTCTGTTATATTGACTTTGGGGGAGTTGGTAAAATTTCTTGCGGAAGAAAAACGTTGAACATTGAGAGGAGAAGCATATCACCAATATTAAGCACTATGTGTCTTCTGAAGAAGTACAGAAAACACAGAGGAAACAGCTGGAAAATGCATAATATGTATATGTTGAGAAAAAGCATAATTTCTCGAAATGCACCAGAACCAGGCTAAATAAAGCGACAAAACCCTTTCCATATCCAAAAAAATCCCTGCATAAAGCAGTCGATTGTACAATTCCGACTATATCACGAGCATGTGTTTATGAATCACTATCAAATATATAGTAATGATACCAAGTGTTCGCGAAAAGGTGAGCGTATCCTGCCCCACCGATGGCACCCGTCACAAACACATGCAAAGGCAAGTCAATTGTTCACCGAAAATAACACACGGGAACATATGATCAAGTCAAAATAGGGAATTGCATCGGGCATCAGTTTTGTCACTGATGCATCAAACTTGGAAATGTCCTCCACGTGTCTATCATAAAACATTTTAAAAGCTTTTTACTTAGGCCTTGAACGTCTAACCTTGAACAAACAACTTCTGAGCAAGAGTTGTATGACGCTGTTTAAAATCTTGGAAGAAAGAGCATGCTCGATTGTATCTCATAAGCTGTGAAATGTAAACAGCAAAGGCTGGAGCTGCTGGAATATTGCTCGACATGAAGGGAACGTTGACTATTGGAAAGTTATCTATCTTGTCATACAGTCTTGTGGAGAGTGGTTTGGCACTCTGAATCTTTATGTATATATCTAAATATGAACCAGATGAGGCAGTATCACTGCTCTCGTATATTTCAAGTTCAGGTGGGTAAATCAGTGGAAGGGAATTGGCTATTTGATTGTTATTGAACGATCATCGATATACCTGGAGCTTAAATTCAACTTCTTGGCCAAATTACCTTGTTCTGACTTTGCCAATCCGAACATAAATTCCGATTCATATGCATAAAGAAACAGATCCGCAAGAAGGGGAGCGCAATTGGTGCCCATGGGTATGCCTACTTCTTGCCTAAATGTCTCACCCCCAATTTTAAGAACATGCCATTACAATACAATGTTTTACCACGTTATGATCACGGATAAACAAACGTTGCTTTTATAGCGTTGTTTCACTTGAATCTTTTGGCATGCAACACAAGAATATGCCCTCATGGTCAGGCAACGACGTATTCAACTGATAAACATTTAAAAGTTATTTCACTCATAGGGAATGTGAATGAACTCCAGCTTTGATAGGCATTCGGTTAATTTAAAAACAACAACATATGAAGTAGGACATGATAAAATATTTAAAAAAACTTTCTATACATAAATAGTATTTATTTTATGCAAAATGAACAAATCATGTTATTGTATTATACACCTTCCCAACACTTATCCTTACCGTATGATCAGAGAAAACGTCGTAATACTGAATATGAACCATGTTAACACTTGGACCTTGGGTCCTCGTCAGTTAATTTGAACGAGTGAGTGAGTATGGTTTCACGCCGCTTTTAGCAATATTCCAGCAGTATCAAGGCGGGGGCACCAGAAATGGCCTTCACACATTGTACCCGTGTCGGGAATCGAACCCGGGTCTTCGGCGTGACGAGCGAACGCTTTAACCACTAGGCTACCCGACCGCCCCCTAATATGAAACGAAAACAGGAAAGAAATAAGAACCTTTCTGACGACCTCATCCTTGTAGTGAACAACGATTGAGATTACTTCCAGTGATGTTTCAGAAGATTTGTTGAAGAAGTCCAAGACTGCCTTCATCATGAGCCGTGCTGATGTTTCTGCTGGGTAACCAGCATAGCCTGTCCCGAGAACAGGGAAAGCGATGGACTTGAGTTTGTGTCTCGAGGCCTCTTGCAGGCAGGTGGTAACGACTGACAGAAAGGCCTAAAAAATAACCATGAAATATAAACTTTTTCATTTCAGTGAAATTTTCTGTTTCTAAAACAAATTCCACGTTCAAAAGTAGACAACCTGTAAACTCCGTCGATGTGATACAAGATTGTGGTATTAATATTTTATTTGTTATTGGGATGCTCCTAGACAGCGATGTTCTTACTTGAATTTGGGGCGTTAATGCGAATTTATACAACTGATTGAACTCAAATATTCACCCTAATCAGTTAAACGTGTCAATACAATGCCGATCTCAATGTCATGTATATATACCTTCTCTGTTTTTTCACTCTTCTTTGCCCATTCCTCCAGCACTGTGTGGAAGACTTTCTTGCACTTGAGTTTCCCACCCTGAGTCTGGACGACAGTCCCTGGTTTGACTCCCTGCGGGTGCTGCTGTTTACACTCTGTCTGCAGAACTGGACCTCCAGTGTTCAGAAGAGAATTGGACACGGCACCAATGGACAGATTAAGGTCAGTTTGGGTGGTATTCACCAAAACATCATCCTAGATGACCAACAAGGAAAACAGTTTGTGTCAGTGAAAATCACATATGAATGTGTTGATTTCCATCAATCGTATGGATTTGTAACACTCATGAAAACGATTTGACAAAACTGTACATTAACTATATAAAAAAACCGATGTACGTACCGTGAGTTGGGCCAAATCACCAACTATTGCCCTTACGGTCAGCACTGGAAATAGTGATGAGTGACATGATTATATGTAAAACATTGTGTAGAACATGAACTGGAGCAGCCGAGAGTTGATAAAGGAAACAAATGTCGGCTCTGAGATTCATCTGAGTGAGTGAGTGAGTATGGTTTTACGCCGCTTTTAGCAACATTCCAGCAATATCACGGCGGGGGACACCAGAAATGGGCTTCACACATTGTGCCCATGTCGGGAATCGAACCTGGGTCTTCGGCGTGACGAGCGAACGCTTAAACCACTTGGCTACCCGACCGTCCCTTGATTCATCTGAGATTCACCTTTGATTCACCTTTGAGTCTTATAATGAACCAATAAACAGCAGAGTTATGTCATCTACAAAAACATACACACTTTTCAAAGTATAGGTGTGGCGTTTACCGATTCACACTTAACCAAGCCTGCTTGAGCTAAGAAAAAACATATAATTTTCCAAAAGGTATATTGGTTTGCACATTGCTTGTACATTGTACGAGGGGCGTTCAATAAGTTTTGCAACTTGGGCATTTGTGTTCACACAAACAATGTCAACTTGTGGCAGGTGTGACACTACTCATAACATCAGGTTGACACGTGTCATAACAAGTTCCAGACACAACAATAAATTAGATATGATGGCTTCATTCCCCTTAAGGGTGGTCACAATGCGCTGTAATAAAGTTCCTTACATGCTCCGGTTCACAAGTAGAGAATTGCACAGGCTGCCTTTATGTGAATGTGGATTCGAACAATTAAATCACCCACCCTACAGCCCAGACTTAGCCCCCAGTGACTATTTCATGTTCCGGCAAATGAAATCTGCCCTTCCAGGATGACGAGGACTTAAAGGCTGCCACAGAGGCGTGGTTAGAGGGCCAATCTGCGGATTTCTATAAATGTGGTTTTAAAAGCTTGAAGGGCAAATGGAATAAGTGATTTGAGGTGAATGGAGATTATATTGAAAAATAAAAGTGCAAAAGATATTCTGCAACTTGGTCTTATATTGAAGTTGCAAAACTTATTGAACGCCCCTCGTAAATATAAACTTGTATAACAATGGCAGACATGTCACCTTTACTGGCTCCAACTTGTTTCTTCAATACAACCTCCTTGCTGACAGTATTCCCATGCACTACTGGACGTTTCCCCATCCTGCCTTCAAAGTCCTATGTGTAGATAAGGAACACAAACCATTTGTAGTAAGAAACAAAACTAAATATTACTCTTGATATCAAAGAAAATGAAGAATAGTTTATGCAATATGTAATTACATAACTAGACTGAAATAAAGTGCAAAAAAAACTATTATTATAAATGAATAAATATGTGAAGCACATTAATCAAACTTTCAATTAAATTTACCTTCCTCAGCAAGACGTCAGATGATGTCTGAAGGACGATTTTGATTGACTTAATTGATGTGCCTTTATGCTTCTGTATATAACTTTCCACTGCTGTGAACATGATGTCGGCAGATCGCTTCCCAGGGAATCGGTGCAGCCCGGATCCAAGGGCAGGGAAAGCAATGGACTTGAACTGTTTCTTTGAAGCCATCTCGAGACAATTAGTGACAACCGTTTTGAGAACCTGTTGAGAAGGTGGACCACGGGGTGAGAGACAGCGTATTGGTTTGCACAGCTTTAAACAACCACGACCAATAAGATGAAGCGTTTAGTAATATATCCCTTGATATATAACTATATCACTGTTTCAACTTCTTAGCTTGCCACAATGTATGCGTTAAAGAGTATACAAACGTAAGTCAGTAATTGCGGCAGAATAAACGTATTTATTTATTATTAAAACGTATTCCAAACCTTCTCAGCGGCATCATTAGGATTCATCCATTGTCTCAGTACAACATGGAACACTCTCTTGCATTGTAATGTTCCTCCTTTGGTTTGCCCTATGGCGCCAACTTGCAGTCCAGAAGGATAGGCCTTGGTCAGTTCTTCCTGCAGCCCCTTCCCTCCTGCTTCTGGGGAAGTGACACTTCCAGGCAGAAACTTCCCATCAGTTCCGATTATGCTCACAATCACATCAACCTTGGAAAGAGATATATGGAATATTTTATTGATATTAAATTATGCAAATATTACTCACGATTACCCGATTACAAACATATTGCATGAAAAGAGTGTTGCATGAACGTTCACACATTGCACGGTACGACAAGTATGTCTGTTGACTATCTTAGCGATGCTTGAGTGACATGTCACTTACCTGTTCATGTGATATATCACCAAGTATTAGTTCCATAGGTTCAGTCTTCATTAACAGGACCATCTTTGGAACTGCATGAATATAAAATACATACTCACAGAAATAGAACATATGAGCAAAAAGAAACATTTTGCGTCAAAGAGTGATCAATAGCTCAAAACGGCATAGAATTGTAGACATTCGTTCGAGAGGTTTTGTTAGTTGATCAAGCAACTGTCAAGGGCATGCCACTACTACCACTACCACTACCACTACCACTACCACTACTTCCTCCCCGGGACGTATACAACCCAAGCTGCCTAATATTTAGACTTACCAGATACAGTTGACATTCCAGCGACTGGTGTTGCTACAGTTGGTTGTGCAGCCTGTTCTGGACAGATGTAAAATGCACATTATGCAGTTTCTAAGGCCATGCTTAACAAAGCGTTATGCACGACCCCGGATGGGAAGGGACGTGTTTGTTCGCATGTTTACATGGTCAAAATTGGCAGCACAGGCAGTAACTGTTGCGTTACAATATATGGTACAATATATGGTAGAAACAAACACGATAAAACTATTTCAGTTTAAAACACGTGCGTCCTCAGAGAAGATACTCACTAGTTCCGGTGTGATTTTGTGCCACGGCAACCGGGGAGGCGAGAGGATCTGAAAGGAAATAAGAAAAAGGGAAACAATAATTCAACGTACCGTATGCTAGCAACATGCTACTGTGTGCTACGTACCACCTTGGTCACTGGCTACTGGATATTTTGATATCGATTGTCATGGACAACATACGACCCACAACACATACTGTCCCAATTGCGTGGATCAATGTTCATGGTATCAATCACTGTATTGTATGGTGCAGACTCGATAATTTACAGACCGCCGTCATATAGCTAGAATATTGCTGAGTGCGGCATTAAACAGCAAACACAGCTTCATACATACATGAAGATAAAACGAATAAACATACCGGCAGTCTTCAGTACATTTGCGGGATCTAAAGAAAGAAATGTAAATATGTGGAAACACAACGATATAAACATTGCATTTACAATACATTATATTATTCATAATAATTAATATGAAATTATGAAATTAAATATGAAAAATTACACAAACACACGTCTGTTACAAGGCAAATGTCCTCAGAAGCTTTGAGAATCCTCCAAAACCACACATATTTGCGTTTGAACATGGCATTTTATGATGACATTACAAGTCTACATTTGAACTGCAGAATTAGCCCTACTTACGTCATCCTGCTCCCCTTTCCCCGCACACCGTGTCATCACTATTTGATAATGATTCACAAACACATGCTCATGATAAAGTCGGTGAGGTGAGGTGAGGTGAGGTGAGGTGAGGTGAGGTGAAATTGGGTTTAACGTCGCGTCCAAGATTATTGCACTTATATAGCGACGTGCATGCACGTGTGTGTGTGTGGCTGCTTGAACTAGTCCGGACTGATGCCGATTTATAGTGCAAGCTCACTGAGATACCATGCCGCAGTTTAACATGCATACCCCACTCAGACACAGTATACTGACTCCGAGCCCACCAGTCCTTGTTTTAGTCCCTTAATGCCGAGCGCCTGACAGGGTAACAACAAGTACCATCTTTTAACGTCTTTTGTTATGACGCGGCCGGGGATCGAACCTCGGACCTTCCGCTCTCCGGGCGGACGCTCTACCACTAGACCACGGAGGCGGTTTGATAAAGTCGGAATAGTAATATCGAAATGCTTTAGGCAGATGTTTGTTATATAAGTGGAAAGGGTTTTGTCGCTTTTATTCACCTTCTTTGAGTCTGAATCTCTTGACGATACCGAAGTATACAATGTAACATGGAAGTAGGTAGTCTTCTTTGTGCATGACAAGTGCTTTGTCCGGTGAATGTACGAGGGAGTAGGAATCAGGCTTATCTGTCCCTAGATCTATAGTCTGTCCCTTGAACATATGATAAGACAACAACTGATAAATACTCTTTTATAAATGGATTTACATTATATCGAAAACGCATGTGTGATACTTAAAACAAATAAAACCCCTGGCATTAAAATATGTTGGATAAATGAATCTAATTTAGAGATATTCCACTGCACATGTATCACAGATATGCTTACTAGTTAATTCTTTATCAATACCTTAAATGCATATTTAGAGAAATACTCAAAACGCAATACTTAATATAACAGATGAAAAAATACAACACAATATTAACATGCAGAAACACTTACGTTTGCTCTTAGGATTTTGCATATAAGCAACACGTTGGATTTCTGCATGGACTTCATTGAAACTAGAGGATATTCACTGAATGAAACTGTATTCCCGAAACATGGTTGCTGAAATCCGTCTTGACATATGCTTTTTATATTTTCTTTCGCAGTTCCATAAAATGCTAGTACAGGTTGTTGTTTCGGCATCCGTGCCTGCGCCACACTAGAAATGTAAGTTGTTCAGTATTGGTCAGTTCCAGATGTAGTACCCAAATTTGAAATGAGGTACAGAATTACAGAAGGCTGTTAAACTATCAATTATTGACCAACGTACGAGTGGCCACTAACCGTCCATCGTAATGAAAGAAACCAAATCAAATCATGTTCAACATACAGCTAGTATTTGCCTCTGTAATATACTCCTACTCAAGCTAGTCATTTTCATTTTGTAGCACAGAATATGACTGACGTCAGCTACAACAAGAATGCTTAATTGGAGTTAGAAAGGATTTTTTAATCGTGTTCAGCAACGCAACAGTCATGTGACTACAGCGACGCCCATTTATGGAATCCTGCACTCTGCAGAACCAGCCAACGGTCATGGTCTCGGAACAGCCATACAAGGAGTTACTTCCCTTTGCCTGGTGCGTATGTACCCACTGACAAGGCTCCCGATTCATGAACCATGACATGTTAGCATCACTACGTACGATGTTTCACCAGAGAACTATGTATAAGTGACCTATACAATACAGCCTCATATAACGTCATAATAATAATAACATATAATAATATGTGAACTGAGGAAGATAGGTGCCTAGGCCAAGCATCAGTGTTGTCAACTTTTGGCTTGACTCGGAAACTCCAAGACATGCCAATTCCTCTGTTGTACTGGATTCAAAGCTCCATAAAAACGCGTACAAATGTCATCTGCTTTTTTTCTGAGGAAACAATATGCGAAAGAGACAACATAATTTGTTAATATTGCGACTAGAATCCAATTTTTTTAAACAATGTAATTTTTGTAACAGACAATTTTCTGGGACGATATCTTTTTTCTATAAAGTCCCTTTCCCCCTGCAGTCACCAGTTTATCACATAGCTATAAAGGAACTGCAATCATATTTCAGAAAACATTTCTTAGGGACTGGTCATTTATTATAGGGGTGGGTTAGGCAGTGAGATTGGTCTGATCAGATTTGGCTGACCAACAAAATTGCTGATACATTATGTCGGCTTTTTTTTAAATATGCAAGTTTTATCAAAATTAGTGACTTTGCAGAGATACAGTATTTTCTAAAATGTTTATAAAATCCCTTCGTATGTGTTTAAGCCAAAATAAGTTTTACAACTGCTATGCTATACTAATAATTCAGCAATTGTAATAGTTGATCACTGATTTTTATAATGTCTTTTTATATTTTCTGTTTTTCGTAGACCCTGAGAGATGTTTATTAATGAACTGATATCGAATGGTCAAATAAATTTCCAACAACTGATCAGGATTTACTCACCTGAATAAGAAACTAGTGAGATCATATCATGAGTAGATCTGTGATTCAGAGTGTCAAAACACTATCCACAGTTACTTTTCCAATTATGTCAAGCTCCAAAGTTGTTTGGCCAAGTTTCCAACCTTCAAGGATCTGGCAAAGTTTTTATGTGGTTTATGGGAAACATGTGCAGGACGTTTCCGGGTATGATACATCAGTGACAGAGGGGATGTCTGATGCGATTCCCTATTCTGACATGAGCCCCATGTCCCTGTTTTTATGTATGGACATCGAATAGAATTGCCCGATGAAATATGTCCAGTATTGATGTTACTTACCTGAAAACTTCCTTTTGTTTTGGATTCACCACATATACAACTTGTGTTATCTGAAAGATGTGTCTGCAAGATACGAAATAAAACATACACAAAAAATGTCTCTCATTTTAATACTTTCTTCATTTCTTTATTGTGCTTCTTATGTCACATCATATCATATGCAAATATATCAGTCAAAACTCGCTTCCAGTTATCTCTTGGGTAAGATCAAACACTATCTCCTCGTTGATATCGTTGCAAAGACATTTATCATATTGTTTTGCAGACCATCGTGACGTCATGGAAATCGATGCTTTGTAGACAAGTGTGACATCACAATCAAATGGGATGACTAATCTCCCTGCCAGTGAAGCTGGTTACCTGTACCTTTGACACTCAATACCGTTTACCAACTGAAAAAGCTGAATGATCATTTTGGATGATCTATCAAATCTCGCCCCGTGTTATGTCATAATGAATGTATCAACAAGCATCGATATAAGTTTAAAACTCCTTGGCAATCATAGGGTGAAGCTCCTGATAAAGTCGAGTCGTACCATGCACTGTGTTTTAGATGTCTTATGCTTATGTATAGAATTTTGTAGCTTATAATTTGATCGACTCGTGTAGATATTATTTTATATCAAAGGATACTCAGGTGAGATTGTCTATATTAGTAGCCCTTTCTGTGGACAGTTTTCACTGGGCAGAGAACATAAAATGAATTTTCATAATTCATTGAAATAGGACACTCAGTTACATATTGAAAACATTAACTCGCCCAATCTTCTTTAAAATGAACACGACATTTATTGTACTTACCTATTCACCTTATCCTTTGACAGATATCTGTGGAACTGAGATTCCACGAGTCGGTAGTGGTAGTCGTCTGGCGTCATGTCGTACCTGTCCCCACATTTCAGCTTTTTGTATTTGACTTCAGTTCCGGCCATAGCTTCCTCTTCACCACTGACACAAGCAGCCCGGGGGAGGAGATCCTGGGCAATAGTGAGTGTGGTCGTTGTAACGCCAGTTTGTATTTCACGCTAACTCAGTGTGTGTCAGATGGATAAGGGATGAAAGGCACAAGAATGCAGGTCTTAGACTTTTACCACTTTGGTGATATAGATGAGTGTAGACTTTAACCACTTTGGTGATATAGATGAGTGTAGACTTTTACAACTTTGGTGATATAGATGAGTATAAACTTTTACTACTTTGGTGATATAGATGAGTATAGACTTTTACCACTTTGGTGATATAGATGAGTATAGACTTTTACCACTTTGGTGATATAGATGAGTATAGACTTTTACAACTTTGGTGATATAGATGAGTGTAGACTTTAACCACTTTGGTGATATAGATGAGTATAGACTTTTACCACTTTGGTGATATAGATGAGTATAAACTTTTACTACTTTGGTGATATAGATGAGTATAGACTTTTACCACTTTGGTGATATAGATGAGTATAGACTTTTACCACTTTGGTGATATAGATGAGTATAGACTTTTACCACTTTGGTGATATAGATGAGTGTAGACTTTAACCACTTTGGTGATATAGATGAGTGTAGACTTTTACAACTTTGGTGATATAGATGAGTATAAACTTTTACTACTTTGGTGATATAGATGAGTATAGACTTTTACCACTTTGGTGATATAGATGAGTATAGACTTTTACCACTTTGGTGATATAGATGAGTATAGACTTTTACAACTTTGGTGATATAGATGAGTGTAGACTTTAACCACTTTGGTGATATAGATGAGTATAGACTTTTACCACTTTGGTGATATAGATGAGTATAAACTTTTACTACTTTGGTGATATAGATGAGTATAGACTTTTACCACTTTGGTGATATAGATGAGTATAGACTTTTACCACTTTGGTGATATAGATGAGTATAAACGTTTACCACTTTGGTGATATAGATGAGTATAGACTATTACCACTTTGGTGATATAGATGAGTATAGACTTTTACCACTTTGGTGATATAGATGAGTATAGACTTTTACTACTTTGGTGATAAAGATGAGTATAAACTTTTACCACTTTGGTGATATAGATGAGTATAGACTTTTACCACTTTGGTGATATGGATGAGTATAGACTTTTACTACTTTGGTGATATAGATGAGTATAAACTTTTACCACTTTGGTGATATAGATGAGTATAGACTTTTACCACTTTGGTGATATAGATGAGTATAGACTTTTACCACTTTGGTGATATAGATGAGTACAGACTTTTGCAACTTTGATGATATAGATGAGTGTAGACTTTTACAACTTTGGTGATATAGATGAGTATAAACTTTTACTACTTTGGTGATATAGATGAGTATAGACTTTTACCACTTTGGTGATAAAGATGAGTATAGACTTTTACCACTTTGGTGATATAGATGAGTATAAACTTTTACCACTTTGGTGATATAGATGAGTATAGACTTTTACCACTTTGGTGATAAAGATGAGTATAAACTTTTACTACTTTGGTGATATAGATGAGTATAAACTTTTACTACTTTGGTGATATAGATGAGTATAGACTTTTACCACTTTGGTGATATAGATGAGTATAGACTTTTACCACTTTGGTGATATAGATGAGTATAAACTTTTACTACTTTGGTGATAAAGATGAGTATAGACTTTTACCACTTTGGTGATATAGATGAGTGTAGACTTTTACCACTTTGGTGATATAGATGAGTACAGACTTTTACTACTTTGGTGATATAGATGAGTATAAACTTTTACCACTTTGGTGATATAGATGAGTATAGACTTTTACCACTTTGGTGATATAGATGAGTATAAACTTTTACTACTTTGGTGATAAAGATGATTATAGACTTTTACCACTTTGGTGATGCAGATGAGTATAGACCTTTACCACTTTGGTGATAAAGATGAGTATAGACTTTTACCACTTTGGTGATATAGATAAGTATAGACTTTTACAACTTTGGTGATACACATGAGTAAGGGTTGGCACTGACAAACTGGAAACAAAATCAGGACAAATCTGGGTGAACCCACGACCATAGCTTTCTGACACGCCGAATTAACCAATAGGGCCACCCGTTCCCCTCCTGGGTAACAAAGGACAGTTTACTGATATATCAGTGAGACTGTCCTCCACTCATCCGGTTAACCTTATGGCATAAAACTAAACTATGCCTATGTCTCAAAGCCCCAACGGAATAGTATGCCAGTAAAACATGAACACAACATTGAAGCTGTTATAAGACCGTTATTAATAAACAGTTATAAAAAAAACTGAAGCATGTAATGGCTGCAATCTGAAATGAGATTGGTACAGTTGAAATAAGTAGGACATAAGGAAGTCATCACCTTTTGGCCGACCACCTGACCAGCAACAACATGGGTTTCCTCTCCTACAGGTAACTGGGTGCCATCTGCAACGGGAAGAAATATATCTGTGTGTTCCTGTGGTATATATATGGTTAAGCCAAGTTCTCAATATATCAAAAGTGATCGATCTCAGTGAATAAACCCTTTGTCAGGACAATGTATTTTCGGCAAGAAGATTATTAGTGAGACCAAACAGAACTTAACATGGTATGAATGTTTTGTAATGTCAATCGCAGTGTGATGCAATGGTTCTGATACAAGTGTACCTGCTTTGATGATGAATTTCGCCATACTTGCTAACCGTTCACCCTCTCCAACTTGGTCTTCAACGATCTGGAAGATAGGTGAGTGACCTGATAATCAGTGACAATATCAACAGAAATGTAACACAGTTCACGTCCCTGTTGCTTTTAAAAATATTAAAGACAACATCAGATAACTTGGTATTGAACTCTGAAATTGTCACCATCTTCTCGAGGAAGGGGAGTTTACTGACTGTACAAATCCCCTTTCCACCCTTGTAGAACCGGATTGGAATGTTTTAGCTCGGTCGTAGCACAATCAGTGGTTATTACGATTAATGTCCCTTCTATGTCCCTCACATTGAACAATCAGATTCCACCTCTCATATCAATTGTTTTTACTTCAAACAAAATGGCGGCGCCCAGTCAAGACGATCAGATCGATAATCAAGATAAACATTGTGAAATGACGGGTCTCACCTCGCGAAGTGCATCAAATGTCGTGCGCACCTTGATTAGAAACATGAAATTATTTGGAAAATATCTGTTTACGCCGAGTTGACGGTACACATGCATTATAAATCCTGCAATTGACCGAAATCTGCAAGCTAGTTTACGAACCGGATGACGATTACGTAACGCGATTTTGATTGGACGATGCATTACTCCAGCCAAGATAACTAAACAATTCCTGCCGAGTTCGGCAAGGGTGGAAACATACCTCGGGAAGATGCCCTAGCCCCGAAACAACTGTATTCCGTATATCAGATGGAGCAACACATTCTAGGTAGGAAATTACCTTTTTGATTGCACTGTCTTTAGGATGAACAACAACAGAGAGAACCCGCAGTGATGTATACGCGGTACACTGAAAGAAGTTAACGAATGCCTTCATCATGAGGATTGTGGACTTCTCTGCGGGAAATCCAGCATACCCCGTACCCAGGACGGGAAAACCAATAGAGGTGAACTGCTGTCGGGATGCCTCTTGCAAGGACGTAGTGACGACTGCGAGAAAAGTCTGACAAAGAGAAGCAAATAAATATTTTCTGTTCAAGGATTGGTTTCAAGGAAAGACACTTATTCGATATTTGAATAGTCTCATTTACAGTTTAGAAAAAACAAATAATAAAACGTACATCTAAGAGATATCCAAAGATTACCCTTGCGTTAAATAATTATATTGAAAGAGTGAGTTGGGTTTAACGCCGCTTTTAACAGTATTCCAGTTATATCACGGCGTTTCAGCTTAATGTGGGAGGAAAGCCCGAAGTAATGCAGGTCTTAGACGTTTACCACTTCGGTGAAACCCACGAGCACGGGTTTGGTGCTGACAAACCTAGAAACATAACCGTGGCGAACCGGGATTCGAACCCACAATCATAGGTTTATGGCGTGTCCAAGGGACGCAACTCTGCACAGCAAATTGCGGCGCCTTAGACGACTGGGCCAGCCGTGCCCCTAAATAATTAAAACAAGCATAAATTGTTAATGGATAGAGCTGCAAGCGAAGAAGTTTTCCAAATATTCTGATAATTCTAATTGACCAGTGTTTCATGCCTTCTCTGCTTTCTCGTCCCCGTCTGACCAGTCTTTTAGGATGACGTGGAACACCTTCTTGCATGTCAGTTTTCCTCCACCAGTCTGTACCACAGTGCCAGGTTTAGCTCCCAGCGGATGCTGTTGTCTACACTCATCCTGAAGAACCTGACCCCCAGCGTTAAGGAGGGAGCCTGACACAGCTCCCACAGAGAGATCCAGGTCTGTCTGTGTCGTGTTCACCAAGACATCGACCTGAAGAACAGTGTCGGTATGATGCAACTGGTATTTTACATATTGAAAATGATCACTTAAGAATTTATCCAATGAAAAAAGCCTTGTTTCGTTTATCTTAATAGAAATATTTACTACTTCTACTTGATAATAAATATAAAAAAATTGGACTTCAACACTTGTATGAAACACCGGTGCACCATAAGAAAACTGTTCAGATTACTAAAGTTGAGAAAATGTTAATTTCGTATTTGAGGATACAATTATCTCATTGAATAAAACGCTTATCGTATGACAATACTAAATGACAACAGTTATAGGCTGTATATTGTATTTTGGAGCTTATAGAATGAACGTGCTAGAGCAATACCTCCAGCTGGGTCAGATCTCCAGTTATTGCCCTGATGGTCAGTTCTGAAACACACGTGACACAAATAACTGCAGCAAGTGTGGCCACCTCTTTTTTCACATTATGAGAGATAGTTCGATTTTAGATACCCTTTAATTGTCAGGGAATAAAATAGTGTTGCTATAGATGACGCATATTACCTTTAGTTCCGGCAGTTTTCTTCAAAACAATCTCCTTGTTGACACGACTCTCATGGACTACCGACACACCATCCCTTCTTGCCTCGAAGTCCTATACATATTCAAAGAATGTTTAAATAACCTGCAGTTCGGTTATATATGATTCAACCGCACATACCCGTGAAGAACAAAAACAACCAAAAACAACAACACACACACACAAAAACACACACAAAAAACACACACACACACACAAAAACACACACACAAACACATACACACGCATACACACGCACATACACACACAAACACATACACACACAAACACATACACACGCACACACAAACGCACACACATACATTTAAGTAACTGATTATACGTGTGCCAAGCCACGTATTTTATGAACATATGTACCTTTCTTAGCATATCGTCACCTCGATGAAAGACAAATTTGACGGTTTTAAGAGTGGAGCCTTTGTTGTTCTGCAGGAATGTTTCAGTGGCAGTAAACATGATGTCTGCAGACCGTGTGCCTGGGAATCTCTGAAACCCTGCTCCAAGTGCAGGCAGGGCAATGGACTGGAAGTTTTGTTTGGAAGCCATCTCCAGGCACTTGGTGACAACATCCTTAAGTATCTGGTGTGAAAAAAAAACTTTCTATAAGCAATGCAATCGTTGTGTGAATGTACAGGGAAATATAACTCCGTGTGAATAACGCGAAAAAACCCTTTCCATATTCAATAGAAATAGTATTGATAGAGTCGATAGTACGATTCCGACTATATCATGAGCATGTGTTTAAGAATCACTATCAAATAGTGATGGTACCAGGTGTTCGCAAAAAGGTGAGCGTATCCTGCCCCACCGGTGGCACCCGCCACAAACACATGCAAAGGCAAGTCAATTGTTCACAGGAAATAACACACGGGAACATATGATCAAGTCAAAATAGGGAATTGCATCGGGCATCAGTTTTGTCACTGATGCCTCAAATTTGGACATGTCCTCCACATGTCTACCATAATACGTTTTGAAAGCTTTACTGGGGCCTTTAATGTTGTAACCTTGATCAAACAACTGTAATGCAATTGAATGATTGCTTTAAAACATGACGTATATGACGAATTGATACTGTTAACTATTAAAACTAAATTTCCAGTGTTAATGTATGAAGTCCATAGCGCGTAAGAAAAGATGACAAAATATCCCAACCTGTTCTGCCTCATCATTTTTATTCATCCACTGCTTCAACACAACGTGGAACACCTTCTGGCACTGTAGTGTCCCTCCCGTGGTCTGCGCTACGCCACCGACCTTCAGTCCAGAAGGACATGCTCTGGTCAGCTCATCCTGCAGCTCTTTCCCTCCTGCCTCCAGGAAGGTGTAGGAGACGGTTCCAGCCAGGAGGTTGACATCAGTCCCGGTTGTGTTCACCAGGACGTCAGCCTGAAACAACGGTTGTAGGATATGCATCAAGTACAACCTCCATGCTTTAAGCTAACATCAGTCCCGGTTGTGTTCACCAGGACGTCAGCCTGAAACAATGGTTGCAGGACATGCATTAAGTGTCACGTCCATGCTTCCAGGTGGACACCAGAACCGGTTTGGTCACCAGGACGTCAGCCTGAAACAATGATCGTAAGAAATGTCCCCAGTGTAACGACTACCACCAAGCTTCCAGGCTGACATCAGAACCGGTTTGGTCACCAAGACGTCCGGTTGTCAAATAGCAGATAATGTATAACCTTTGCAAATGGCGGTAGCGCTAGTATACACTCATATAGGACATCAGAGATGTAAGGTATACGTGTGTGTCATCTTAACATTGGCATTTTCATTACATTAATTGTAGGTTTTATATGATTGTACCTGTTGTTTGGCTATCTCTCCATCGACCAGTTGTATTTGACTATTTATTTGTAAACCTGAAACGATAAATGTAGATCACACGTAACAGTCAATTTCAAAAATCGGATCAGCAACAATTCTGTTAACAATTACATCAATGACTTGTAATTTGTTTCCTAAAGCAGCGTTAAGTATATACATACACAGCTGTAACACATCCTACTATATCAAGTCTTCACTTTGACAAACGATATAAAGTATAACAACATATAAAGTCCACAAGCATCAACACGGTGGCAAACTCTTTGTTCGTCAAATTAGATTTACAAGTAAATAATATTCCACAAAAAATAGGAACATAGGCAATAATTTCTTTGGGATTTAGAATAGGGAATCATTTTTGTCACTGATGCGGCAAATTTGGAAAGCTTTACTGAGGCCTTGAATGTTGTAAACCTTGATCAAACAACTTTTGAGCAAGAGTCATACATGCTAGCATACGATAATTCGGAATATCGCCGTCTCGAAAGTTAAGTTAAATACCCACTCATCTTGGAATGACTGAATCTCAGTATGATTATTTTAAAGTCAGTGGATTGTGACAGCGTAAATACTATACCTTGAGCTTCTCAATGTTCACACACGTGCAAGTGAATAACGTTTGCTTGTTGTTTGTCTAACGACGCACTCAGCAATATTACAGCTACATGACGCGGCCTGTAAATAATCGAGTCTGAGTCAAGACAATCCAGTGATTGACATCATGAGCATCGATCTACGCATGTGGGACATGATGACATGCATCAACCAAGTCAGGGAGCCTGACCACCCGATCCCGTCAGTCGCCTCTTACAACAAGTATAGTCGCCTCTTACGGCAAGCATGTCATGAAAGTGGTTAAAGCGTTCGCTTGTCACGCCGAAGACCCGGGTTCGATTCCCGACATGGGTACAATGTGTGAAGCCCATTTCTGGTGTCCCCCGCCATGATATTGCTGGAATATTGCTAAAGCGGCGTAAAACCATACTCACTCACTCACTCATGAAAGTAAATGTTAAATGCCCTATATTAGGAACTTCACCAAAAGAAATATTTCCTTATTCCCCATCTTGGAATAAGAACAACAACTGCAATTTCTGCTGAGAAGGAAAACCTTAAAAACATTTCTCCTCACCGCCTTTTGTCTTCACCTTCTTGACAACCGGTAAAGCAGGAGGTAGACCTGACATTAACACAAGTAAAGAAGTCAGAAAATAATCAAGTAATTCATCAACAAGTATACAAGAGAAATAGAGATGATTTATTTACAGATGGATCAAAGGATGGTGAAGCAGTTGATCGTGCCACTGTCTTTGGATACAAAGCCATATCGTCCAGATTACCAGGTGATAATCTAGTTATTGTGCTGTCCGTCGACGACAGGTTTGTATAGTCTAAATGTATCTAATATAAATGTGTAACTTGTTCTCGTCACGGTATGGGTGCAATATTGCCGATGTGACGTTAAATATTAACTCACTCACTCAAACACTTAGCTATACATTCATATCTACCGTTTCCCCGTGTTTTGTACTTGCCTTTCGGTGCCCAAAGCTTCTTCATAACTGCCTATGTTGTCTGCGAGCTGGACATGAAACATAACATACGTGTGTGTGTGCATGCAGATATATAGAAAGGGATATGTGCTAGATCAACACAAATAACCTATGAAACGTATTGCTGAAAACATGTTACCAAATGAGTTGTCTAGTAAAAGTCAGCTTGCACGTTGCTGGCCTTCCCATGTGCTTTCCTTGCCGTAAGTGTCGTTTAGGACGTCAATACGCGTTTACTTCATTTACGGGGCGGTCGGGTAGCCCAGTGGTTAAAGCGCTCGCTCGTCACGCCGAAGACCCGGGTTCGATTCCCGACTTGGGTACAATGTGTGAAGCCCATTTCTGGTGTCCACCGCCGTGATATTGCTGGAATATTGCTAAAAGCGGCGTAAAACCATACTCACTCACTTCATTTACGCATTCTGCAATTGTTTGTATGGTTTCATTGTTGGTAAAGTTCTGTTGAGAATGTGAAGTGAAGGCCTGGTATTTGTGGGAGTTTGTTGTACGAGGGGCGTTCAATAAGTTTTGCAACTTGGGCATTTGTCAAACAATGTCAACTTGTGACAGGTGTGACACTAGTCATAACATCAGGTTGACACGTGTCATAACAAGTTCCAGACACAACAATAAGTTAGATGTGATCGCTTCATTCACCTAAGGGTGGTCACAATCATGGATTCTCTCAAACATGAACAACGCGCTGTAATAAAGTTCCTTACCAAGGAGGGATGCAAAGCAAAAGAAATCCATGAACGCATGTGTAAAGTGATGGGTAAGGATGCTCCTGACTATTCCACAGTTTGCCGTTGGTCTCTACAGTTTAAAAGGGGTAGGGAGTCCATAGACGATGACCCAAGGTCAGGCAGGCCTTCAGATGCCACCCAACCGGAAACCATTGCTGCTATAGAAAGAAGAATTTTGTCTGACCGACGAAAGTGTCTGAACTTTCTAGGGAATTCCAAATATCAGTTGGAACTGTTGTTACCATTATTCATGATCATCTTGGTATGTCAAAGGTATCTGCAAGATGGGTACCTGGAAACGTCAGAGCTCAAGATCGCCATCAGGGAACTGAAAGTTGTCGAGACCGCCTGGATCTCTATACTGCTGGTGAAGCCGGATTTCTTTCTTGTCTGGTGACAGGTGATGAAACATGGATCCGCCACTGGGACCCAGAAACTAAATTGGAATCCATGCAATGGAAACACCCCAATTCTCCGCCTCCGAGGAAGTTTCGCACTCAACCATCAGCTGGCAAGGTAATGGCCACCATATTTGTGGATGCAAGAGGCATATTACTGATTGATTACATGCCACTAAAAAATACAATCAATGGACAGTATTATGCTAATGTAATGGAAGAATTGCGAAAATCTATTCGCCAGAAGCGCCTATGGATGTTAACATGTGGCATTCTACTTTTGCATGACAACGCTCCGGTTCAGTCGAGAATTGCACAGGCCGCCATGTGTGAATGTGGATTCTAACAGTTAAATCACCCACCCTACAGCCCAGACTTAGCCCCCAGTGACTAATTCCTGTTCCGGCAATTGAAATCTGCCCTACGTGGAAGACGCCTCCAGGATGACGAGGACATAAAGGCTGCCACAGAGGTGTGGTTAGAGGGCCAATCTGCAGATTTCTATAAAATTGGTATTAAAAGCTTGAAGGACAAATGGATTAAGTATATTGAGGTGAATGGAGATTATATTGAAAAATAAAAGTGCCCAAGATATTCTGCGACTTGGTCTTATATTAAAGTTGCAAAACTTATTGAACACCCCTCGTATGTGTGCATGGTGTGACTGTGTATTATTCTACTATGAGTATGGCTTACGTTGTGTGATTGTAAGTGATCCATTCATATCACAATCACCTCTATTTTGCCTTTTATGCCCAATTGGGTATTCTCTGGCGTTGACTTTTTTATGTTTACATGTAGTGAAACAAAAATATAAGCATGTGCTGGACTTGTTCTTTTTGTTTATCGGTTGTCTTAAGCCATGTATCGTGCGTAGCCATTATGTTGTATTTTGTTAGGAAAAGTAGACTTGTCATCCAGCTTGTAACAACAGGCATTAAGTCACCAATAATTTACATGAGAGTTTGTTAAACAACTTTTTTTCTACTCTTCATGACAATGACAATACCTATTGTATCATGAGTATGCGTTTATGAATCATTATCAAATAGTGATGACACCAGGCGTTCTAGAAAAGGTACCCTGCCCCACTGGTGGACTCGCAATAATCAAATCACGTGTTTATTTACAATTAATTATAAATTTCAGGTATCTGTTTTTCATTTCACAAATGCATATAATTTCATATTTTGTATGTAAACATCGTTAATTCACTATTGATAGAAAGCTGGTTGAACTGTTGTTTGTATATAGGTCGTATACCTTTGTACGACATGATTACATATGATATGTTCAATATTCAGGATCCCATCATCAACATGTTCTCATTGCTGCAGATGGGGCCAGTGTGAGACAGCAGATTTGTTATTTATCTGGGCCCACTTGCACAAGGCGATCTTAGCGCTACGACTATTGTAAGTCTGTGTTAAAGCATGGGAGTTACGATCGTCTTAGCGCTAAGATCGCTTTGTGCAAGTGGGCCCTGAAGACAACCAGCAACACATGAATTTAATCAATAGCAAAGCCAAATCACCACCATTCCAAATACCTTAAACTTTATATAGTTGGATTTATATTTCTGCCGTGTTACATGGGTGAATTGAATATTTTGCCATGTATATTAGTGTACATAAATAATTAACGTTAGCCCGTTGTTGAAGTTAATTCATTGCGAGATAGGGTGATATAATAGATATAATAGAATTACACTATTCATATCTGATGATAAATGTCACTGAACTGAATAATTCCGTCTGATATTCATTAGACAGCTTTACCCGATTTTGTCCATAGTAACATCGTGGTATATGTGAGTGAGTATGATTTTCGCTGATTTATACACGACAAAAGCGTACCTCACACTGCACCCGTATGGGGAGTAGTACCCGGCGTCCCGACCCCTGCTATAACCACCCGGATACCCTTCTATATCTGCCCTGGCCCAGAGAAAGACACACTTCGGTATTACGGGTCAACAAGATCTATTTACACAAGCAAAACAATCTGGGAGCAGTAGTTGTATTACAGTCCCGCGGCCGTTGAGTTGATCTATATGTGCCGACAAACCTGTTCATGCTGGCATGTTAACTAATACAACATGAAATCAATATGGCGTCGTCGATATGTGTGTGTGTGTGTGTGTGTGTGTGCGCGCGTGTGTGTGGCTGCGATGTGTGTGTTTCTGTGTGTGTGTGTGTGGGGGGGGGGGGGGGGGGGGGGGATGCTGCTGGATAAACATAATTTGGCCTCAGGTGTTTACAAGAAGAACAAAACTTACAAACTTGTATGTCCTTAAACGACAGGTGTTATCGACAAAATTGTTTTGTCCCTCGCCCCTACCCCACACCACCAAATACAATATTAACTGGTCGGTCCCACAGTGATACAATCATTGTATTACATGTGTATAAAGACAATACTACCATAGACCCACGTCATAACAAGGTACACAGAGAGGCCTTGACAATCAGATACACAGTACTACAGCCACTCACCCAAAAGACATCCAAGTGAAGGTTACAGCAGCAGCATCAACATCAGCAACAACGGCGGCAGTGGAGGAGGACACAGATGGCGTATATATCCCTCACAGCTGAGGCCCACTGATGATCACTCCAAACATACCTATGACGTCATCCTAGTTTCGCTTTCGTTTCTCGGTACGTGGTATATATTTGTTGCTGAAAACATTGAGTGCAACACAGGGTCATATCTGGAAAAATCATAACACTGGTGTGACAAGGATGAGATACCTGGCTGACACACAAATAATTGTATTTAATTTCCCTTGCTGACCTGGATTATCTCCCTTTACTGTTTTACCACCGCATGGTGGCTTCTCTTTCGCATATTCGGGAAATAGTCTGCAAACTATAGTATTATGTGACATTGCATATGCAATCTATATCATTGCAGCCGACTTTGTTTTTCCCGTAACCGCAACCAAAACAGCTTCACCGACACGTCTGAACATCAGACATGCAGTTACCTCCCTTTGATCAGTCCACGGTCCGTCGACGTTCAGGCAGCTGTTCAACATCCAGTTGTGGAAAATATATTTTTAATATTTCGACATCAGGAAATCTGGCGAAACTGAAAAAAAACAGCAGACGAGAACGCTTATATTATGAAGGTAATGGAAACAAATGAATAAAAAAAATAAAAAATGACATGAGCAATATTTCTACAGCAGAAAATTAAATCATTCAATATCACAGGATATATACAAAAACGAAAGACATAAAATTAAGTTTAAGGGACCTATTATTATAGGTATTCGCATGATTTTAAAGTTAAAAATATTGGTTCAGTAAAGAAGAACTGCACTATCGGTATATAAAGCTGAACCGCTTATACATGGCTTTTAGGTTAAATATATATAATTTCATACTTTAAAGTGTACACTGTTTCTTTCATGCTGATTGGCTGAATGGGTAGTCACGTGATCTCATATTTGGAGTTCACACACCTGTGAACGGACAGAAAAGTTAATGAACTTTGGCCGGAACTTCTTTCCGGGGTTTCCCCGAACTCTCGATCGGTGTTTACAATCAACTCGTTTTTCTATTTCCTTTTCCCTGCATTTAACAGCAATAAAATTAATTTAGTATTTCGCCTGGCCTTGTAACAGTTTATCTGACTTTAGAATAAATAAATGCTTTGGTTCTGTTGTTTGATGTTGTCTGCTAGGTAGATATCTAGGTGAGGTGAGGTGAAATGGGGTTTAACGTCGCGTCCAAGATTATTGCACTTATATAGCGACGTGCATGCACGTGTGTGTGTGGCTGCTTGTACTAGTCCGGACTGATGCCAATTTATAGTGCTAGCTATAGCACACTGAGATACCATGCCGCAGTTTAACATTAATACCCCACTCACGCACAGTATACTGACTCCGAGCCGACCAGTCCTTGTTTTAGCCCCTTAATGCCGAGCGCCAGACAGGGTAACAACAAGTACCATCTTTTAACGTCTTTTGGTATGACGCGGCCGGGGATCGAACCCCGGACCTTCCGCTCTCCGGACGGACGCTCTATCACTAGACCACGGAGGCGGTCTCCAAGTTTTAAGACAATTGCGAATGATAACAAATTTGTACCCTGCTCAGATGTTGCCGCGGACACAGATCAAAGCGACTGCTCCTGATCTATTTGGTTTGACACATGAGGAAGGACGGGGCACAGAAATGAAGCTGGCATCAGGTCATACAGCAAGTCCATCTCAGGTGACAAGAAACACCAGGTGAGCAAAGTATTACAGCACACGCGACAAATCCAAAACTCCAAATATAACACACCCTGACGTTGAAAATTAACACAAACCACACAAGTTTCAGAGCACTCCGTTCGATCCCCACCAGTCCATTCCACATCGTCCGAATTTGTTTGCGATTATCCAAACACAAGCAACACCTTCACAAATTAGTCATATTCCCAATTTGCTGGTGCCATGGGAGGGTTCATGCCTCGGGGTGTTTTCCATCACTGTTCCATTTACTTCATGTTAAACAGCAGTTAGTGTAGATTTCGTCCCCATCCTGCCGTTCGACTCGAAATGCACATAGCTACACTTATGTGACGTCATATATAAATCCGCACTTGAAGGTTGACCTCCTCCCCCCCTCCCCCCCAAAAAAAAACTACCCCAAAAAACCCAAACAAAACAACAAAAACAAACAACAACAAAACACAGTCAATCCTTAATTATTAAAGGAGCGTCACTCGTGATTTGGGTATCTTGAGTATAGCTGGAACTCAATAACGATGGTTTTATGAAAAAAAGTATTGATATCATGAAAGAGGTTTTACTTTGTCTTTGAAAAAAAACTAGAATCTTTTTACAAAAGGAATACGGAAGTTTTGCTTTGAAGGGAATACTCTGATCGGGAGAGGTCATGGCTTATATATCCAAACCAAAATATGTTCCTGGGCTTCCCAAGGCATGGTAGCTCCCAGCACTCCATTCTTGACACAAGGGACCAGTTCATAAGTTTAAGGGGGTACGGGTGGCCCAGTCGTCTGATGCGTCGCCATTCGCTGTACAGAGTTACGTCACTGGGGCACGACAGAAAACTGTAATAGTGGGTTCGAATCCCGATTCGCTAACATTATGTTTCTTGGTTTGTCAGCACCATACCCGCGCCCGTGGGTTTCATCAAGTGGTAAACGTCCAAGACCTGCATCACTGTCCTCCCACATTAAGCTGACACACCGTAATATAACTGGAACACTGTTAAAAGCAGCATTAAACCTTACTCATCCATGAATGTAGCTGTCGTCCAGTATAGGTGTCAGGAGCCATGGTCTGCACCCAAAACTGTAACAAATAACATAACTCAAACATATTACTCACATTGTTTATGAGTTGACCTAGCTCAAAAATACATTTCACGATCACTGCTTCTATCGGCTGAAGATAACAACTGGATATGACTTGCATGGGCTGTATTTGATATATATTTGTATATATCAGGGTTTGTAAGTCAGACTAACTGGACTTCACAGTCCCGTGAAGGTCGCCCAACTCAACGAAACAAAACCCTCACCTAAATATCAAGAAACATTGTACGGTTTTCAAGACTATCCAGAAACGAACCCTACACCCATTTTCAGTCTAAGTCAAAGTCGTTGCCATGGAAACTCGATAAATATTGCTTTTAAAAGATCCACTATCAAAAGGCACCAGTTCACCACAAGACCTATCTGTATGCCAAGTTTGGTCAAGACATCTATCATGGTTTTGGAGTTCTCCGGAAGAAAGTGACAGACGGACAGCACCCATTTCTATATCCCCCTTCCACTTCGTGGCGCGGGATAATAACAGTAATTCATGGTCTCGGGGATTATCAGTGGGGGTCAGCGTCATATAAACAATGGCAATGAAGTTAGGGAGTCATATACGTGTACGTTCATTCTGACGAAGGTTTCCCAAATTGGTCGCAATGACACTTCTGTCATCAGAGTCCGCACCTTGTCTCCTATTCCAGAACATTAATTGAAGAGTCTGTAACCTGGTTTGGTGTTGACACAAGTTTACCACCTTTTGAAAAAGAATGTTTTAATGGATTTTCGGTTTGTTTTCTTCAGTTCTTGCCTTCGTTTCAAAGTTAAGTCATTTCAACACCATATCCCTTTGACCTTAGGGACAAATTATCCAAATCATTATAAGAATCATCTAGCTTTTGATAGACAGCATTTACATCAAGTTTATAATATCTTGTTCACACTTATCCCTGTGCAGAGATGCGTCCACTTTGAGCACATCGGAAAACTATGATCGTAGGTTCACCTCGATTATATTTCAAGTCAGCACCTTACCCGTTCTCACACTCACTCTTAGGTTTCGTAGATTGAGTGACGTCACAACGTAATGCTTGTAATTCTTTCATTGAATTTCTTTCAATAGTTTATCTTCAGATGCTTTGATTTGTTGGATAATTGCCGATTTCATATCTACCAAACCCTTACTGCATGGACTAGGGTTCGATTCAACATCACCTGGCAGGTGTTTTCACAATGACAGCACAAACGTACCCCTCACCCTCACCCTCGCCCCCACCCTCGCCCACACCCTTGCCCTCATCCTCGCCCTCACCCTCGCCCACACCCTTGCCCTCACCCTCGCCCTCACCCTCGCCCTCACCCTCGCCCTCACCCTCGCCCTCACCCTCGCCCACACCCTCGCCCTCACCCTCGCCCTCACCCTCGCCCTCACCCTCGCCCTCACCCTCGCCCTCACCCTTGCCCTCACCCTCGCCCTCATCCTTGCCCTCACCCTTGTCCTCACCCTCGCCCTCACCCTCGCCCTCATCCTCGCCCTCACCCTTGTCCTCACCCTTGTCCTCACCCTCGCCCTCACCCTCGCCCTCACCCTCGCCCTCATCCTCGCCCACACCCTCGCCCTCACCCTCGCCCTCACCCTCGCCCTCATCCTCGCCCTCACCCTTGTCCTCACCCTCGCCCTCACCCTCGCCCTCACCCTCGCCCTCATCCTCGCCCTCACCCTTGTCCTCACCCTCGCCCTCACCCTCGCCCTCATCCTCGCCCACACCCTCGCCCTCACCCTCGCCCTCACCCTCGCCCTCATCCTCGCCCTCACCCTTGTCCTCACCCTCGCCCTCACCCTCGCCCTCACCCTCGCCCTCATCCTCGCCCACACCCTTGTCCTCACCCTCGCCCTCACCCTCGCCCTCACCCTCGCCCTCATCCTCGCCCTCACCCTTGTCCTCATCCTCGCCCTCATCCTCGCCCTCATCCTCGCCCTCACCCTTGCCCTCATCCTCGCCCTCACCCTCGCCCTCACCCTTGTCCTCATCCTCGCCCTCATCCTCGCCCTCACCCTCGCCCTCATCCTCGCCCTCACCCTTGTCCTCATCCTCGCCCTCATCCTCGCCCTCATCCTCGCCCTCACCCTTGCCCTCATCCTCGCCCTCACCCTCGCCCTCACCCTTGTCCTCATCCTCGTCCTCATCCTCGCCCTCATCCTCGCCCACACCCTCGCCCTCACCCTCGCCCTCACCCTCGCCCTCACCCTTGTCCTCACCCTCGCCCTCACCCTTGTCCTCACCCTCGCCCTCACCCTCGCCCTCATCCTCGCCCTCACCCTCGCCCTCATCCTCGCCCTCATCCTCGCCCTCACCCTCGTCCTCACCCTCGCCCTCACCCTCGCCCTCACCCTCATCCTCGCCCTCACCCTCGCCCTCATCCTCGCCCTCATCCTCGCCCTCACCCTCGCCCTCACCCTCGCCCTCATCCTCGCCCACACCCTCGCCCTCACCCTCGCCCTCACCCTCGCCCTCATCCTCGCCCTCACCCTTGTCCTCACCCTCGCCCTCACCCTCGCCCTCACCCTCGCCCTCATCCTCGCCCACACCCTTGTCCTCACCCTCGCCCTCACCCTCGCCCTCACCCTCGCCCTCATCCTCGCCCTCACCCTTGTCCTCATCCTCGCCCTCATCCTCGCCCTCATCCTCGCCCTCACCCTTGCCCTCATCCTCGCCCTCACCCTCGCCCTCACCCTTGTCCTCATCCTCGCCCTCATCCTCGCCCTCATCCTCGCCCTCACCCTTGCCCTCATCCTCGCCCTCACCCTCGCCCTCACCCTCGCCCTCACCCTTGTCCTCACCCTCGCCCTCACCCTTGTCCTCACCCTCGCCCTCACCCTCGCCCTCATCCTCGCCCTCACCCTCGCCCTCATCCTCGCCCTCACCCTTGTCCTCACCCTTGTCCTCACCCTCGCCCTCGCCCTTGTCCTCACCCTCGCCCTCACCCTCGCCCTCATCCTCGCCCTCACCCTCGCCCTCATCCTCGCCCTCACCCTTGTCCTCACCCTCGCCCTCACCCTCGCCCTCATCCTCGCCCTCACCCTCGCCCTCATCCTCGCCCTCATCCTCGCCCTCACCCTCGCCCTCATCCTCGCCCTCACCCTCGCCCTCACCCTCGCCCTCATCCTCGCCCTCACCCTCGCCCTCATCCTCGCCCACACCCTTGCCCACACCCTTGCCCACACCCTTGCCCTCATCCTCGCCCTCACCCTTGCCCACACCCTTGCCCTCATCCTCGCCCTCACCCTCGCCCACACCCTTGCCCTCACCCTCGCCCTCATCCTCGCCCTCATCCTCGCCCACACCCTTGCCCACACCCTTGTCCTCACCCTCGCCCTCATCCTCGCCCTCATCCTCGCCCTCACCCTCGCCCACACCCTTGCCCTCACCCTCGCCCTCATCCTCGCCCTCATCCTCGCCCACACCCTTGCCCACACCCTTGCCCACACCCTTGCCCTCATCCTCGCCCTCACCCTTGCCCACACCCTTGCCCTCATCCTCGCCCTCACCCTCGCCCACACCCTTGCCCTCACCCTCGCCCTCATCCTCGCCCTCATCCTCGCCCACACCCTTGCCCACACCCTTGCCCTCACCCTCGCCCTCATCCTCGCCCTCATCCTCGCCCACACCCTTGCCCACACCCTTGCCCTCACCCTCGCCCTCATCCTCGCCCTCATCCTCGCCCTCACCCTCGCCCACACCCTTGCCCTCACCCTCGCCCTCACCCTCGCCCTCATCCTCGCCCTCACCCTCGCCCTCATCCTTGCCCACACCCTTGCCCACACCCTTGCCCACACCCTTGCCCTCATCCTCGCCCTCACCCTTGCCCACACCCTTGCCCTCATCCTCGCCCTCACCCTCGCCCACACCCTTGCCCTCACCCTCGCCCTCATCCTCGCCCTCACCCTCGCCCACACCCTTGCCCTCATCCTCGCCCTCACCCTCGCCCTCACCCTCGCCCTCACCCTCGCCCACACCCTTGCCCTCACCCTCGCCCTCATCCTCGCCCTCATCCTCGCCCTCATCCTCGCCCTCATCCTCGCCCACACCCTCGCCCTCATCCTCGCCCTCACCCTCGCCCTCACCCTCGCCCAATTTGGTCGCTTTTTACAAACAGCATTGGTGTGCTGGGGATACATTCTACCCCGGGTCCCCACGGGGATTCAACTTTCAGTATAATGCGAGTAATGTTTTTGAAAAACCTACATCTTCAACAGATCAAAAACATCCTCATAGCTAATCAACGATACTGCTAGTTCTGCCTTCTCACTAGGATGTAAATGTTCTGATGATGTTTGTGACAGTTCAGCCATGGGGCCTAGAAGTGTAATCGGTGGGATATCTTCCACTCTGAGTACATGTAGTTCAGAAGTGTCATCATCCACTTCGGTTTCCTCGCTGTTGTCAGGAGAGGTGGTGTCTGTCAACTCAAAATCTGAAAGCTCACCTAGATGGGTACCTTCTTCCTGCAATGTGTCCTGGTTTTTGGGGTTGAGGATCTTTACTGATATATTTCTAGTCTCAAACAATGCATTGTTCGATAACACACTTGATACCCTAGCTGCTGATCAAGTTCTGATCTTGCTGGGATACTCACTTTTTTGTCCAAGGTCACAACTCCTGGTGTTGAACCGTTACTGCATATACCTGGGACCACCAGCCCGTTGATAATGACATCCCCTTGTCTGGCAAGTATCATAGCATCTGTCTCCTCCAGGAAATCCATCCCAAGTAATACCTCGTATGGCCACACCAATGTTGTGTTGGCGACTGAGAGTGTCATTGCGACTCCTGCGACTGCCCCATCTCAGGACCGTGCACAGCATTGCACAAAGAAGCTTTTTGATCTCATCCTTTTTATTCCTATTTCAGATGCAAACCACGTAGCGATGATCGTTTCATCAGTTCCAGTATTAATCAGGGCCTTAGTTTTGACTCCATTCACTGACGACTCCGCAATGATACTTCGACTAGCTTTATGAAAATGTGTACAGTGTCTCTGCTGAATAACCATCTCCAATGATCTTCACTGAGAAGGTCACTTCCTCCTGTCCATACGTTTTCATTAAACTGAAAGCAAAGCAGCTGTGACAAACGATGACATATTCGTGAGGAGGGTTTTACCCTGCTTTTAGCAATATCCCGACAGCAACACGACAGGGACTCGACGAGTGTGTGCAGTGAATAAATATAAAACGTCAACGTCAGAGAATAACCGGTCTCGATTATCCGACGAAATAGATTCCATTGGGCGTGAAAGGCAAAAAGGTGTAAAAAAGAATATGAATGGATCACTGAAAATCAGTGATGACAGTGGTGTTCGCGAAAATGCATCATAACACATTATTATATCATCAGACGATGTTTGGTCCGCCAGTAGGCCTGAAACACAAGTGTATTGCCTTTACTATTTAACACCCTGTAAATGACCTGAAATGTCTATGTGGGTAGCCCTGTGAAGGTCACTGTAGGATTGTAAAGTAGCTAATGATAAACAACGGTATTGATAACACCTGTGTTATATACTATACCATTTAGCGTACTCACAAAGTGTACAAACCGCTAAGTGAAGTGGTGCAGGTTTCAAATGTCTACCACTTTGAGGAAACCCACGAGTTCATTTCAACCAGGTCGCCCATGAACCGCTCGCACTCTTCCTGTTGCGGAATCATCGAACTATCATGGCTGAAATTGGGGAACTAGTTTGTAGGAAGTAATGTATTAAACGGTAATTAGCTCACAGATTGTAGTAAATATTCCATATTTTACCTAAGAATATAAAATAAGTTGACAAAATGATGAACTATTGTAAACGTCAACGCCTAAAGATAATCAGTCACGATCATTTACCGAAAAAGATTCCAAAGGGCGTAAAAGGTCAAATAGCGATGGAAATATTGTGATGTATTTTCATAGACGCACTGTAGGGACCCCGGCGTTCTTGAGGTAGCTAGATGTATCTATACTTAAAAAGCGTCATTTTACCTGGCAGATTCGAGATGACAACTTTATTCCAAACTCGGCCGCAAATGAAGGAGACATGACATCAAACGAGCGTCGTTTCCAAGATTGGGAAATTGATGATTTATTTCACACATAGATGTTAATAAAAGCAATATGTTAATGTAGTCAACCAATGTATCTCATATCATTAAAATCTCATATCTTACAAATAATTTTCGAGCGTTTTGAGGTGAGATTGACAAGATTAGATAAATTCCATCAATTAATTTTATCGTGTTTTTCACATGAGAGATAAAACTGTTGTAAACCTCGTTTAGGATGAAGAATTTGACGCATGCGCAGGATACTGAACCCCTGCCTTTCAAGGGTATACAACATGACCTTTTATCCGAGAAACGTGTTTCGTGCTTCCGATGTTTGCCGATCACGTGTACCCTGTGGTCAAGCCGGATGTATATGTACAAGCACAGAGAGTTAATGTAAGAGTGTATTTATTACCGGTATATCAAACATCCGCTTCAAACAGTGTGGAGAGATGTGGATGTTTGACAGACGAGCTAAGTCCTCTTGGAGTTGTATTATATTGGTGTGAGTTATTTTGTTTAACGGCGCTTTGATTAACAGTATTTCAATTATACTAGTAGTAGGGGACACTCGGAAATAACTTTAAATTTCCAAAATTGTAAAAGATATTAGTTTCTGGTAATAGTTGCTAAGCACAAACAACATTGAATGACTTCTGCCAGTTGTTTTCATTCTGCCAATAGCCCGCAGACGCTCTGCTCATGATGTCAATCACTGGATTGTCTGGTCGAGATTCGATTATTTACAGACCGCCGTTATATAGCGGGAATATTTGCTGAGTGCGGCGTTAAACAACAAACAAACAACAAAGAAACAAAGAAACTTGTAGAGTTACATGGATACAGTGGAGAACCCGTGGGTGAGTGAGTGAGTGAGTGAGTGTGGTTTTACGCCGCTTTTAGCAATATTTCAGCAATATCCCGGCGGAGGACACTAGAAATGGGCTTCACACATTGTACCCATGTCGGGAATCGAACCCGGGTCTTCGAGCGAACGCTTTAACCACTAGGCTACCCGACCGCCCCCTTGATGCTGCAGAGACCTTGCAACAAGCGGTGGAGCACTTTCTAACTCTGTCAATGTAATAGAGTTATAACAAACATACTTTGTGGTGGTTTTATAGAAAGTCCCAGTAATATTCATTGTGGGTAAAGGAACCTTGATCTCCGGCGTGAGGAGCGAACTCTTTAACAACTGGACTGCAACAACTCACAGAATGTTTTAGTACAAGACTTAATATCGTCTAAAAAGTAGGCATCCCCATGGGCACCAATTGTGCTCTCCTTCTTGCGGATCTGTGTCTTTATACATGTGAATCGGAATTTCTGCACGGATTGGCAAAGTCCAAACAAGGTAATGTGTGATTCATAAACACATGCTTAGGACATGATCGAAATCGTACTATCGACTCTGCTGTTCGAGATTTCTTATGAATCCGGGAAAAGGTTTTGTCTTTATTTGCTCCTTGATCACAGCTGAATTCACCCAAGACGTGTGTATTTGATCACTTTGGAATGTGATCAACCCGTCAATCTACGGGTCGATCTGACAAATATTCCGGGTGTCGGGTAAGCTATATGTTTACAACTGTTACGTCACGTGTTCGGCTGCCGCTTGATGAACATTAAAGCTTCACGCTCAGAGTTGTGGCGAATACGAGAATGCGGATATATGAGAACTAAATTAAATGAAATCCGCGCCTGTTGAGGCAGATTTAAGTATATTATGTCGCCTACTTTTAATGCTGTTCAGTACTGTACCAGGTGTTCGCGACATGGGTCATCATGCCCTGAAAAGAGTAAGTCAGGAAAGTCAATCGTAACGCATGTATTACGTCACTACTTTGAAGACGTGTGCGTGTGCGTGTGCGTGTGCGTGTGCGTGTGCGTGTGCGTGTGCGTGTGCGTGTGTTGCATGTTTTGCGTTTCACCTTGCAGAATACTGGATAAAACTAATGTGCCTGAGGTTTTATGAAATGAGTCCCCTGAAAAAAATCATTGTTTGGCTCGCCTGTCAGTGAAGGGATCAACATGTCTTGACGCAGTGAGCGAAACAATATTCTGTCTCTGACCAACTTTACAGCCCCACCATCCCTACCCCCATCCCACCTAATTTTAATCTAATGTTTTTATTTTTTTCACGTTTCAATTTACAACAAGTGCATCATCAATCAACAAAAGATACATAAATTACATTTAGAACATAATAAATCATACTATTTTCACCTATATATTTTTTATGGATCAAAATCAATGAAAAATGTACATTTTGTAAGCCAGGGGTCAACACCAAGTTATCCACGAAAATTAGACACATAATGGATAAGGTAGAAAGGCCTTCCATTGACCACGTGTTATCGCGCGTGGCAGGAAGGCAACAACAGTACACTTGAGTGGTATCCTTGTCACCTGAAGGAGCGTGTTGATCTGTCATAATATTGTAACAAAATTAATCATACCCTTTGGAAGCTAGCACTGACCCACATCATCAAATGGTGTCAAAAGATATCTGCCGCTGACGTCTTCTATTCATTAGGCATTTCTTTGATATCTCCCTCACGTCTAGGACGCCGGTTCTCCAGATACACCATCACAACGACGCTCCAGCAGGGGAAACGTGTCATACTGTCATGATCAAGGTTGTCCATATAGTGTTTTTAATAGTTTCCATGGCAATACGTGTTCATTGTCTGATTGACATTTATCTATTTGGGTTGTTCCCCATGGAGGGTCAGTACGCCGGCGGGCGAGCTATGTTGCCTTCAGCCACGATGGCCGTGGACGACATCAACAAACGCCATGACATTCTACCTGGCTACAGGCTGCATATGAAGTGGAATAACTCCAAGGTAGGGACTATGTTTGAGCTTTAAGAGACTAAAGATAAATATATATAATATAAATACATATATATATGTTATGATTAAAACGTATACAGCGTATCTGTCTGTTGCATTAAATAATCGCACCATTTTAGTTTAGCATCGAATCGATGCATAGTTTGACCATTCTCAGGATCGCATGGATAATTAATGCATAACCCAATGGTCATGAGTGACCATCACCTGGCTTACTGCTCACTACTAATGCTCGTGTGTCCTTCAACAAACAGTTTCAGCTTTATCTGTGGATTATCAGTGAGTGAGTATTGTTTTACGCCGCTTTTAGCGCTATTCGAGCATTATCACGGCGGGGGACACAAGAAATGGGTTTCGTACATTGAAACCATGTCGGGAATCGAACCCGTGTCTTCGGCATGACGAGCGAACGCTTTAACCACTAGGCTACCCGACCGCCCCCTGTGGATTATCAAGGCGATGATGATAATGCAAACGTGATAAGGTCAAAATACACGTATTACACTCTCCAAAACCATACCGTTTCTACAAAAACGTAGCTGAATTCGACCTATTTATGGGGAATGCCGTCATAATGACCTTAGAACATCACCACTGGGATGTGTTGAGAAAAACACAGTTGCCCTCGTTCTTTTTTAATATTAATATTCTGCATGCTTCCCCAAACCAAAAATAATTCTTGCAATGTCTAGTTTTAGGTAATACAGTTAACATCCTTTCAAAATGGTATTATTATATGTACTACAGTTAAATCGTTGACTCTTTCAGTGTGACCAAGGTATTGGTATTAAGGCCCTCGCTGACAACCTCAACAGTGCTGACAACATTCTCATGGTGATCGGCGGGGCGTGCTCTGGTGTATCCGAGGCAACAGCCAAGGCCTCACACCTGTGGAACCTCGTACAGGTAGGCACCTACAGTGGCCGCAATTGAACAAGGGCAAGTATTACGCGATATATTACAGTACACAGGGACAAGGATAACATGTGCATCTCGTGCGCGCAAAGTTAGAATTACACGTGCATCTTGTACAGGTAGAGTACATCAGACTCAGTATTACACGTGCATCTTGTACAGGTAGAGTACATCAGGCTCAGTATTACACGTGCATCTAGTACAGGTAGAGTACATCAGACTCAGTATTACACGTGCATCTTGTACAGGTAGAGTACATCAGACTCAGTACTACACGGGCATCTTGTACAGGTAGAGTACATCAGACTCAGTACTACACGGGCATCTTGTACAGGTAGAGTACATCAGGCTCAGTATTACACGTGCATCTTGTACAGGTAGAGTACATCAGGCTCAGAATTACACGTGTATCTTGTACAGGTAGAGTACATCAGACTCAGTATTACACGTGCATCTTGTACAGGTAGAGTACATCAGACTCAGTCTTACACGTGCATCTTGTACAGGTAGAGTACACCAGACTCAGTATTACACGTGCATCTTGTACAGGTAGAGTACATCAGACTCAGTACTACACGTGCATCTCGTACAGGTAGAGTACATCAGGCTCAGAATAACACGTGTATCTTGCACAGGTAGAGTTCATCAGGCTCAGAATTACATATCTTGTACAGGTAGAGTACATCAGACTCAGAATTACACGTGTATCTTGTACAGGTAGAGTACATCAGGCTCAGTATTACACGTGCATCTTGTACAGGTAGAGTACATCAGACTCAGTATTACACGTGCATCTAGTACAGGTAGAGTACATCAGGCTCAGTATTACACGTGCATCTAGTACAGGTAGAGTACATCAGGCTCAGTTTTACACGTGCATCTAGTACAGGTAGAGTACACCAGGCTCAGTATTACACATGTATCTTGTACAGGTAGAGTACATCAGGCTCAGTATTACACATGCATCTTGTACAGGTAGAGTACATCAGGCTCAGAATTATATAATTACACGTGTATATTTTACAGGTAGAGTACACCAGACTCAGTATTACACGTGCATCTTGTACAGGTAGAGTACATCAGGCTCAGAATTACACGTGTTTATTGTAAAGGTAGAGTACATCAGACTCAGTATTACACGTGCATCTAGTACAGGTAGAGTACATCAGGCTCAGTATTACACGTGCATCTTGTACAGGTAGAGTACATCAGACTCAGTATTACACGTGCATCTTGTACAGGTAGAGTACATCAGGCTCAGTATTACACGTGCATCTTGTACAGGTAGAGTACATCAGACTCAGTATTACACGTGCATCTTGTACAGGTAGTGTACATCAGACTCAGTATAACACGTGCATCTTGTGCAGGTAGAGTACATCAGACTCAGTATTTCACGTGCATCTTGTACAGGTAGAGTACATCAGGCTCAGAATTACACGTGCATCTTGTACAGGTAGAGTACATCAGACTCAGTATTACACGTGCATCTTGTACAGGTAGAGTACATCAGACTCAGAATTACACGTGCATCTTGTACAGGTAGAGTACATCAGACTCAGAATTACACGTGCATCTTGTACAGGTAGAGTACATCAGACTCAGTATTACGCGTGCATCTTGTACAGGTAGAGTACATCAGGCTCAGAATTACACGTGCATCTTGTACAGGTAGAGTACATCAGGCTCAGAATTACACGTGCATCTTGTACAGGTAGAGTACATCAGACTCAGTATTACACGTGCATCTTGTACAGGTAGAGTACATCAGACTCAGTATTACACGTGCATCTTGTACAGGTAGAGTACATCAGACTCAGTATTACACGTGCATCTTGTACAGGTAGAGTACATCAGACTCAGAATTACACGTGCATCTTGTACAGGTAGAGTACATCAGACTCAGTATTACACGTGCATCTTGTACAGGTAGTGTACATCAGACTCAGTATAACACGTGCATCTTGTGCAGGTAGAGTACATCAGACTCAGTATTTCACGTGCATCTTGTACAGGTAGAGTACATCAGGCTCAGAATTACACGTGCATCTTGTACAGGTAGAGTACATCAGGCTCAGTATTACACATGCATCTTGTACAGGTAGAGTACATCAGGCTCAGAATTATATAATTACACGTGTATATTTTACAGGTAGAGTACACCAGACTCAGTATTACACGTGCATCTTGTACAGGTAGAGTACATCAGGCTCAGAATTACACGTGTTTATTGTAAAGGTAGAGTACATCAGACTCAGTATTACACGTGCATCTAGTACAGGTAGAGTACATCAGGCTCAGTATTACACGTGCATCTTGTACAGGTAGAGTACATCAGACTCAGTATTACACGTGCATCTTGTACAGGTAGAGTACATCAGGCTCAGTATTACACGTGCATCTTGTGCAGGTAGAGTACATCAGACTCAGTATTACACGTGCATCTTGTACAGGTAGTGTACATCAGACTCAGTATAACACGTGCATCTTGTGCAGGTAGAGTACATCAGACTCAGTATTTCACGTGCATCTTGTACAGGTAGAGTACATCAGGCTCAGAATTACACGTGCATCTTGTACAGGTAGAGTACATCAGACTCAGTATTACACGTGCATCTTATACAGGTAGAGTACATCAGACTCAGAATTACGCGTGCATCTTGTACAGGTAGAGTACATCAGACTCAGAATTACACGTGCATCTTGTACAGGTAGAGTACATCAGACTCAGTATTACGCGTGCATCTTGTACAGGTAGAGTACATCAGGCTCAGAATTACACGTGCATCTTGTACAGGTAGAGTACATCAGGCTCAGAATTACACGTGCATCTTGTACAGGTAGAGTACATCAGACTCAGTATTACACGTGCATCTTGTACAGGTAGAGTACATCAGACTCAGAATTACACGTGCATCTTGTACAGGTAGAGTACATCAGACTCAGTATTACACGTGCATCTTGTACAGGTAGAGTACATCAGACTCAGAATTACACGTGCATCTTGTACAGGTAGAGTACATCAGGCTCAGTATTATACGTGCATCTTGTACAGGTAGAGTACATCAGACTCAGTATTACACGTGCATCTTGTACAGGTAGAGTACATCAGACTCAGTATTACACGTGCATCTTGTACAGGTAGAGTACATCAGACTCAGTATTACACGTGCATCTTGTACAGGTAGAGTACATCAGACTCAGTCTTACACGTGCATCTTGTACAGGTAGAGTACACCAGACTCAGTATTACACGTGCATCTTGTACAGGTAGAGTACATCAGACTCAGTATTACACGTGCATCTTGTACAGGTAGAGTACATCAGGCTCAGTATTACACATGCATCTTGTACAGGTAGAGTACATCAGGCTCAGAATTATATAATTACACGTGTATATTTTACAGGTAGAGTACACCAGACTCAGTATTACACGTGCATCTTGTACAGGTAGAGTACATCAGGCTCAGAATTACACGTGTTTATTGTAAAGGTAGAGTACATCAGACTCAGTATTACACGTGCATCTAGTACAGGTAGAGTACATCAGGCTCAGTATTACACGTGCATCTTGTACAGGTAGAGTACATCAGACTCAGTATTACACGTGCATCTTGTACAGGTAGAGTACATCAGGCTCAGTATTACACGTGCATCTTGTACAGGTAGAGTACATCAGACTCAGTATTACACGTGCATCTTGTACAGGTAGTGTACATCAGACTCAGTATAACACGTGCATCTTGTGCAGGTAGAGTACATCAGACTCAGTATTTCACGTGCATCTTGTACAGGTAGAGTACATCAGGCTCAGAATTACACGTGCATCTTGTACAGGTAGAGTACATCAGACTCAGTATTACACGTGCATCTTATACAGGTAGAGTACATCAGACTCAGAATTACACGTGCATCTTGTACAGGTAGAGTACATCAGACTCAGAATTACACGTGCATCTTGTACAGGTAGAGTACATCAGACTCAGTATTACGCGTGCATCTTGTACAGGTAGAGTACATCAGGCTCAGAATTACACGTGCATCTTGTACAGGTAGAGTACATCAGGCTCAGAATTACACGTGCATCTTGTACAGGTAGAGTACATCAGACTCAGTATTACACGTGCATCTTGTACAGGTAGAGTACATCAGACTCAGAATTACACGTGCATCTTGTACAGGTAGAGTACATCAGACTCAGTATTACACGTGCATCTTGTACAGGTAGAGTACATCAGACTCAGAATTACACGTGCATCTTGTACAGGTAGAGTACATCAGGCTCAGTATTATACGTGCATCTTGTACAGGTAGAGTACATCAGACTCAGTATTACACGTGCATCTTGTACAGGTAGAGTACATCAGACTCAGTATTACACGTGCATCTTGTACAGGTAGAGTACATCAGACTCAGTATTACACGTGCATCTTGTACAGGTAGAGTACATCAGACTCAGTCTTACACGTGCATCTTGTACAGGTAGAGTACACCAGACTCAGTATTACACGTGCATCTTGTACAGGTAGAGTACATCAGACTCAGTATTACACGTGCATCTTGTACAGGTAGAGTACATCAGACTCAGTATTACACGTGCATCTTGTACAGGTAGAGTACATCAGGCTCAGAATTACACGTGCATCTTGTACAGGTAGAGTACATCAGACTCAGAATTACACGTGCATCTTGTACAGGTAGAGTACATCAGACTCAGTATTACGCGTGCATCTTGTACAGGTAGAGTACATCAGGCTCAGAATTACACGTGCATCTTGTACAGGTAGAGTACATCAGGCTCAGAATTACACGTGCATCTTGTACAGGTAGAGTACATCAGACTCAGTATTACACGTGCATCTTGTACAGGTAGAGTACATCAGGCTCAGAATTACACGTGCATCTTGTACAGGTAGAGTACATCAGACTCAGTATTACACGTGCATCTTGTACAGGTAGAGAACATCAGGCTCAGAATTACACGTGCATCT